GATGTTCTCTGGGCGCACTGGGTTCCTGCCACGTGTAAATACTCAATAATTGGCTGAAAACATCTGAGTACTGTGCGGTGTGTTACAAGTGGAAATTATATCTAGAAAAACTGCAAAATTTGGACTGGGATAAAAATTATGAAATAAGAGGTAAATAGGAGCACGGTCAATGCTTTCGGAAAACTGAATTTGGTCATGAAAAGCAACGTACCAATGTTGCTAAAGAATAATAGTTTTCAATCGGTGAGGTTACTACCTGCTATGGTGCACGGATCAGGGAGAAATATCTGGTTGGTGCGCAGAGAAACGTGGAACGGTGCAAATGGCACATGCCACTGAGTGACAGATAGAGGAACATACTTATTATGAATACAAATTGGAGACTTCATACTTTAATTGAGGAAAGTAAGTGCCACTTGGTCAAGACACTTTGTTCGAAGGAACGATGGCTTATGGATGAGATTGAATGGCAGCAAGGGGTGAGAACACACCCAAGGGGATGATGTCCACTGCGGAGATGGAGTGGCGAGATTAGCTAACGTGCGTAGCCAGATGGACTGTCGCATCAAAGGACCACGAGGAATGTCATTGGCACCGGGAGGCCTCCATCAAGTAGCGGATTGATCAGGGTCGATGATGGTGATAATGTTGATGATGACATCAGCACCCCACTGGTAAACACCGACTGTGTTGCATTAAGATGACTCGGGAATTTTGCATAAATCACGAAATGTCACTGAGTGCAGTAATGGTGTTGTACCTAGATGGGCACAGTGGCGTATGCGGTCATCCGGCGCTTTGGAGACGGGGGGACGTTGGCTCAGGCAGGGGTTTGCCGCACGCGTGAGACTCCCACCTCCAGGGAGAGGGAGGTGAGCGGCTAGGACAGGAAGTAGGCTGCGGTATGGATTTTTTGGAATTATTTCCGAGCTTACATGGGTTGTTTTCTCTCAAGGTACTCTGGTTTTCTCCCTCATCATCATCCATGACCAATCCACTGCTAGATGAAGGTTTCTCCAAGCGTTAACCACCTCTCAGGGATCTGCTATCGAACTCATCGAACCAGCACCAGCGCACGCGCTAATTTCGTCGTTTCATCTCCTCGGTGGAGATCCTCTAAAACACATTCCATTCTTTGGCTGCCACTCCGTAACAATTCTTGACCAAAATGCCAAAGAAAAAGCAGCCTTCAGTCGGTTCTTGAGACGCAGTTGACGCTTCCTGGAGTGAGTGATCGCGATCATCATTCTTAATCGGTGGCTCGTTGTGTTTAACGTGTGAGTAAGCGGTACGTGGCAGTTTGTACAGTTCCATTGATAAAGAATTTCAATGCGTGACCTTGTAGGCACCCGTTATGGTATTCAGTGCAGCCGTCCCGAAGTCAACCACGTTGGCTCTTAGGGGCCTTCAGTGGAGCCAAAACGCCCACAAAAGCCAATGGGGGCCTCCATTGTTTGGACAACATGGAATTCCACTCCCGATGAGCAAACACATTGCACGTTTCAAATGCTAATCTTGCAGGAAGAAAAAAAAACTCCCAACAAGAACAAGAAAAACCACGCACAGATCCAAGGCCGTTTCACAGAGCAGCAGTGATTTTTGTGCATTCCAACAAAGCACGTGATCACAGAATGGTAAATGTCATTACCAGACCATTGGCTGCACCGATGGATTATACATCAAGACCATTCGACGGTGAAATATTGGCCGTGGAAAATGTTGAATTACAGACGAATTCAAACACAAAATATATATTTTACATTTTATAGAAAGGTATTGGTGACCAACTAGACTGGTGTCTACTTAATGTGTGAAGAGGAAGCGCATAGAGACGGGGATTTGTGTCAATAGCGTCAGCATTAAAGGCACAGTCTTGTTGAAGGAGGTCGGTTGGCTCAGAGGTCAGAGAGCTCAGCTGACACCGCTGAGATCTTGGGTCTGAATATCCGGGCAGCCACCCGTGTTTAAACCGTGTTTAAACCATTTTTAAACCGTGTTCGCAAAGTGTAAATAATCGATGGTCACATCCCGGTCACCAATGACTGAACACACACAAAACACAATACATGTTCAACAAATATATACTTAATTTGCCTACATTCCAGCTCTGAGAATTATAAATACCAGTTTAAGTGTAATGTGGTAAAATAATCTCATCGGAGAGTACATGGGAAAGTAAATACCCGTGTTAATTAAAGATAGAGAGACGCTTTGAGGGTTTCCTATGATTCGCATGAACAATCTCTTCTGCAGGCATTGTCCGACATACAGGGGGGCTGCACTACTCTGTGAGATTTACGAATGGATCATTGTTTTTTTCACACGATTCTCATAGTATAACTGGAATACACGGGGTAGAGGGATGGGACTTTAACAAATGGGCATAGTCTTGTGAGCAATTTGACTTGCAGTTACAGTACCTGGTTTGTGTGGGAGGGAGTAAATGGGCGCGTGCCCTTTCAAGAAACATTTTCATGGAAGTATATTATTATTATAGATGCGACAAAGACGTTGCGTTGTTCAAAGACATTACACCACTGTATTTACTCATCAAGCCGTGTGGGCGGTTTACCGGTTGGGTCGTATTAACGTATGGTCACAACTTGACTGCTGCCAACATATAAAATAACAAATATCCCCCACATATCTTAAAATACTGTTGGGGGGGGGGGGCCTCGTACCGTTATTGAGCAGCGCCTATGAAGGCCGGAACGGCACAGCACCACACCCGACCGCCTTTGTCTCCCCCAGTGGCGATGTTTTTTACTCATTTGAGGCCCCGTCGACCTGGGGGCCGGTCCACACGCACGTGCATCTGTAGCAATATCTGGATGTGTGGCGCACTCCGTGTGCGTGATTGTCACGCGTTAGGCACGCGTGCGGGTTACAGCTGGCGCTCGTTGCTATCACTCCGAGCACTGAGAGAGCGGCCAACACTGAGATATCCATCCGCCCGCGGCCCGTTTGTTGCACGCGAACTGGGTCCAACCTTCTGATTGTTTCAACTGCAAGGCGCGGGGCGGGGGGGGCTGGGGGTGTGGAGAGAGGTGGAGAGGGGGTGCAGAGGGGGGTGGAGAGGGGGTGCAGAGGTGGGTGGAGGGGTGGAGGAGGAGGGGAGGCGGAGTTCACGACAGCTCGGCGCTTTGTGACCGAGGCGGTGTGGGCCCCGCAATGCGTTGTGCTCACATCATCGCATCTGCGCGAGCACATTCAAGTGCCAAAGCGTGGAGCGTGCTACGCTGCAAAGAAGGAAGAGAAAAACAACTCCAGCGAGCGAACCGAACGATAGACACCCCCACCCACCACCACCACCACGCGTGAGCCCATTGACCCCTTAGGTGAAAATTCCTGCTCATTTACCATTCGGTTCGCTCTCTTTTGTGTCCCTAATAAACGGCTTTGTTCGCTCTAATGCGCCGGGCTTATACGGGGATGGGGGGTAGTGTGGTGGTGGGGTGGGAGGAGGGTGGTGGTGGGAGGGGGTAGTGTGGTGGTGGGGTGGGTGGGGGGCTTCGCGCGTGGTGCGCGCCAGCTCCGCATTGTGCGCTTCTAACGGGGGTCCACAGGGACGTCGGCTGATGAGCGCTTCCAGAGGCGACCCCCAATCCTTGGCGCTGCTGAATCCGCGGCGCAGGGGAGGGGTCGAGGCGAGAAAAGTCCTCGTGGTGCTGCGCGGCTGCTTGTCTCGCAGTGTGCCCTCGCCATATGGGCATGTGCACACAGAACAAAGGCAAAGATACACCCCCCCCCCCCACAACGTATAGCCTCAACAGACTGTTGGGGCAAGTGCTGTTAGCGAGCAGCTGTGAAGGCCGGGACGGTACGCACGGGTGTGGGTGGCCATCACCACGCCCGGCCGCCTTTGTCTCCCCAGTGGCGATGTTTACACACCGCACCAGGCACTCGTTTGAGGCTGATCCGACCTAGGGGAGGCCCAGGACTGGTTCAGATAATCGTCACCGGTGTTGGCCGTGAGCGGTTATCGAACCCGGGTCGCCAGGTTCGTGGCGCACAGCGCTAACCGGTACACCACCGCTCCCCGCTACACACAAAGACACGCGCACACACACACACGCGCACACACGTGTGTGTGTTTGTGCGCTGTCCAGCACGAAAATATTCAAATTAGCAGCGGGTTTGACAAAGTATCGTAATCACTGCCGTTGAGCAAACGGCAAACTCTGCTGTCATCTGGCTCTGCGTTGATTTACGGCATCTGTTGCCTCGATGGCAAACTTCGCGTGCGCAAACATTTGGAATGATGTATATTTGAGCATTAACGTTTTAATTAATGAACGTGCGGAGCTCATATTTTAAGAGGTGTCGCGTGTTATATGTGAGTGTGTACAAGGAAGAGTTCCGATGAAATAAAGGAAAATGTAACATTGAGTGGCCGTGAGAACATGTATTGGCCGGAAGGCAGATTCCCAAACAATGTTTGGCACAAGAAACAGCCAAGTCTGTAGAAATATATTATTTGGTCAATTTCCATATCACATTTTTACAGAACGTGGATGAAGCCTCACGTGCCCCACATTTTCTACCATATTTTTACTGACTCTAAAATAAAAAAAAGAGTTACAAATGTCGATAAAAAAAATTAAATACGATTCTAATTATTTAAACCGATCTGTTTATGTAAAAAAAAGGTCCCTCCCGCTCAGTTCTCTAAGCTACGACCTAAACCTGAAAAGCTAAAAAGACGTTCCCGACACGCCGGCCATGGCAGAGGAGGGATTCTCGCTGGCTTCCCTCTCAGCCCATCTCGCGCGGGGGGGGGGGGGGGGGAATTGAAACCCAAGCAGCTGTGGCGCTGAGCGTCCGCCGTCGCAGCCGCCTACGACGACCACGGCGGTGGCGGCGAGTGAGGACGGGCGACGAGCGAGTCGGGTGGGGACTTTTTATCATTCACGGCGCGTGCGGCGCTGCTATCGCCGCTGCCTTCATCCCCCCCCTCTCTCTCTCGCCCTCCGCATCGCGCGCCCCACCGCGACACGCAGCAGGCATGAGCGCCGGCCGGGCCGACTGCTCCCAGGCGCGCTGCCCCGTGCGCTTCTCCACGCGCTGCCCGCCCGACTCGCTGCTCGTCGAAGGCACCATGCCCCCCGACGGCTGCTGCCCGCTGCCCAGCCGCTGCGAGTGCCGCCCGCGGGAGCGGTGCCCCCCGGCCGTGTGCTCGCCGGGCGCGGCGCCCGCGCGACTCGCGCCTGCCGATGGCACCCCGGGCCGCTGCTGCGAGCTCTACGAGTGCCGGAGAGGTGGGTTGCGAGTCGGTGGGGGGTCAGAGGGGAAGGTCACCAGCCGTGCCCTTCGCTTGCTTACGTCGCTGCCGGCGGGAGGGCCTCCGCTAGGGGAAGGTCTGGAGAGCACCTCCGTAGGGTCATTGGTCTACTCTTCCATAGGTGGGAAGTACCCGCACGTCACCCCACCACGTGCCACCTGCCAATGGACCCAAGTGTTACTCATGTGTACTAGCGGGGTGATAGAGGCGGGGAGGATTTACGACAACTTGCACATTGTTTCAAGTGCCGCGCCCCGGGAGATCGAAGACCGCTGCTATGCAAGCCCGGTGTGCCAGACACGAGACCACGGCAGCTTTCCAACTTCATCCTCATCTTAGCGACAATGCAGTGAAAGGCGCTTTGGTCTGGAGTGGTCGTGCAGAGGCCCAGACACCGCACCATGAACCCGGCGACCAGAGTTTTATTTCTGGGCTACGGCGAACACGAGTGGCGAGTGATATCCGTACTGTTCTGAGTTTCCCTTAGCCTGAATCAGCCTGAAAAAGAGTACCTGGGACGATGTTTAAAAGCATCTAGCACGAAGGCAGCCAGGAGGCGTGCTCGCCATATCACCCGCTCGCTTGTGCCCTATGCTGGCAGTAATAGGTGCTCGCTAACTCCACTTTAATCACCAGCTGACAATCAACTGGGACATATGGCGAGTTGGGCAGCCCCTCCCTCCAACAGACCTGCCCACTTTTGAATAGCAACGCCCATTTAATCAATAGCCACCCTTCAACAAACATAATCTATATTCAATCAATCCTAAGGCTCTTCTTTAGGAGGATCCTTAATTTGGATGTTTGGCCATCTACATGAATTGTATAGCCCTACACAGATTGATTCAAGAATCCGATACCGTACAGCTCTGCCATCTGTCATCTGATGATGAAAGGTGAACTCGGAACTCGTACAATGACAAGTACATCACGTTGCGTCAGAGAATTGACCCAGGAGACGATGGCACGTGACTACGACCGAAACAGCCTAAAGAGGCCAATTACCCTCAACCGTTTGATGCGTTTTGAAAAGTTACTAAATTAGTTGCGCACATTATTATATCATAATATATTTTAGAGAATGAAAACGTAATTTGTTTTCTGTTGATAATAACCATGAAACGATATCTTGATGGTATCGGCCTGCTCAGGGAAGAGTCACCCTTTGACATGCCTAAACAAGTCCTCAACTCTCTCTTTACCAACACGCACGCACCAGCACGATCAAGGACGGTCAAACAACCCCCTGATCGAAACGCACGGAGGGGGCCTTCAAGCAGCAGTGAATTGCTAAAGGGATGTACAACGTGAGCATCACCATGTACGAACATGCAGGAGCGGGTGCTGAAAAGTGAGTGTGAAAGGAAATAAAAAATGCAAAAATCCACGAAGCCTGTCACAGGAACGGAACGCGGCCGACGAGAGGTTTCGGCCACCGAGGAGATGGAGCGCTGAAATGAGACTCGTGTGCAGCTAGGTGCAGGGTGGATCACCATCATCATCATCGCCGTCGTTATATCGAGGGGAGATGGGGGTGGCTTGCGCGACACTTTCACCCAGCAATGGATTGCCCGAGACCACGAGGTCGGCAACATTTCAAAGCAGACGAAGAAGATATATTTTTTTTATTGAAATAGTTTGAGAGCACACACAGAGCTACTTTAACAAAAAAAAAACACAGACACGGCAGGTATACAGCGGATGACAACAACGCACACTGACTTAAATAGACAAAATAGGCGATGGGATAAACTGCTCTCAAACTATTATTTTATATATTTTATTATTTTATTGTTTCCCTTCAACGTGACTTTACCGAAAGAGCTAAGAAACTGCATCTATATCGTTTTTGTTCCCTTTTGTTATTTTTGAACGATGCCTCACATTTTTGTTGTCACCGAGACATTCCACAGTTACCCATTCCCTGTCACGTTTAATAAATCGCTAAATATCTTCGCATTAAATGACCTTTACGATTTAAGCGTGGCGAGCGGGGACGTCAAAGAGGCCGCCGTAACGCGCCACCGGAGCCGCGGGTTTTTGCCGGCCCCTGACCCAGACGGCCGACGACGCCACGTTGATGCGGGACCCTCTTGCGCGCGTGCGTCCAGACGTCGGAGGCAGCGTGGAGAAGCCGGGCCCCGCCGGGTGCCTGGCGGGCGGCAAGATGCGCGCGGAGGGCTCCCGCTGGCGCGAGGACGCCTGCACCAAGTGCCGATGCGTCGGCGGGAGCGAGCAGTGCGTCACGCAGGCGTGCGGGCAGCACTGCGAGAAGGGCGCCCGCGTCCCCGGCGAGTGCTGCCTGCGCTGTCCAGGTGCGAGAGCGTGCAGACATCGCGCTCAACGCCTGTCCCACCAAACTACCGCTACGAGCAGATTCTGTGACGCCTGTCCCACCAAACTACCGCTACGAGCAGATTCTGTGACGCCTCTCCCACCTAACTACCGCTACGAGCAGATTCTGTGACGCCTGTCCCACCAAACTACCGCTACGAGCAGATTCTGTGATGCCTGTCCCACCTAACTACCGCTAAAACCAGACACTGTGACGCCTCTCCCACCTAACTACCGCTACAACTAGACACTCTGACTCCTGTCCCACCTAACTACCGCTATAGGCAGACACTGTGACGCCTGTCCCACCTAACTACAGCTATAGGCAGACACTGTGACGCCTGTCCCACCTAACTACCGCTACAAGCAGACACTGTGACGCCTGTCCCACCTAACTACCACTACGAGCCATGGGCGTCGAGGAGGTGCCGTTCGCTGGCCCGTCAGGGTAATGCGGCACAGTAGAATTGTGGTGTTTGTTAAGCTCTCATCAACAGGCTTATCAAACAAAATAATACTGCTGGGTTGGATTTTGTCACCGGCAAAAAATATGTAGCGTTTAAATAGGCATTCGACATTGATGCAGGAATTTACGGATAAATTACATAAATTTAGTTATTAGCTTTTAAAAAGTAAATTTCTTTGAAAGTTAATCTGATTTAATCGTGTTATTTAGCCATAATCCTCCACAGCAATTGGTAACGTGCCGTTTCTACTCCACACGAGAGTGTGTGTTGGCAAGCGCATGTTAGCCTGTCCCGTTAGATGGACCCATCGATTCATGGAACTTTTAAAAAGCTGTCAGCAGCAGGTCGGGAATTTTCATGGGGCTCACTTCCTCCTCCCAGCACTAAGAAAGCGTCTTGCGATGGAGTTTTTACACGGAGCGCTGGCTGAAAATCCTTCCACTTGTCGTGGGACGTGACGGTTCTTATGGCAGGCGCGCGAAGCAAGCGTATTCTTGTTTAACTTGTTGGAGGCAACTGCTTGCTGTGAAGGACACATCGGCTTGCTCAAAGCGCACATCGTAACACTCGCTGCTGCACCAAGGGCATCTTGAAGGGTAGGGTTGTGAAGCTCTTCGAACGAGGCTACAAGTGCGACATTGACCGATATGACGCTAGCCCGATTATAAATCTCAAATAATACAAATCTGAGATGGTTTGATTGTAACACGGCCGCGTATTACGGTCCGCTCATTGAAGTGATCGATTGTGTAGGTACAAATTTGAGGAATGTAAATATTGTATTTAATTTGAGGAATGTAAATACTGTATTTAAATTGAGGAATGTAAATACTGTATTTAAAGAAAATGTCCTCGAAACGTAAATGTTGTGGTTTACTCTCCAACACACCGGTGTGCTGGACTCGTCACAAATGAGCACGTTTTGTTTACGTGACAAACCTTACTAATTGGCTGTGTCGGGTGGCAGCGGGTTTAACAACACGTTCATATTTGCGCAATATAACACAAAAATACAATATTATTAAATTAAATGGAGTAAATTTCCAATATAAAGTAGTGCATAATTAGAAGAATTTATTTCTTTGAAAACCAAGAGAGAGCCCATTAGAATACAGGGCAGATGCCCCATTCGCGTTATAGTCATTGCTTAGCACAAGGCAATGAAGCCGTGTTTGGCAGCCTGGCAGCAGCGGCAGGCATTGCGTATTAAATGATGCTCACTCTCCCTTCTCGGCAAGAGCATGTCAATCAACCGCCGCTCCCTACACCACCCCACCGCTGAATTCAATGCGCATCCTCCCAGCTCCACAATCCCACTTTGAATCAGCGGCTCAAAATACCTCTGAGCCTGGTGCCCTTACTGTCCAACATAACAAGGGCCCCGCTGTCGAAAATATCATGGCAATTATGTGCTTGACAGTTCTGAAGCTGAATCTGTGTGGGCTGCACACTTGGGCGAGAGAGAGGGGAGGAGGGGGGGGTGGGGTGTTTCCGTGAATGTTTGGTCCGAGAAAGAGTCCCGGGTCCTCGGTTCTTTTCCGGCGTCACCACATCCTGGTGTGAGCATCTCGCGGACGCACACAGGTGCATTGGAGTCGCAGTGAGGTGGTGCAGTTGTGGGGGCGTTTAATTTGCGTGGTGCCAAGTGGCACGCCCGCGGAGCGCGTGCACTCAGATGACCCTTTTCCTTCATCGCGGACCTAGCGGTGATGATGCATTGTGGGACTAATTGATCATTCACGTATCTGGAACATAAATAATTGTCTACATAACCTGTTTACTATTACGCTGCTATTTTAAGAATGGTATGATTAGAATAACAACAAAAAGGTTACCGCGATGTATAATCGTTTTGGTGAGCGCTCTGTATCAGAAACACCATCTAGCTCATGCACGGGTACATCTGTGGTGCAGTGAATAGCACTGCGCTACGAACCGTACAACATGAGTTTGATTTCCGGTCATGGCTAACTTCAGCGGTGGGTGATATCTGAACCGGTCCTGGGCTCCTCCTTCAGTAACCTCCACTCACAACTGACCAGCGTGGTGAAGTATGGTCAAGCATCCTCAATATCCAACACGGGACGGGGGAAACCGTGCGGCAGTGACTCGACATAAGGCAGCGACAAAAACGATGGTAAATAGGAAATGCTTAATTGACATTTGCGCCGCATTCTGATTTTGTTTTGGGTTTTTTCTGCCCGTTTACCTAATCGTCTGTAAGACAAGACGTGCCACTGTCGCCAGCGAGTGTCACGGTGGCTGGGGGACGCACAATTTAACCAAATTTCACGCTCCGGCAAACGCGCCACCCACAACAAGGATTAATTAAAACCCGTCTGTGATGATAATAGCGAAAGAAAACACCGGTTCCAGATGCCCCTCTTCACTCCAACCCCTCTCCACCCCCCCCCCCAACACTCCCGACCGGAAAACCCCGCCCCCCACCCCCATTCAACGAGATAAATTATACAAAAAGTCACTATACGGCGAATGCATCATGGGTTTGCATACGGCATTGCTTATTGGGTTAAACACGGCCCCGCTATATGTTTTTAAATGGAGCGCTCTTCTTGCCAATGAGGTACGGTGCACCCAGCAGCAGCATTTGTTGAACAAGCCTGACTCTTGCTTAAATAAATGCTGCCTGTTAATACTGTGTTGGCCTTGAAGGCCAACAGGCTGATCGAGTAACAATGTTTTTAAAAAGTAACAATATTTTATAAGATGTCATATGGAGACACCGAGCGGAGTTATATATATATATTTAAACAAATAAATACATTATATTTTTTCAGTGTCGATTTTTTTTCTCAGCTATACCCCAAGGCCATTTGTCATGGGAATGGGTAGATGCAACTATATATAAGGAATTATATATTATAAAATGTATACAAGTGCTAAACACATATATCATTAATATTTATAATTAAAGAAATAATAATATATAATTATTAAATGTAATGACAAATATTGGTTATATGAACCTTATGGCGGGACCCCGGGGTCCCATCAGCCCCCGGCTCTCGCATAAACATTATATTATAATGTAAACATATTATAATGTAAACATTATATTATAATGTAAACAAACACTTTGCTGTTTTTCACCAATGGGTTTGAAGGATGATGGGAAGTGTTGTCTTATTCAGGAAGATGACTAACGCTTGTGTTGCGAAACGTCGTAGTTTTTCGTTATTTTCTTTGAACCTATCTACGTGACTTTACCGAAAGACCCAAAGAATATGAATTCCTGCAGTCACGAAAGCTTTAAGTCAAGATTTAAGTGTTGTCTTGTTAAACTATGCCTTTAAAACTGAAAACTGCAGTACCTCTATTTAAATACACTATCGAAAAAATAATTTACACCCCTCTGTCAATCATCGTGTTTCTCAGTGTGGATTTGTGAACACACTTTGTAAACAGTACATAAAATAGCACGCGTTTTCAATGCGCTGTTCATATTGTAACAAGTGTTTAATACAATGTTACTCTACAGAGTAGTGGGTCGCCGCTCCTCTTATCCGCATTGATACGAGCGGTATGTGGGGACTATGGCTTAACCGCAAAAAAACCTATCTGCGCAGATACATACGGACCAGAGATATATTATCAAACAGGAGGAATTAACGGTGCAACGAATCTCATCTGTCAAATATCTACATGTAATGGGATTGTCATCGATTGATCCTGGCTGCAGACATTAGTAGGTCACAAATAATAATGAAAACAAGGCAGCAGTTTCACTGTATTATGCATACCGTTATGACAACTAAAGGATTTAAGTCGTGTAGGCAGTTTGAGAAGCTTTGGATAAGACTTGTTATGATCCCTGCCCATACCCGAGTATGGAGTGCATTCGCTTGTTCAGCTCTTGTGTGCATTTGTCCTCGCTGCTGCTGCGCTTGGACACGACACGACAACAGAACGATCCACGCCAGGCGGGTCACGGCGTTTATGTGCGCGGTGGGACGGAGTCGCCCAAAAAATAATAATTCCGAGTTTGACTTCCGTTTATTCGGGACCCCGGGGTCCCGCCATAAGGTTCATACATGCGATAATCATAATAATTATATTATATAAAGTCGCATCTCCCCATTCCCATGACAAATGTCCTTGGGGACAAGCAAGAGAAAGTAAAATAAAAAGCAACATGTAACAACAGTGCAGAATGCTGTCTTTCTCACGGGAAATGTTGTGTCTCACTGAAATAAGGAAAGTGACTCATTAGGGGAGAGGGTTGGAGCTGGCACCCAAAGTTGCTTTTCACGCCATGGGGTGACGCTTGGCTTGGAGATTTGTTGAAAAGAAAGCAAGGTTGTTATTTTTTAAAGAATTTTGTTTTTTTTAAAGCATTTTTGGCAAATATTTCCACAGCGGTTCCTTGGCCAGTGTTAATTTTTTTTTCTCAGCTGAGTGTTGTGCAGGGAAGAAAAAAAAATCGTACACACACACACAAGGGTAAATAATAGTAATGATAATATGTGCTGTTTAAACTAAGAAAATGTCGTGAGGGGTAACAGCCCCAGCTGTGGTCTATTGCGGGTTTATTGCCTGCCTGGTAATTACTTGTTTTAATAAGAGATTTAGTGTTAATCACGTGGTGTAAAATAAAAAAAAATCAGCATCATGCCAGTAATTAATTCCTTTTATTTAGTGATTAATTGCAAATATATATTTACGTTGATACCTACGTAAACACTTATCTGTAAGCAAGCTGTGACCCTTAGTCCAGCAGTCAATTTCGAACTGTTGTTTTTTTTCTTTGGCAAAATGTGTGGGTGCATTTGGCTGTGACACCGGCAAGCGACTGCCAAGGCAAGTGTTGTCAGCGTAAAACCAAGCCAAACACCCAGCCTCCAACGCAGTCCACATAAAGTAGCCCGCCGGAGTAAATGGAATGATCATCAGGCAACGAAATGGAAGAAAAATATAGTTTTTGTCCCCCGTTTGCATTAGTTAATTTAAATATATAATTTCTGGGGGGAAAAACATTCCCCCAAACAATTTTATTCCGCTGTGTTCTCAGCTCGACGTCGTTAGAGGAACGATCCATTCGGATCTCTCACACAGCAGGGCGACCCTTCGCTTGAGAGAACGGCCCGTGGAAGCGGATATCACAGAGATACCTCTGCGATCCCATAAAGCAGAGGTGGGGAACCTTTCTTCTGCCAAGGGCCATTTGGATATTTACAACATCATTCGCGGGGCCATACAAAAGTATTAACTTAAAAATTAGCCTGTTATATTTCGTCAAGCATTTCATTATCTCACCCCTAAAGTGATGGCTGGAACTGCTTCTCTTTGGTGAGGCGTGTGACGATGTTAGCTGGTATTGATGATGTTGCTACTCGCAACTGCTTTTCCAGGTTTGCTCCTAGATTTATTGAATTTCGAGTCCCGCCTGCGGTGGCCTTGGTAGGGCCACACCAAATTATTTCGCGGGCCTTACAGTGAGGGAAAAAAGTTATAGATTTGAAGCTTTCGTGACTGCAAGGATCCATACTTCTACAAAGAGTAGGGAAAAAGTATTTGATCCCCTGCTGATTTTGTACGTTTGCCCACTGACAAAGAAATTATCAGTCTATAATTTTAATGGTAGGTTTATTTGAACAGTGAGAGACAGAATAACAACAAACAAATCCAGGAAAACGCATGTCAAAAATATTATAAATTGATTTGCATTTTAATTAGGGAAATAAGTATTTGACCCCCTCTCAATCAGAAAAATTTCTGGCTCCCAGGTGTCTTTTATACAGGTAAAGAGCTGAGATTAGGAGCACACTCTTAAAGGGAGTGCTCCTAATCTCAGCTTGCTACCTGTATAAAAGACACCTGTCCACAGAAGCAATCAATCAATCAGATTCTAAACTCTCCACCATGGCCAAGACCAAAGAGCTCTCCAAGGATGTCAGGGACAAGATTGTAGACCTACACAAGGCTGGAATGGGCTACAAGACCATTGCCAAGCAGCTTGGTGAGAAGGTGACAACAGTTGGTGCGATTATTCGCAAATGGAAGAAACACAATAGAACTGTCAATCTCCCTCGGCCTGGGGCTCCATGCAAGATCTCACCTCGTGGAGTTGCAATGATCATGAGAACGGTGAGGAATCAGCCCAGAACTACACGGGAGGATCTTGTCAATGATCTCAAGGCAGCTGGGACCATAGTCACCAAGAAAACAATTGGTAACACACTACGCCGTGAAGGACTGAAATCCTGCAGCGCCCGCAAGGTCCCCCTGCTCAAGAAAGCACATATACATGCCCGTCTGAAGTTTGCCAATGAACATCTGAATGATTCAGAGGACAACTGGGTGAAAGTGTTGTGGTCAGATGAGACCAAAATGGAGCTCTTTGGAATCAACTCAACTCGCCGTGTTTGGAGGAGGAGGAATGCTGCCTATGACCCCAAGAACACCATCCCCACCGTCAAACATGGAGGTGGAAACATTATGCTTTGGGGGTGTTTTTCTGCTAAGGGGACAGGACAATTTCACCGCATCAAAGGGATGATGGACGGGGCCATGTACCATCAAATTTTGGGTGAGAACCTCCTTCCCTCAGCCAGGGAATTGAAAATGGGTCGTGGATGGGTATTCCAGCATGACAATGACCCAAAACACACGGCCAAGGCAACAAAGGTGTGGCTCAAAAAGAAGCACATTAAGGTCCTGGAGTGGCCTAGCCAGTCTCCAGACCTTAATCCCATAGAAAATCTGTGGAGGGAGCTGAAGGTTCGAGTTGCCAAACGTCAGCCTCGAAACCTTAATGCCTTGGAGAAGATCTGCAAAGAGGAGTGGGACAAAATCCCTCCTGAGATGTGTGCAAACCTGGTGGCGAACTACAAGAAATGTCTGACCTCTGTGATTGCCAACAAGGGTTTTGCCACCAAGTACTAAGTCATGTTTTACAGAGGGGTTAAATAATGCTTATTTCCTCATTAAAATGCAAATCAATTTATAAAATTTTTGACATGCGTTTTTCTGGATTTTGTTGTTGTTATTCTGTCTCTCACTGTTCAAATAAACCTTCCATTAAAATTATAGACTGCTCATTTCTTTGTCAGTGGGCAAACGTACAAAATCAGCAGGGGATCAAATACTTTTTTCCCCCACTGTATACGGCCCGCGGGCCGGACGTTCCCCACCCCTGCCTCAAAGGGACCTCTGGTCCACACAGCAGAGGGCAGCACTTCCCCACCCACGCTGCATATGACAGTGATTTTCATCACGTGACAGTCAAAACAATGTTTTAACTCTCAGATCTGGAATTATCCATTCTAAGTGTAGAACCAAATTTAATGCGGCGGTTTTTCAACACTGTCATTGGCGACTGCGCTGCGGCCATCAACTGTAATTTGTGTTCTTAAACACAATCGTTCTTCGAACCTAAGCTGGTTGCATTTAACCCTGACTAGCGACTCGGGGGTTAGAGGTCAACACAGAAGATATTTCCCAAGCTCCACAGCAAGGTTGACTGCGCAAAGATTACCAGGCACAGGAGGTGTGTCCCCAGAGCCCAGCCGCTCGAGGTGACCCACCCTGAACACCTGCACTCATTAACCACACACTACTGCCTTAAGCACGGCCATGGAAACACATCTTTCCCATTAAACTGCCTGACAATGTGGTTTATTTTGTAAAGCCTTTATATACTGCGCCTTAACGGAGCACAGCTAGCCCTGGGGAATGTTGACTATTTACTGCAGGCGGATAATTTCCCAGGGGCCAATTGGCTTTAGATGAGGTACTCCTTTTCAAAAAATGAACCTTAAAAAAGCCCCTATTTTCCTCAATTATGGATAAATATACTGATTTCTACATTCTCTCCCCAACAGCTCAGGCTGCGACGGTCTGTGTGTTCTTATGTGTCTCGCAAATGGAAGGCTGAACTTTATTAAAGCATCCATTGATTTTGTGTGTGACTGAAAACAATTGAGCTGAAAATCATGTTATTACTTTTGAAATATGTATTTTTATTCAGCCACCCAGTAAATACTGGGTTGCATTGCTTTATATTTCTGATTTTCCACAGTATTATTTTTTTCTTCCCACGATAATACCCACTTAACCAAACCACCGATTTATTCAGCATGTTTAGTTTAGCATTGTCAATTTTTTGTTGTCAACCGACTAGCCGAATGAAGCCCTCCGACTGCTTTGGTGGTCGTGAGCGTTGCTATGAGCACACTTTACCTCGCTGGTCCGGCACCAGTTGGTGAAGGGGGTGGTCCAGAATAGGTTCACATTTACTCGCCGCTCAGATTAAAACTAAAAAGTTTTATTTTGCTAGGTAATGCCCACTGATCTGGCTATCACAAATCTTAGCTCAACGAAGTGGCTCATCATGTGGAAATGTATAACAGCCAAATACTCTAAACACATGTTGATTCTAAATGTGGTGGGAAAAACCGGAGGACCCGGAGAAAAATCCACACGACCACGGGGAGAACATGCAAACTCTAAATATACCGGCGTCAGGGTCGGGATCGAACCCACAACCTCCTGCATACCAGGCAAGGAATATGGATCCTTGCAGTCACGAAAACTTCAAATCTAGAATTAACAATTCCTAGCCACCGTGGCGCCATTAGTCATGGCCGGAAATCGAATTTGCCAGTCGAATTGGCAGGCTCCCAGCACAGTACATTACCAATTGCGGCACTACTTCACCACGACAATTAAACATAGGGGCCATAATAACATCGGTGATGACACGGTTATGATGGGGAGGGTTTAACTGCGTAGGTTATCTCGCCGTCGTGCAGTATGCTTCTCTGCTCGGCACGCTGTCCGACGTTTTTCTCTGCGTGCTTCAGCCGAACAACACGCGGCACATCCCGAAAACACGTCGGAGAGCGGTGGAGGTGAATAATTGTGTTTTTCGTGTGTTCAGGGCCAGAGGAGTCATCATCGGTGACCGCTTTGCCCCTGACCTGCGACCCTCTGACCTGTAACCTCACGGAGGAGAGCTGCCCCTACGGCTTCCAGCTGGACGAGAAAGGCTGCCGCTCGTGTGGCTGCAAGACGAGTGAGTGCCTCTCCGGGTGACGGATATAATTGCTCGATTTCCCGAGCCCCCAGTCGTACACAGGGGCCAGATTAAGTTTGATGGGTGCGGGGGGGCTTGCTGTGTACATTTTGGGGGTCCCTCTTTGTCCACAATTTCCAATTCTTCCCCTTTGCTCTTTGACCGCCGTACTTTAATGTTATTCACATTGGTGATTTCAGTTCAGATGCTTATTTGTGAAATGCGAATTGCAAAGCTAAAGCAATGTTAAAACGAACGAAACTATAAACAAATATTTCGGCCCATGACTGGTGGTAGTAGTCGAAGTACACACAGTAATGCCTATGGTTTTAATTGCCAAATAACATATGCTACGGTATTGCATTTGACCTATTTTCAATCTTTGATATCTTATTTTGGAGGGGAGGGGCTCCCGGAATCCGAGGCCCCTGGCTGCCGCCTCTAAAGCCCCTGCATGAATCCGGCCCTGCTCATGCAAAAAACATCCTAACAGAGGACCACAGAACTCGGGCAATTGTTGGCGCCAGTTCCAGCTGCCTTCCCATTTGTCTGTGGTTTTCCTGCTCCTCTGTGCAAAAAACATGCGAATGTTGTAAACTCTTCAGCGTTTTGAGATGCAATTTGTGTGAATGACGTTATATAATATTCTAAAAATATTAAATGATTATCATTATTCCACTTGTACCCATAGTATTATGTGTATTAACTGGCTAGACCAGCCTTACTCTTTGTGCATCATAGTTTTATTCAAGTATACATTTAGATATTGTATGACCCAGTCGTGCGAATCATGTATTGTTATACATCTGTACAATACAATCCCTTTATTTTAAGACCAAGTAAGGGCATGTTGTGGGTAGCCGCATTTTTCAAGGGAAACGTGGATACAATACATACAGCAAAATGGCATAAAACATTCCAGTGCAACAAATTTGAGAGTGAAAATCATAACAGCATACATAAAAACAGAAATAGATTTTTTATGGCCAAAATAAAATTGAGAGTTAAACATCATGACAGACACACATTGGCTAAGTGCCCTAATTTAAACTCAGAATCAAATATATACAGTGATGTTTAAGTGAAGCACATTTAAATACAAAAAATCAAGTTAAATAATACATACACGTAAAAACTTCTATATTGTCTACACACTTACATCGATCAGGTAGCTAAACCAGAGAGCGAGCAGTTTGTAATCGCAAAGTGTGTGAGTTCAAATCCTGGTTGGGGGCGTTGACTCAGTCCATCATCTCTTTGGGATCGGTAAAATTATTACCTGCTTTGTGGGCAAGTCAACAGTGGTTGTCCGATGGATGGACTCGTCCCAGCCATAAGAATGTGGAGTTTTCATCAACCGGCTGAGGGCTGTAAACATATGATGAGCACCAATGCCTCAAATGCTCATTTGAGCAGGAAATCACATTGACTTTGCTTTCAAAGGCTGTCCCACCGATGAATCTGAAAGCTACGACTGACTTTGATCCTCCGTCTATATACCTACGAACTGCATGGTAAATTACACAATTGGTTATGCTATTTCATGTGGGGTAATGGTCGTGTTACTCCTCAAACCCAATTGTGGAGCAACCTGAGATGTCACAAATTGAGAGAGCATATGAATCAGTTTGATATTACGGAGCGGCTCAATGCAATTTGATGAGGGGGTGACCACAAGAGGCTTTATACACGTGGGCAATGATTCACGGGGGAGACTATAGCACAGCCTGCGATGAATCGGATGGGATTGAGGTCGTCGTAAGCTGCTGCGAAGAGGTTAGGCGGCTTCAAATTGGATCGTGGACTTGCGCTACGTGAACGTCACGTTGCCCTCGCAATTGCGCGAGACATGTTCACACGTCGCGTTTCCTGAACCTTCCCAACTTCGACCGAGCGAATATACAGCGACGCGTTAGCTTTACACCCCCCCCCCCCCCCCCCCCCCCCCCCCCGTGTGATGCTTCCACGTGCACATTGGCACGCACGGGCCCGCGGGTCGTCACGCACAGGGCACGAGTTCTGCAAGGTGCTGCTGGCGGGCTGCTCGCTCGAGTGCCCGTTTGGACGCCGCCTGGGCCCCCACGGCTGTGAGATGTGCCGCTGTCGCCCCAAGCCCAAGCGCTGTCGCCCACTCGTGTGCTCCAAGGCCTGTCCCCATGGGTACATGTACGTGGTGCGGCGACGACGAGGAGTAACGGGTCACTCGCGACAAATCTTGCGTCACGAGCCTTTGAAACATGAAATTTTTTTCTTGCGTATCCCGGCGTTGTCGCTGTGCGAAAATCACGCGCAAAAGCATTCGCTGAGTAAATAATCATCTGAAGGCGCTGTGGAATGTGTAAGGCGCACGGTTTTTGCACGGAGGTGCGGGAAACCGCCGACAAACGGGAAGGCAGCCAGAATTGACCCCAACACCAATTGCCCAAGTTCCGTGGTCCTATATTGGTATGTGTTTGCCAACGCTATTACTGAGCGTTTATACATGTGGGAGGAAACCTGAGTTCCCGGAGATTTAAAACAACATAATGGATTGTTTGTGTTCCAGTTGAGTCTCCCAGAAATGTAGTAACCTTAGTCATAGAAGAGTTCTAAAACCAACTGTGTTTGCTATGCGTGTAACAGAGCTTTTAATTAATCGTTTATTTTGCTCAAACACATCGAATAGTGTGCATTAGTTACGCTAATGGGATGTCAATGTTACAATCAGGCTAATGGAGCAAACAAATCTGTCTAAACGAGACAAAATAAATGAGAATCAATGCAAACAAGAAGGTAAAAATGAGAGGAAATGAAATCCACTCTAGCATCAAATTTGCCACCAAAAATATTTACAATTCACCAAATCATTGGGATCAATGGTTACATGCCGAATGTGTACCATATGTTTTGAAAAAAAAGGTTAAATTGACAAATTTATTTTCAAATGCGCCACTGTCCGATACTGAAATCTGCAAATATCAGCGTGTCTGATGGCCCTCGTAACCGATTGCTTGTACGTTTGTCCGAGTGTTTATCTGGCATTTCCCATTGGCACCACCTGCCGCTCATGTGCCAGTCACCTCAGTCAGAATCAGAGTGATAATCTTTTATTTATCCTGCAGGAATCCGATGAGCTATGAAGCTCTTTTTCACAGATGTCCAGTAGGGGCGGGTCAAAAAGTGACGATCGGAGTACAAAGTCAGAGGCCCTGTCGCGTGATCTTCTGCCAGCAAGCCTTCGCGTGACCTGAAAGTGCACCTAGCTTGGCACAATCGCCGTGGTGACATCGCCGTCGCTGGTTATCTGCCGGTTCCCGTTGTGGGCGCAGACGGACGCGGCACGGCTGCGAGACGTGCCGCTGTGTGCGCTGTGCGGCGCTTTCCTGCGACAAGAAGTGTGCCCACGGCTACGAGCTCAACGGCAAGGGCTGCCCCACCTGCAAGTGCCGAGGCAAGGCTCGCCGGTTCATTCGTTCGTCCTTCACCGGTTCATTCGTTCGTCCGTCACCGGTTCATTCGTTCGTCCGTCACCGGTTCATTCGTTTGTCCTTCACCGGTCCATTCGTTCGTCCGTCACCGGTTCATTCATTCATCCTTTAACAGGTCATTCGTTCATCCTTCACCGATCCATTCATTCATCCTTCACCGGTAAATTCATTCGTCCTTCACTGGTCCATTCGTTCATCCTTCACCGGTTCATTCGTTCGTCCTTCACCAGCTCATTCACTCATCCTTCACCGGTCAATTCGTTCATCCTTCACCGGTTCATTCGTTCATCCTTCACCGGTTCATTCATTCATCCTTCACCGGTTCATCCGTTCATCCTTCACCGGTCCATTCGTTCATCCTTCACCGGTTCATTCGTTCGTCCTTCACCGATTCATTCGTTCGTCCTTCACCGGTTCATTCGTTCGTCCTTCAACAGTTCATTTGTTCATCCTTCACCTGTTCTGTCAAACCATGCCCACGGCTGACACGGCACGGCGAGGCCTTCATCCAGCAGTGGATTGACAAACAGCTGTAAATATTGTAATTATTTATCGTCTGCAGTTTCCAGAGATGAATTTGTTGTCTTGCTCAAGACAGTGGTCGAGAGGAACTTTTGTTATGCCATTGGCCAATTAGCTATGCAGTTGAATGCTTTCCAGTGCCAAGGCAAACTCCGGACCGGCTTCGACTGCACCGAGTCTCATCGGCAGTGAAACCATTCGTTGTCCACGAGAACTGTGAGGCCCAACGGTGAAGTTACAGCGATGAGACAAACAGGAAATGCATTTCGACTTCGGTTATTTACCGCAGCGACGTTTCGGTGAAGACACGGACTCCGAGTATAAATGTTTGACGTCTTCTTTGTTTTCATCCGGTGGAATTTCCGCAGCCACGTTTCACGGTTCGACATCCTCCCCTTGCCTTGTATCTCCTCCCGCTCCTCCCTTCAAATCACTCCTTGTAACATCTATCTATTTGTGCGCGTATTACCCTGCCTACCGCTCGCTGTCACAATTCACACTCTTCCGAGACCATTGGCCATGCGATTGCACGCCTCTATGGTAATGCCCGACTGTGGTCGCCCACAACAACAACAACCACCACAACAACAACAACCACCACAACAACAGACCGTAGTGCAACGGAGAACGACGCAATGCCCGGATCCACAAATACGAGGGAGCCATCACGGCGGCGACACGCAAACTCCCGTGACTGCTCCTGGCGCGGTTGTCTTGCGCGCCTCAACGTGAAACTTGTAACCGTTGCCTCCGGCAGCTACAGTGAGGGAAACAAGTATTTGATCCCCTGCTGATTTTGTACGTTTGCCCACTGACAAAGAAATGATCGGTCTATAATTTTAATGGTAGGTTTATTTGAACAGTGAGAGACAGAATAACAACAACAACAAAATCCAGAGAAACGCATGTCAAAAATGTTATGAATTGATTTGCATTTTAATGATGGAAATAAATATTTGACCCCCTCTCAATCAGAAAGATTTCTGGCTCCCTACGAAAGGGAGAAGACGCCTTAACGAAGGCCGTTCGCTGTATCCTACCTGCCCCAACACGAACCCTCCCCACTAATCCCACCGCTCACACCACCGCCCGCCTGCCCTCCTCAGCGCTGTCCTCCGAGGGCCCCGTGCCTCCGTTCTGCCTCTCGGGAGACGGGCGACGCTACCGGCACGGCGACGATTGGCACGACGGCTGCCGCTCGTGCACGTGCCTGGCGGGGCGAGAAATGTGCACGCTGCTCACCTGCGCGCTGCCCCGCTGCGCTGCCCCGACGATGCCCGCGGGCGCCTGCTGCCCCACCTGCCCCGGTACGCGTGCCCGTCGCGGTCACGCCAACCCGCATGGCTCAACTCCTGTCGCCCGCTCTCCCTCCAGGGCTCTTGCACGGCTCGTCAAGACTGTAACGCGCAGCTGTCTCTCTCAATGCGTGCATTTACAATGTATTTACAATGAATATACAATATATAGAGTACTGTAGTACTGGCGTGGAGTGGTGGCACAGTGCACGTGTGAAAAAGAGCTTTACAGCTCATCGGATTCCTCCAGTATAAATATTCTGATTCTATAAACACACTGTGCCGTGAATCGGGCAAACCGAGTTTTGATTCCTCTGTCACGGCCAACAGCGGCGGCGAGTGGATACCACTCACCAACAAGCAACATTTACAAGCGGTTACAGGTGCAAGGGCTGCACCTTTACCCTTTGACCTATAACAACCGCCAATCGCCACTAAGTGGCGGTGAAGTCACCACGGCGCTTGTGCCAGGCTAGGTGCACGTTGAGGCCACGTGAAGTGTCGAACACCCGCTGGCAGGAGGTCACGGGGCAGACCCAGCAGGTGCCACGGGTCGACTGAGATGACTGGCCGATGCTACGACACACCTATCACACACCTGTAACATACCTATATCACACACACACAGGCCAGAGGATGGTGGCGGACCTGGCACCGCAGCCCAAGGACCCCGCGGTGTGCGTCACCCCTGCGGGGCTGCTCGTGTCGGGCGGGGAGACGTTCCGTCTCGACGGCTGCACGCGCTGCCTGTGCCGAGCCGGCAGGGTTCTGTGCGACGCCGAGGTGTGCCCCCCGCTGCCCTGCCAGGACGCCGTAAGGACACCAGGATCCTGCTGCCCCCTGTGCCCCCGTGAGTGGCCATGCAACAAGTCCATCTAGCCATCAATGACTCCAGCCATCACAATCGGCCATTGCATCCTGAGATTAATCCATCGGTTTATTCATCCATCCACCCACCCACCCATCTATCCGTACGTTAAATTATTTACTTATTCACCCATTAACCCATCCTTCCATCCATCGATTAATCCATTCATTTATCAATCACTTAATCCATCCATCCATCTATCAATGTATCCATCCATTCATCCACTATTTTCAACTCATCCATCTACCCATTAATCCATTCATCATTCCTTCAACAAGTAACTTGATGTAATAATAAAGCCATCAATGTGCAGTTGCAGCATTGAAATTGAATTTAAAATTAATCCAAAACCTCGACGCATAATATCTGGACAATACGGCTATGTACAGTAGAAGTAAAATTTTGATGAAATACTTTAGCCTGAGGTCATTGATCGAGAACATACTCTCTCATTTTTGACTGATTTCGAAACAACCAGTGGCATTTACCTTAAAATTTCCTTCCCTGGAATGACATTTGGGAGAAGAGTATCGTCACTCACAATGTAAATCAACACCAGTGGCGTTTCAGATGTACACTGTCAAGTGATTGCATTCACAATAGGCGCCCATTACGCACTTTTGCCTTTTTGAACATTTTGTCCCCGATTGCGGTATAGTGGTCATGTCACGAGATGAAGTGCAATCCTTCGTGTTAGAGAACGGTCCACGGAAGCGGATATCACAGAACTACCTATGAGATTCCTTGAAAGTGACCCCGAGTCCACACAGCAGGGGGCAGCTTCTTGGCTACCACACTGATGCAGATAAATGTTCATCACGTGACACCAAAACTAATATTTATCATTTTCAGAGCTGGCATTTATCCAAACTCAAGTACAGAATCAAGTGTAACAAGATGCAAATATTTGTGAAGCGATTGGTGACCGGGCTGAGGGTATCAGCTTGAGAGTCCGTTTTAGTCAGAGGGGTCATCGTGGATTTTAACCAAGGATCTGAGGTGCCAGCTCAAAGCGATGACCACAGAGTCACCTGGGCCACCTCCCAGGAGGTGTGTGGACCGGGCCATGTAGCAGCAGGCTTTCGCGACCAATATCATCCATAATAGAGATGTTTTGGGTTAGATCGGGTAAATATATAAATGTGTCGTTAAAACCCGCCACCACCCGACACAGCCAACTAGTAAGGGTTGTCACGTAAACAGAACGTGGCCAATTCGTCACTGGTGCAGCACACCAGTGTGTTGGAGAGCCAAACCACAACATTTACTCGGATTGTAAGCCAAGCCACAACATTTACTCAGATTGTAAATGTTGTGGCTTGGCTCTCCAACACACAACCGGTTAGTGCTGTACTTGTGACGAATTGGCCACGTTCTGTTGACGTGACGACCCTCGTAGCCGCATCGAGCGCCGAGCGCTAGCACCGTGACGGCTTTTTTTCGCCACCAGCAGCGGCCGTCGCCGCGACTCCCACGAGCAACGCGTCGCACGGGGGAGTCAACAACAACAACAACAGCGACGAGTCGCACGGGGGAGTCAACAACAACAACAACAGCGACGAGTCTCCGCCGGCGTTGTGCCGCTCCAGCTCGGGCGCCATGTTCCTGGCGGGAGAGGCGTGGAAGCGTGACGCGTGCACGAGCTGCGCATGCGCCGCGGGCGAGGTCACGTGCCACGCGCCGCGCTGCCCGCCCGCCGCGTGCCCGCGCCCCGTGCTGCGCAAGGGGCAATGCTGCCCCTACTGCCCGCGTGAGAACACCCACAGACCACCACCACCACCACCAGCACCACCCCCTACTGCCCGCGTGAGAACACCCACAGACCAACAACAACCGCCATTCGCCACTAAGTGGCGGTGACGTCCCCACGACGCTTGTGCCAGGCCATGTGCACCTTGAGGCCACGTGAAGTGTCGAACGCCCGCTGGCAGGAGGTCACGGGGCAGACCCAGGTGCCACGGGTCGACTGACTGAGATGACTGGCTGGTGCACCACCTGTGCTCCATACTGTGCCAACCTGCTGTGCTTTAGCCACCCGGCGCTCCGCTCGTTGTTGTGAGCGTCGCTCCTCCGCCCTCCGCTGTTGTTGGAGGGCGACTGCCTCCAACTGCCCAGTAGGAGCGTCCTTCACGAGCCTCCTCCACAGAGGCCGATCTTGACATCGCTGGTACCAGTCATTGGCAAGTCCACTCAGCTCCACGTTCTCCTGTACCACATCACTCCATCTCTTCTCTAGCCCGTGCCGCGCCCGTTTAGCCCCCTCGATCCGGCCGAACAAAAGCTGTTTCGGCATGCGGTGGTTGGGCATGCGGGCTACATGACCCAGCCAATGCAGCCTTGCCTCCCGGAGGAGCTCACTGATGGGACCTTGCCCAGATCTTTCAAGGATTTGTGAGCTCCTCACACAATCCAGCCTGGTTAAACCCAGGATGGATCGTAGGCAGGCTAGCCTAAATGTTTCTAACCGGCGAAGATGTTCCATTAGGGGGGTCCACGTTTCGCAAGCGTAGAGAAGGGATGGAATGACCGTGGCCGAGAAGACCTGAAGCTTAGTGCGGAGCGACAGACCAGGTAGCTTCCACACAGCGTTACGCAACCGATTAAAAGATATTGCCGCTCGACTGATTCGGAGTGAGATGTCTGCTGTTAAACTGGAGGTGGTCATAAGCACACTGCCCAGGTATGGGTAACTCTCCACTCCCTCCACAACTGCCCCATCACCGATTGGGAGTTGTGGGGGTGGAGTGTCCGATAGTACAAAATACCCAGGCAGGTGCTTAGTTTTGGTGGGGCTGATGGTAAGGCCCCATCTCTTAGTGGCACGCTCTAGTCTCAGCAGCAGCGTCTCCAACTCCTACTCTGAATGAGCAGCTATTACAAAAATCATCGGCATACATAACATGGTTGAGCAATAGGGAGCCATCCCTTGACCGCACCCGGGCATCGATCAGCCTCCCATTATATCTGTACCAAATGGAGATTCCCCTGGTACAGCTATTGAAGGCTTCACGAACTACGTGCTCAAAATAGATGTTAAATAATGTGGGAGCCAGAGGACATCCCTGTCGCACCCCAAGGTGTACAGGGAATGGCTCTGACTCCCGGCCACGTAGTTTTACATGGGCCTGCTCACCATCATGAAGGTCCTTAATGATCGTGAGCAGAGGGTCAGGGACTCCAAAAGCACGAAGAACAACCCAGAGCCCAGGCCTACTGATGGTATCATAGGCCTTGACCAGGTCAATAAAGCAGAGATGTAGGTCTTGCTGGAATTCCCTACACCTCTGCTGTAGCAGACGGACAGAAAATATGGCATCTGTGCAGGACCGCCCTTTCCTGAAACCGCATTGGGGCTCCGCAAGCCTCTCCTCAGCGTGCCTGGCAAGGCGATGTTGAATAATCCTTGCCAGGACCTTTCCCGGCACACTGAGGAGTGAGATGCCCCTGTAGTTGTTACAGTCTGTGCGGTCTCCCTTCTTAAAGAGGGGGACCACCAGGGCATCCTTCCAATCTTGCGGAACCTGTCCAGTGGTCCAAACTGTTGTTATGATGTCATATAGGGCAGTCTGTGTACAAATGCCACCCTCCCTCAGCATTTCGCTTGGGAGATCATCTCTGCCCGGTGCCTTTCCTGGTCTCAGACTCCGGATCACCTTCAGTACTTCCTCAACAGATGGCACCTCAGCCAGCCACTCACAGGGGGTGACTTCCTCCAATATTTGAGGCACCGCAGCCTCAGCAGGGTCATCCCCACTTTGTACCACGATGTTTTCCTGGCTGAGGGATTTCCCCTCCCCCAGGACCTCACAGAAATGCTCAGCAAATCTGCAAACCTGTTCCTGGGGGTCGGAGATTGGATCACCGTTTTTTCCCCTAATGATGGTAATAGGTGTGGCGCTGCACGTTACTTTTTTGATGGAGTTAAATAGAGATTTGTGATTGCGGGCCACTGAGGCAGACTCCATCTCCTCAGCAACCCACAACCATCTTTGCAGCGCCTCACGGCTCTCCGAACCTCCGAGCGAAGGCTGCGGTAAGCCTCCTCATTCTCTGACGTGGGATTCTGTAGCCGATGACAGTGGGCCTGTTGCTTTTTCTCAACTATCCTGAACACCTCCTCTGTCAGCCAGGGTCTCTGAGGAGGTCTGGACCGCGTACCCAAAGCGGCCATTGCAGCTGCATGAGTCACAGTCCTAAACCTCGCCCATTTACTCTCGACATCAGGAGTGGGGGACGATGCCAACCCCAGCCGCAAGTGATGATGAAATTCTTGCTTGCAACTTTCATCAGATAACTGAGACCAGGCCACTTTAGGTTGGAATGGGATCCTGGGTGTACACCCACCACCGGAGTGGAAGAATGGCAGGCGCATCTTACAGATGACTAGTCGATGGTCAGAGGGCAGATCAACTCCACGGTAGGTCCTGGTGTCAAGGACATGGGCTCGCATCCGCTGGTCCGTCACTATGTAGTCCAGCAGATGTTCTTGCTTGGACCCGGCATGCATCCATGATGTTGTGTGAATGCGCTGATGCCGGAACAGCGTGTTGGTAATTACAAGCCCATGGGCTGCACAAAAATCTAGCAGCCTCCTACCGTTGTTATTGAGCTGATCTGGCCCATGCCCTACAATCACTCCAGACCAGGTGCCAGCATCATGACCAACTCGGGCATTGAAGTCACCCAAAAAGATGACTCTATCCCGAGGGGCCACTTTAGCCAGCACCTGTGACAGGTGATAGAAGGCATCTGACTCATTGGCTTTGCCTGCATCCCTCCATGGATATTCGTCTTCGGTGGGGGCATAAGTAACCACGACCACCATTCCTCGCCTCCGGTTGATGGGAAGGCGAGCCCAAAGTAGCCTGGGGCTTACAGCTTCCTAAACCTCACCGCCACGCTCCCACACCCCCTTCATTCTTTTGTTCAAAAGAAGAGCCACACCCTCTTGTTTGGCAGTCTGCTGCCCCAAGTAGAGGACTGTCCACTCCTCATGGTGGCAGGAGCCAGAACCGGTCCACTGGACCTCCTGAATGCCACAGGGATCCAGGCGGTACCGGTCCAGCTCCCGACAGAAGAGTGGCAGCCTCTCCTCCGCAATGAGCGTTGGAACATTCCACGTGGCCACACGAAGTGGATTGTCGTTATTTCTGGAGGAGCCCCGAGGGTAGAGATTCAATCTCCTGGCTCCGCCAATTGGGGTTTGGCCAGAAGACGTCATAGACGCCTGCCCCCCCGGGGCCTCCGGCACAAGTTTATTAGTAAAAAAATTTATTCGTGGTTTCATGGTAAAAATGTTGAAGGTGGAAGGGTTACCAGCCCCTCGCCCCCGTCAAGAGCCCCCGTTTAGACCCTGTGGTGGTCACAGACGCCATGAGAGGAGGGGCCAATCGGAATTGGCCCTCCCCCCACAGCACTGTCCACGACAGAGTTGCCCGTCCGGCACCCACAGACCACCAGCACCACCAGCACCCCCTACTGCCCTCGTGAGAACACCCACAGACCACCACCAGCACCCCCTACTGCCCGCGTGAGAACACCCACAGACCACCACCACGACCCCCTACTGCCCCCGTGAGAACACCCACAGACCACCACCACCACCCCCTACTGCCCCTGTGAGAACACCCACAGACTGCCACCACCACCACCACCAGCACCCCCTACTGCCCCCGTGAGAACACCCACAGACCACCACCACGACCCCCTACTGCCCCGTGAGAACACCCACAGACCACCACCACGACCCCCTACTGCCCCCGTGAGAACACCCACAGACCACCACCACGACCCCCTACTGCCCCCGTGAGAACACCCACAGACCACCACCACGACCCCCTACTGCCCCTGTGAGAACACCCACAGACTACCACCACGACCCCCTACTGCCCCTATGAGAACACCCACAGACCACCACCACGACCCCCTACTGCCCCCGTGAGAACACCCACAGACCACCACCACGACCCCCTACTTCCCCTGTGAGAACACCCACAGACCACCACCACGACCCCCTACTGCCCCTGTGAGAACACCCACAGACCACCACCACGACCCCCTACTGCCCCCGTGAGAACACCCACAGACCACCACCACGACCCCCTACTGCCCCCGTGAGAACACCCACAGACCACCACCACGACCCCCTACTGCCCCTGTGAGAACACCCACAGACTACCACCACGACCCCCTACTGCCCCTGTGAGAACACCCACAGACCACCACCAGCACCCCCTACTGCCCCGTGAGAACACCCACAGACCACCACCACGACCCCCTACTGCCCCTGTGAGAACACACAGACTACCAGCACCACGACCCCCTACTGCCCCTGTGAGAACACCCACAGACCACCACCACGACCCCCTACTGCCCCTGTGAGAACACCCACAGACCACCACCACGACCCCCTACTGCCCCCGTGATAACACCCACAGACCACCACCACGACCCCCTACTGCCCCTGTGAGAACACCCACAGACTACCACCACGACCCCCTACTGCCCCTGTGAGAACACCCACAGACCACCACCACCACCCCCTACTGCCCCTGTGAGAACACACACAGACTACCACCACGACCCCCTACTGCCCCCGTGAGAACACCCACAGACCACCACCACGACCCCCTACTGCCCCTGTGAGAACACCCACAGACTACCACCACGACCCCCTACTGCCCCTATGAGAACACCCACAGACCACCACCACGACCCCCTACTGCCCCTGTGAGAACACACACAGACCACCACCACGACCCCCTACTGCCTCCGTGAGAACACCCACAGACCACCACCACGACCCCCTACTGCCCCGTGAGAACACACACAGACTACCACCACGACCCCCTACTGCCTCCGTGAGAACACCCACAGACCACCACCACGACCCCCTACTGCCCCGTGAGAACACACACAGACTACCACCACGACCCCCTACTGCCCCGTGAGAACACCTACAGACCACCACCACGACCCCCTACTGCCCCCGTGATAACACCCACAGACCACCACCACGACCCCCTACTGCCCCGTGAGAACACCCACAGACCACCACCACGACCCCCTACTGCCCCTGTGAGAACACACACAGACCACAACCACCACGACCCCCTACTGCCCCTGTGAGAACACCCACAGACCACCACCAGCACCGACAGCTGCCCTTACAGCTGCCCCGCTTCGTTAGGGCGTTCGCTCGCTGTGCAGGCAGGAGGGGTGAGCAGGCACGGCCCTGTAATTGCTCCACTGCTGCCGGAAAGACCTCCACGAAAGATAAATGTGTGTGTGTGTGTGGCCTACTCTTCTGTTAGTGTGTGTGTGGCCTACCCTTCTGCTAGTGTGTGTGACCTCTTCTGTTTGTGTGTGGCCTACTCTTCTGTTAGTGTGTGTGTGTGGCCTACTCTTCTGCTAGTGTGTGTGTGTGTGGCCTACTCTTCTGTTAGTGTGTGTGTGGCCTACCCTTCTGCTAGTGTGTGTGACCTCTTCTGTTTGTGTGTGGCCTACTCTTCTGTTAGTGTGTGTGTGTGTGGCCTACTCTTCTGTTAGTGTGTGTGACCTCTTCTGTTTGTGTGTGGCCTACTCTTCTGTTAGTGTGTGTGTGTGTGGCCTACTCTTCTGCTAGTGTGTGTGTGTGTGGCCTACTCTTCTGTTAGTGTGTGTGTGGCCTACCCTTCTGCTCGTGTGTGTGTGGCCTACTCTTATGTTAGTGTGTGTGTGGCCTACTCTTCTGCTCGTGTGTGTGTGTGTGGCCTACCCTTCTGCTAGTGTGTGTGTGACCTACCCTTCTGCTAGTGTGTTTGTGGCCTACCCTTCTGCTAGTGTGTGTGTGGCCTACTCTTCTGCTCGTGTGTGTGTGTGTGGCCTAGCCTTCTGCTAGTGTGTGTGTGACCTACCCTTCTGCTAGTGTGTTTGTGGCCTACTCTTCTGCTAGTGTGTGTGTGGCCTTCTCTTCTGTTAGTGTGTGTGTGGCCTACTCTTCTGCTAGTGTGTATGTGGCCTACTCTTCTGCTAGTGTGTGTGTGGCCTACTCTTCTGCTCGTGTGTGTGTGTGTGGCCTACCCTTCTGCTAGTGTGTGTGTGACCTACCCTTCTGCTAGTGTGTTTGTGGCCTACCCTTCTGCTAGTGTGTGTGTGACCTACTCTTCTGTTAGTGTGTGTGTGGCCTTCTCTTCTGTTAGTGTGTGTGTGGCCTTCTCTTCTGTTAGTGTGTGTGTGGCCTACTCTTCTGCTAGTGTGTGTGTGGCCTACTCTTCTGCTAGTGTGTGTGTGGCCTACCCTTTTGCTAGTGTATGTGTGTGGCCTACTCTTCTGCTAGTGTGTGTGTGTGACCTACCCTTCTGCACTGGCCAGATGTCTTGGAAGACGTGGGAGTCCCCCATGCTTTCCGTTTACAAACGTGCACGTTATTTATATCTCTGGAATGAGATCTATTTCGGCAGGATTAATGCTTATGCGCAGACAAGGTGAAGGTAGTGGTTGGTGGTGATGATGATGGCAAAGAAGATGCTACCCCCCCCCCCTCAAGACATCAGCAGCTCAGGTTGAAATGAGTATCTGGTGTGATTTGTAAAACATCAGCACTGGGAAGGCAAAGCAGATGGGTGTGATATTGGCCAGACCACTCAGTCGAACGCCTGCGCCTTGCCAATATTAAGAGGTGTCCGATCACAATTGTCTCTAGAGTAGGACGCTACACAGGGGATCTTTGTCTCCTGTAAATTTGTTTTAGTACTTGTCTACACGGGGAGCGGTGGTGCAGTGGTTAGCGCACTGCGCGACAAACCTGGCTCCCTGAGTTTGATTCCCTCTTATGGTCAACACCAGTGACGATTCTCTGAACTGGTCATGGGCCTCCCATAGGTCGACTCAGCCTCAAATTAGTGCCTGGTGAGGTGTGTAAATATCGCCACTGGGGAGACAGGCGTGGTGCTGGCCACCCACCCCCTCGTGTACCGTGCCGGCCATTCATAGCTACTCGCTAACAGCACTTGCCCCAAAAGTATGTTGAGGCTATTAAGGGGATCTATAGCTCTGCATGTGCATGAGTGGATTCACAAGTGTGTGAGATGGGTTGGTCTGTTGGAGGGGATAGCATCATTGTCAGGATGTCCTCAGCTCATTCACCTTGCACCTGTGGCACAATCTTGCATATATGGAGTAGGTAATAGGACTCAGATTGTAATAGAGGGTGATGGAACAATAACGTTCGCTCGGTAGAACTGCAAATAATATTCATTATTAAAGTACACTGAATAATTAAGTTACATCCATTGTTTTCCAGGTGATGATTGGCTGAGCAGGGTCCTAACCCTAACCCATCGTGCCTGGCGAATTGGTGCCGTGCATTCAACATGAATTAGGGCGAAATATCTTCCCAGAAATTCTGCCCGCCGGCTGTTCCAGAGTTATAAAACAAAGTTTGCATGGACCGGGCTACCACCGTGTTGTCTTGCAATGCAATTTGCATTTTACGTATACTGCAAGTTAGTCTGAAAACAAACTAAACTAGTTTACATTTATACTATAATCTGAAAGGAAATACTGTCATGAAGCGACATGCATAGGAGCACAGGAGAATTGGTTGTAAAGAATACAAGTTAAACCTACCGGAATGACATTTAAGCGAAACATCATTCAGGAAAGGAACACAGAGGGCAATAACAACCACCGTTCACCACTAAGCGTCAGTGACGTATCCACAGTGCTCGTGCCAGGCTAGGTGCACAATACGCAGCAGCACAATTTTGACAAGCCTGAGCACACTGAAAGCGGTTACTTTAACCCATTGATATTTGATATAAACCAATGCAAACACAGGGACAAAGCCGATCCTGCTTCGTAGGTCTGCGTGTGCGCGTAGAACGTATGTCACTTCACGTCACATTTACAAATACCGTTATGAGTAATTTCATTTAAGCTTGGAGGCACTTTTTCAATCAATCAGATGTGACACCTTCCCTCCCTAGCTGAGGGTGCTTGTTCACAAAACTGTCAACGTCTTTATGACACTGGGACAAATAACTTGGGGCATTTTGTGCCTTTTTTATTTCGAGGGATTTTGCATGCGTGTGTGTGTGTCTTCACAAACGTGCGAGTCTCGATCTGTTGTTTATTCGCTTGCAACCTTCTGCTCACGTTAATAAAAGCGAACGCGGTCTTTCGGCTTTGCTGAATGATTCATATCCCCCACCCGGCATTGCGTCTGACCTCAGGCAACCCCTCGCTGAGCAACGTTCCGAGAATCCCCGGCAACAAATTGGACAATGAGATTGAAGTGCGGGTCCCTCTAGGAGAGCAGAACGAGAGGGTGCAAGGTAATGAGTCCCGAGTCCTGGATTTAGAGACTCCTACATTTTGCGCAAACCGATTTGTATTGGTTATACATATACAGAGGCACACGCACGTTAACACTCTCATAGGCATGCTCGCTACGGGAGCATTTTGTAAATTGAAATCGCGGTCACCTTACACCAGTTGCTATCTGTTTTATTTTCTCAAATTAAAACATTTCATTTTCTCGGGAGGTAGAGACGTCGTTCGCGTTAGCAATCTGGTTTTACATGCGGGCCGAATAAATCCACTTAATTACCGTGCTACCCTTCTGTGCATTACAAATAAAAATACATCTTGTTACTACCATGGCAGTGGTGCACAAGTGCAAATAATAATTCGACAGATTTGTCAATAGCACTGCCCTAAAAAGATCATTAAAAATGTTTAAATAATAATGTGACGTGTTGGGCAATTTCCCTTCTTCATCGCAGCGGAGAAGGGCCATGTCGGAATTGTCAACCTATTATGCGTCGATTTGTTTCCCTGAAAGGGCAGTGTTATTGACGAATGTGTAGTCTTGTAATACGGTACAATACTGCGCAGAAGTTATCAAAACGGACACTGGCTGAAAATTCCATGAAAGACCTCGGCACTTTTATTTACGGCGATAAGAGGGTAAAAAAGCTTTATTTTCCAGACAACAGTGCAATGAAATGTACAAAGGAAACGTGCGTTTCCTTTGTACATTTCCCATCTCCATTTCCGAGCGGTGAACAAGACGCCAGAATGTGTTTCCACGATCTATTAGGGCTGCTCTGAATTGTCGAGTCCAGCGAGCGGGGCAACACAACATGAATAAGTGACGTTAACAAAGGAAAAGCCAGCGCAATTTACTGATAAGGCCATGCAGGGCAGCATGTTCCAACCACGGGCAGGCTGCTGTTGATTCAATATAAATACTCACTTCTCATTATTTGATTTTGTTGACTGTTGTTTGTGCTCTTAACAAGCCCCTAGGGGTCTCCAGAAGACAAATTGATTTTCGTCCCTTCAATTTCTATATTTACCGAAGGTGAAACGCAATGGGAATTAGAGCAAACCGCGTTCGTTTGTAAAATAAATAAATATCAAGCCACTGCTGCGTGTTTTTTGTTGTTCCTTCGCTGCAATTTTAGATACGAAAAGCACAATTCGGGAGAAAGAAATAGAACAGAATCTCAATAAACGTGCACCGTCAGATGTTTTATTCATAGGAAGGGTCGACACGTGCTACTCTTGTGGACAGGTTACAAGGCCGTGTTTAGGGAAGTCGACGACCACAATTCCTGGGCCGGTCAATCAGCCGGGCACGCACGCCACTTGTGGCTCCTTTGTTTACTGCTGGGCTCGAGCTAATGGCCAAGGCGCGTATTGGGACTTCCGTTTCCATCGTAACGGAGCTCATCGCTTCGATCGCCTCCTCTCGCTGCGCAAATTACACATTACTTAAATTGGCTCGGGTCGCCACGACGTGTCACCCTGAGCTGTGGTCAGCTTTAAATGAGTCTAAGGTCAGGTGTTTGTAAACCTGAAAAAACAATAGATTTAAGTGCCAACTCCGCTGTTGTTCATTCCCTTATTTTCTGTGCATTGCATTGGCAAGAAACGATTGCAATCCTAGCAGCATTTTGCTGTTTTGGCTAAGGGGGAGAATGTTAATAGAGCACCAATTTGTTTTATGTTGCGGCTTTGGTAAGGACTCCTCCCTAAGCCACCATCACCTATCTCGACCCTGGCAAACATGCGTTTACAGAAGAGCAGTGTGCATCGTAATAAAATATAAGTTCACAACAAAAAAACAGCTGTGACAACACCGATATAATTAAATGTAAGAAAAAAATCATTATGAATTTCATCACACCACATAATATGATGCAATTAAAAGCTCTGTTTCCCAATGTAATTGAATTTACACACTCAGTTGCCAAGGCACTGCAGCGCTGGCAAATCTTCACTCGTGAAAAGTCATTACACATTTGGAAAGCAGTTGACAGGACCGAGGCTAACACTCCCTTGGGATACAAATGTTTAGGAGCATACCCGCCCAGTATTAAGAAGAGCTGAGCTGGTGGTTTAAACCTCAGTATGGCTTGTTGGGAGGATATCTTGACAGCGATATGCCACGCCGCCACGTTTTTTCACTAATCTATGTGAGATGGTCCAAGGGGATGATGGGGCCCCACACACGAGGCTCAACTGTCGAATAAGGCGATTGGCAGCGTAGGTTGCAGTGTAATTAACACTGCGACATTCTCTCCGATGTGTGTTTTTTTGGGGCTTGCCGCATTGTTGATGGGCAGGATATTCCGACTTCGCTCCACACGCTGGGAGCTGTTCCAGGAACTGAATGCCTGCGCGTAGCAATTCAGTTCCCGAAGAAGCTCCCAGCACGCGAACGATCGACATCATCCCGAACGAAACGGCACAATCCGAAAACACACGAGAGAGAGAGTTATACCGCCACAACCGATGCAAGTGCGGTGATAACCAGGGCTTGATTTCTCGTGAAATATTTTCCAGGGCCCTCTGCCAACTCCCTTTCACTACCCCCCGTTTCTAACTTGGCGTAGGGGGGGGGTGTAGGAATTATTTCCGCAGCTCGACTCCCAAAAGCAGCTGGGGCTGAAATTAATCTCCAAGAATATAACCCTCACCCCACCTCCCCCCCCCCCCCCTCTGCATTGTCCGTGGCAGAGGCCGAGCAAAACCACATCCCAGAAGCGAGGCGCAAGGGGGCTGCTGCTGCTGCTGCCGCCGCCCTGGGCGACGGCTCCGTCTCTGCAAGCGGCTCACGCGACGGTCCGACCGCCTCCAGCGGCGGTGGCGGCGTGGCCGGCGGAGTCGCCTGGGGGCTGGCGGTGTCCGCCGTCTCGTCGGCCGCTCTCGCCGTCCTCCTCTACCTCAACCGCAAGAACCGCTGGCTCAACCTGCCCTGCTCCTTGGCCAAGGTGAAACGCGCGGCCACGAAATACGAGCGTGGTGGTGGTGGTGGGGGGTGGTCAGAAATGCCCCGCGGCACTCACGTGCTCGTGGCACGACGGAGTTTGTCCGGGAAGCCCCAAGTGTCGTCGTGACGGTGGCTTCAACCTGAGCTGCGCTACGAGACGGCGTCACGAGTAAAATGGTTGTCCCAATCACCCCTCCGCCGCCCTCACCTCCGATTAGCACGGTTGGCTACGTACGGTGCGAAAGAAGTTCAACACGCACGACGTACGTACCTAGGCGGCACGCATGAAGTGCGATGTCATTGCCTTGGCCGAAAAGGCTTTCTCCGTTACCGCCGGTGCTTTGTCAGCACATTTTGGGCATCCCTGTTGGTCAATTTGCCCAGATGGACGGACAGAGCCCATGACCTGAGTTGTAAAGCGATTATCAACATTATAATGCAGCAGCATCATCAAACTGAGTTTCATTTCCAGTCACGGCTATTTGAGTGGCGTCCAAACCGGATCTTGGGCGGCTCTGCGAGTGGTGAAACCGGACACATTTTACTACCTCCATGCCTACAATCCATAAAGGATATTTTGTACAATTTTTGCTGTACTGTACTGCATCGAGGAGCAGCAGTGTGTCTCAGAGAAGTGAAAGCCAGCCCAGCATGCTGCTGGAAAAAAAGTCTAGGAGACCTAGAGGCAGATGGCCCACGTCTGATTTTATTTGGCTTTTAAACAAAGCTTTGATTTATTACCATAATCCACCAAGGTAGTGCATAATCCATTTTGAGCAGTTTTGAGAAAGCTATAGTTTTATATTGTGTATATATGATAAATTATGTTAACTGGGGAATGCATTTGTCTAAATGCATCGAATGCAATTGTCATTGAAAAGTTTCAATTATCCTTGCATTTTTACGTACATTTACAGACCTTTTATGAATGACCTGTTAGGTTCCCACACTTTGCTGGTCAGCTTGGATTGAAGGTGGGGGAATAGTTGTTGGCAGCATAGACCAGTACAAGAAGATATTTTACTGAACTGCCCCCTGCTGACAACGCAGCAGCCTACAGCACCTGTTTTATGCAATGCGGTCACTCATCTACGCGCTAACCAGGCTCAGCTTCCGAGGTCTGACGAGGTCGTGCATACCTACATCATAAACCCTACTGAAAGCATACTCCTGGCTTACCGCTGCACCCAGACAACGATGAATTCACTACCCGCGGCAATGACCTTTCCACTTCTCCTCCCAGGAGGTTCAGGAGCAGTCGGTGTCTCTGGGCGCGTGCTCCGGCGTCGCCAAGGTGCAGGAGGGCGGCGCGCACGCGGCCACGGAGGCGCTGGCGGACGCACGCCCCAACAAGCGCTCGCCCAACGCCGTCGTAGCCTCGGCCAGCATCGTGCTGGAGAGCACCGAGACGCTGGAGCAGCCCTAGCTTAGCTGCGGATAGAGCACGGCGCGTTGCGCACTCCGCCACTCGCCCCGTCCACAGGAAGCGAGATCTCCGATGTCGTTTTTTTGGTTGTTACCCAGGGCCGGCACTAGGAAGCGTGCTGGGGGGCTGGGGCACTGCACCACCAATCGTTACCGTTGGCCTTCCAGACAAGTTGATTCTCTTTAGCGGTGCATCTCTGTCATGCCCCCCCCCCCACACACAACAGTACTACTGCCCCCCCCCCCTGTCTAAGGAGCTGGAGTCAGACGGGCCTGGCCGTAACGCGTGTTGTTCGGCATGGTGTCCGATGTGTCAGCTCCGTGAACCAGAAGAAGTTTCTGAATTCACTCATGCAATTGATAAAAAAATTGATATGAATTGAGTTCCTGAAATATACGTTATACACTTTCGCTGTACTGCATTACCCGTGCCCCTGGGTATTTGTGGAGACATTTCTTACGTATACCGTCATGCAACCCAGAAGCATTTGTGTAGTGTGCCAAACTCTGCTGATGAGTCTTGGAGAAGTTGAAACCGGTTTCTGAATTCGGGAGCTTCTTCGGAATATAAATGCAGTTCATGAATTCCGTTCCTGTAGAAGCTCCCAGCACGTGGAGTGAGAAACATTAGGGGTCGTGACATAGATGCAGTGCAACACGAAGTACACATTGGAGTTATACAGGACAGCTGTAAAAACCTACGCATGGAGGCTAACATTCACAGAAATGTTCAAATGTGCCATGAAAAACAATACTTGCAGTTGTCATTTTTTTAAATATATAAAACAAAATAAAATAAATGGACCAACATACAAAAGAAAACCTTATACAACTAAACCCTGTATATCACTGCATTCCGTAACGACTAACCAATTTTCATTTAGGCTACAACTTTACAAATGGGACGAGAAAAAGATAAATGAGACGATGAACACACCAGTCAAAAAAAATATCAGATTCTTGAATTAAAGCACGATCCACCGCCCCAAATCCCCATAATTCATCGAATCGCCGAGGCATGATTCGTTACAACACCTAGTTACCTACGGCTAGCATTCTCTCAATCAAAATAAAAAAAATCCCCTTCGTTTAGAACAGACCCTGTGATCTTCCCTCCTACCCACCCACGCACGCGATTGCCACCACAGGGTCTGACAGACGCTGCAGCTGCAACCAGCTTTGGGTGTTTAGCCAGAGGATATTTCACAATAATTCATGGCAATCATTCACGCTGCTGAAATTCAAACTTGGCGATCGATGTTAGGCTTGAGGGATGCTGTAAACAATACTCATCCACCTGTTGGTGAGCAGATGACTTTCTTTATGAGCAGATGTTCAAAAAACCCTGCTGATGTATTTAACGTCAATAAATTGTAAAAAAATATATATAATCTGAGGGCTTTTAGAACATTTGCATGTTTACAAATTAGTCATTCCCCCTGATCCTATCGTCTCCACCGTATGCTTGCCCTCCCAGGCAACGATCGACCATGCAATATGTCCCTTACTAATCTGGCACTAATTGCCCATTGGTGGTTTCTTTTATACATGAGGCAGAATATATTTAGGTATTAGGTCGAGTTTAAAACGCAGTTGTCTTTAACGTTGAGCAACCTCAAAAATGAAAAAAAGAAGTTGCACGATAATTTGAGTTTTTTTTAAATGACGAAATGATGCCGTTTGTAATGCGTACCTTACTTCTCATAGGCTACGTTAAATACTACCGATGTTTTTATTCCCAGCAAATTGGTAGTGAGAAATTGGCAATACAACTGTTGGCAATTGCAGTGGCCTTGGTGGTCAAACGCATCAACGGGCTATCGCACAAAATTGGTGAGCACCTTAAAGGCATCGCATGAAAAGCGACTTCCTCTCTCCTCCCGCGCTGTCACGAGCGCCGCATTCAAGGAGTCAAAGAGGGCCCACGACCGATTTGTCCTCTCAAGACTGCCGATAGTCAGAAAGTTATTCCAGGGTAACTGGTGCGAGTTTAATAGAACTGGGCCGATAATATATAATTTGAAGGAAAAGGTTAAGATTCGGTGCGATTAAAAAAACATGCAATTACAGAATGAGGTGTCTGGTTAGCCACCCGCAAACTCAGCTTGCACTTGTAATATTCGTAAGTTATAAACAAAAGCTGTAGTGTTAAAATTTAATATTTGTACTTACTCGACTTTTTAATGACATGTAAACGTCGGCACCTACAGCACACTTACATTTGTGAAAAGCCAAATTCCTAACAAGTACTAAATCACACGGACCCTGTTCTTTCACTAAAGCCCCCACCTCTCTTAACCCTTAAGAGCACTCGCCCCGATCTTAACCTCTAACCTTTAACCCTCTGACCACGATTGCCCCCGTATTGCATTTCGTGTTGAGAAAGCCATCACTGATTGACGAAAACACTTCCACGGATATGGTGATGACTGATGGAAGGTGAGGATAAACATGCAGAAATGCATTAGCGTTCAGCCCTTGCCAAAACAGGCGGGCAGAGGTGATGTTTATATTTATACTGGATCATAGCTTTCCACAAGTAGGCTTGTGTTTGCATATATTGCTTCATCCCAACATGGAAAATACAGGGTTGTCGACACAAAGGCACATCCGACTATAACTTGGAATGCTTTAGAAAGGGTTTCAGTTGTTTTTAAAGAAACCTATATTATGGATAATCTGGATAATTATCTTGTTTTAATAACTGTAATGAAATCATCACAACAAATTACAACATTATAGTATAAAAAGTCACGTAGAGGCTAGCCATTACCATCAGATTCATCAATTTGTTCCATGCTTTAAGCTACAAATGAATCCCCTGCACATAACATTAGGGCCACGACTAACAGATTGGGTCCCAAACCTTTTAAGTTCGGTGTTTAGACCGAGTATAATTTAAACAAGGACAAACATGCAAATGCATGCACCCAAACGGTCTAGACACCGATGTCATGTCAACGTCATCGATGAGGGTGAATGCCTGACAAATGTTTTCCATCTTTCATGATCATGAGCATCTCTCATGGCCTCCTGTTCAACGTCTCACTGTTCCCTCCCAAATATGACCTCAGGATTTGTCCCACATATGCCACATTCCTTCTCATCACTTCTCAGCGACTCTTGCTTGTAGCCTCTTTGTTAACTCCTCTTCATTCCTCCTGTTATACATTATTACGTGCACACCACACTACAATGTGCACTGTGTGCAAACACCAATTCGTCCACAACTTTCAAACACGTCACACTCTACAGCAAAGATAGTTTTGTTGAAATAATTAAATCAGACGAGAGTCGAACGTTAACAAATTAACAATTGTTTTTCTTTTACTATATTTGTACAATTCAAGAAGGAAGCTCCCCGATAAGACCCACGTTAAAAGTTTTCAATGACTCGACGAAAAGAAAAATGTATATTTGGCTTTTGCGTAACAATGAAAACAACACGTGTGGGTGTCAACGGGTTACTTACGAACACGTGACTGCATTTACCATTGGGTTGCTGCCTGGAATTAGAAACCCTAAGTTATTACAAGGTACTGGGTGTTTACACATTCGTGTTGTTCTCAACATAACCTTTACTAGAGAGTGCTGTCGGCACTAGTGTGATGTGGATGAGTGTAATTTATTTTCCGAGCGGTGGTGGTGTCTGCCGGGGGGGGCTCTCCCAGGGGTTCAGTGTTGCGGAAGTAATTCAGGGAGGGGGGGGGTCATTCAAGGTCACAGACCGCTTCATCCACCCGGCACAAGCATTTTAATCTCTATCGTCCGTGCAACGGCTGTTCCAACCTAACTTTGGTATTCGAAGACACGACTTGAAAAACACTCGGTTCTTTACTTTGTAGGTAAGCACCTTGGTTGTGAGTTGAGCTTTCCGATACAACTTTGAAGCTTTGTTGACGAGAAAAAACACTTTTCAAGTGACTCGAAGGAGCATGCAAGAGTGGTGTCGTGTTGCAGTGACGCCGCCAGTGCTGGCATTGCAGAACGAGGGAGATTGCTCGTTAACAAAGCTTCAAAATTGTCTTAGGTAGCACAACAGCCACTTGGTCTGGTGTAGTTTCCTTTGGAACATAGTCAACGTAATCGAGGTGCCCAATATAACAATGTTTAGTCCCAAGTACAATGAAACGATATGTTCTATTAATTATCGAACGTGCTTCCGTGTTATCGTTTGAGAAGCAGTACGCAGGGCAGCTCTCAGATTGGTTTTGGCGATGTACCACGTGTAGTTGGGTACAGTGCCTGACGTTTTTCTCTTCAGGAACTCAGTATTCATGTCGCCAAACTGAAAACCCATCAAAGGGCTAGACTGCAGGATTGAAAAAACCTACACACTAGTACGGTTCACAGGTCATTTATAATACGTTTTGTAGACTCTGGTATAAATACCTCGACTGTAACTAAAAGCCAAAGCTAAGCTGGAACAGAGGACAATTGTTACAAATAAAGGGGTGGGAACCAAACCAGAAGATGGGGGGGCAAGGTCACAGATTTTCCGAGCCTCCGAGCGATATGAGTGCTACCCGACACTGCAAGGGCCCAAGCTGCTCCGACAAGGATCACTTGGTCTTTTATGTTTTTGGCAGACACGTGTTTATGTTGTAGCGTTTCTAGTAGGAGTCGTGTTTTTTGTGGTAGCCCCGACAGATGTAACATCCGAATAATCGTTGAATACGGAACGCACTTGCATCGTTGTAGGAAGGCTTTAAGCGTGTTCTTAATAAATTTACTTATCAATAAATCAAAGCACAATGTTGTCGTCTGTGCCTCTAGTTGAATAAAGTGGGGGAAATATTGCCTGTTTTACTGCTGTAGTTAATTTATTAACTTAAATAATACATTTCTCACACGTTGAGATTTCAAAAGTATTTTTCAGCCAAGTTCACTCTTTGTTGGCAGGAACATTCCTGCAGGGGAACACATCGGTAACGTTAGCACGGTGAACAAAACTCGCCGAGAAGGGCATTTCTATTGAAATTACTCCAGGGCCAGTGGCATGGACCCTAGTGTAAGATCTTACCTCGGGCACCCGGGTCCAATTTCTCCTTTCTTTGTAGTGGGGCTTCTGGGCTCCGCTGGCCTGGGGGCCCGTGGTGCATTTCCACCACCTGCACCACACTCTATAGCAGTTGTTCTTAACCTTGACTGCAGCCTTGCACCCCTTTTGGTTCTCAATCGTATTTTTTTATGTTAATACATATAGCTTTGAAGAAACAATGTCGTTGTACTTACATGCCCGTGCTTAATTTGTGTTTTCATGATTTACCTTCGAACAAAAATCCGGCATGCCTCACACCCTCAGAAGGGGCATCTCGCATCCCTAGGCGGGTGCGTGCACCCCAGGTTAAGAACGACTGCTCTATAGCTACCCCACTGCCAGGGGGCATTAAAAGCACCCCCGCCGTACCTAATGTCCACACCTGGTACAAAGCAATACAATGGTCCCAAATTCCCATGCTCGTGGCTCGGAGCTGGCGAAGTCCGCATCGTCGCACCGCCGAGCACGCTCGCACACGAGCTTTAAACGCCCCCCCGGCACCTCCCCCCACCGAACGTCACTGTCGCGGTCTCGCTGGCTCCTGCCACCGGTGCGTGGCACTTGCAGGCGGCTCAGTCGTCCCTGGCCGGTCTCCTGCGGTTGGTGCCGATGTACTGCAGCGCGGTGGTCGCCGGCTTCCCGATCACCTCCGCCTCCAGCAGGGGCTGCAGCACTGGCGGCACCCGGACGCGGCCGTCCTGTGGAGCGGAGCGGTGAGGCGACGGCGGCGGTGGGGGGGGGGGGGGGGGGAGCAATTGACGGGGCCCGGCCGTTAACGGCATTAAGCCGCTTGGTGCAAAGGTCCTCGGTGTGAATCCGGCAGGCCGTCCGTGGTTATCGCTGCCGGTGGATTAACCGTAACGTTAAGCATCGTCTGCATCACGAGTGGATGTTGTCGAATGTTGGGACAAAGTGCGGTTCTAGGTAAAAATATGAAGTGGATTCATGTTCAATTCAGTAAGGGACAGCATTCAAATTCTATTTGCAGCCAGAAGTGATTGAAATTCTACACTCCTATGGTGGGGGCGAGTCTTTCTATAGGTTAACCACTGGTGATTTTCCACGACAGGTTCAGTTACTACTTGTCACCGATGTTGTGCATCATGGCTGGGAAATTGAACCGAGGTGGCCACGTTCGTGTGCACGAATCACTGTGCCACTACTCCCCAGAAACATATAGCCACTGGGACTGTTAAGAGATGAAATTACATCTTACACACGCACACTCAAGCATTCACACGGCGCACAAGCTATCTACGGAGACTGAAATACATTTACATTGAAGCCTTTGACATCTTCCATCAAAGCTCATTTATATTGAATTCTACAAGTAATTTACTCGGGGATTACTTTTAACGCATGAATCATCCGGTACATAATGCCTTAATAAATAACCTTAACACTACAAAAAAAAAGCTCGATCAGCCATTCTCACGCTATGACCAAACATGAAAAGTCCAGCTTTCGAGGTTAATCAGGCGGACAATACACACAAAACAAGCAGTGCCTGATCCACTCACAGATGGTGATGTTTAAACAAAGAACAGCTGTATTGGTCAGGTTAAAGTCAAGAGGTCCTCACGGCCAGTTTAATTGATGCCAAGGCACATTGCCGCTTCCTTTTCTTCCTTTTGCTTGATCCTGTTAAGTCAGCATCCAACCTTCAAGATCTGCGCTTATAGTGTCTCACCGCATGGCTCTAGCTTCCCACTTGCAGGTATGTTGAACTTCTTTCGCACAGTACGTAGCCAACCGTGCTAATCGGGGGTGCAGGGAATCGGGAGGTCAATAACCTCTGGGTGCCTATTGCATTGCCGTCAGAATCACCCACCCTCCTTCATCCTGCACACATACCACCCATCACCTCTATCTCCTTTTCCGTAACACGCCTGCGACACTTTCTCGCCACATTCCACTACGAACGTCCCAAGTTATTTACCCCATCCTTCCATGAAATTCCTATCATCCTTTGCGTCTACCTGTACTCAATTACCAGAAGCTCCTTCGCCAGTTGCTTTGCTGTGAAACAGCTAACCTCTAAACTAATGCCCTGGAGGCTGAGGAATAGTTTGACAAGTGTTTGGCAAGAGCAGACTGAAAATGTCATTATGCCCAAGTATAGTCTAATGTGTCTATTCTTCATGGCCTTAAATACTAATTTTGCCTTCATACGTGTGGCAGGGTAGCTCATAGGTAAGATCGCCAAGTTCGTTATCATGAATACTGTTTTCCAATCCATTCAGCTGCCTGTGGTTCGACTAGGTTCAGTGAATTTATGGACTCGGTTATCAAAGATTGCACATTAAAAAGATTGTACATTAAAAAGATTGCATTGAATTTACGCAAAATTTGGCGAATTTAAAATAAAAAATAAAGATTTGACTAACATGAGCATAACATTTCTCTCTGTTGTTGAGTGAGGGCGAGGAAGGGCTGCTCCTCCTCGTGTGGAAAGGACACCAGAACTCAGAAGCAGTTCCGTGAGACTCCCTTCTGCGGAACGTTCTCTAAGAGGGGGCGATGGACTTGTCTGTGAGAGCTCGTAAATGATTATTCATCTCAGGACACGATGCCGATAGCACAATGGGGATAACTTTTCTTTTTTTAAAGGAAAACATTTATAAATGTTACCTTCATTTGGTATGTCTCAAGGATAGCGATGAGTAATCGTGGCACTGCGCATGCTGTCCCGTTCACCTGCCAAAGGTAAAAAACAAAACAATAATTTACACTAAAAACCGGATATATTTTTTGTACTTACTTTGAAAAAATTGTCAAATAAGCAATAGAATCTACCGCATTAACAGTCAGATTAACAATTGGTACTGGTGCATCAATAAACGTGAGTGCAACGAGAAAGGCATGTTTTGTTTACCGTGTGGGCATATTTAAGATTCCTGGACGAATCAAAGTACTTGATATGAAGTCTCCGACTCTGGTAGTCTGTGCAGTTGGAGGTACTTGATATCTGCAACAGCCAGAGGAAATATAATTATCAAATGAGCATCAATTACCAACTAAATTCATCATAATTTGATTCTTATTTTTTTGCTGTAATTTCCCCTGGATGTATCCAGATTGTGCTATTGGTGTCATGTCATGAGACAAATAATCAATTCACGCCCACCCTGCAACTGAGAGTAATGATTGTAGGATGACAGTCAAACCAATATTTTCAATCTGCAGGGATGGATTTTTTTATCCAAATTAATGCAAAACCAAATTTAATGGAATGTTTTTTTTGTGTATCTGCAGTCATTGATGCTGAGAACAGCAACTCACACTAACACTTGAGAACCCGGTTTAAACAAAGGTGGTTACCTGGATTGAACCCAAGATCTGTGGTACCAGCTCAGCGTTGACCTCTCAGTCATCAAGCCATCTCCCAGGAAATACATAATTAAGCTATGCAATATTTTACGGGTGGTTCTTAGAAGAGTAGTTCAATACAACAGTACGGCAAACCACGGGAGAACCTTGCTCCAATCCAAGGTAACCACACAATATAACGTCAAATTCAATTTAACAATACTATCTTCAGATTCTTTGGAAGTTATTCAATTATATTTTAGAAAGTGTGGCAAGTGCTGTGACACCCTCTGATGGAATACTGCTTACGTGAAAGATACGCAGGTGTAAGGATACACCACTCTCGGGTACTGCACACATGACTGTTTAGGTGTCAACTCACTACGTACTCTTTATATAGTCTCAAAATATGAACAGTTTGTACTCTACACACATCACTGTTGTCACTTTAGAGGCCCATTGTTTTTACATTTGTTACATTTTACATTGGGGGACTCCACAAACCTCGCCAAACTTTTCACGGCCTGGCATCCAGGCCTCAATGTCGTATTTACGGTAAGCGGGAAGGCCCAACTCCTCTGTCGGCATATCCAAAACCCTGAAACGAACCAACAAGGACACTCATACGGCAAACGTCGTTGAAATCAAACTGAGTGAAGGTGGCTGGGGTGGCTCAGGACTGAGAGCACTTCCGAAGCACGACTCAAAAACCCCCGAGTTCAAATGTGGGCAGCTATCGGTGACGATTCTCTAGTTTAGCGAATTGATGGTTTAAGACCAGTTAAACAGTGACTGGACAAAAACAAAAATGCCAGATATTATCATTTATATTTTCATTAATTTACATAAGTTGGAGCTATGAATGAAACATGTACTTGAATCGATATATGATAAACACTTTTTCTAGGCCATGTAAAATGTGTCTCCTGAGTGTGGATACAATAAAAGATGTCACTTGAATTGGCTCTAGGATCACTCCTCCTTGCCAATAGCACAGCATCATGTCATTATACGCACACAGTGCGAGGCACACCTTAAACATTCATTATGAAGTTGGCCAAACATCTCTGAACAATTTGTTTTATATATATAAATCCACGTGACCACAGGGAGAACATGCACAAACTCATAATATACAGGCGTCGGGATCGGGATCGAACCCACGACCTCCGACATACCAGGCGAGGTAGTTAACATCTCGCCACTGCGAGATAGGACCACAGAGCTTTGGCAATTGCTGTCCTAAAACCGTGCACATTACAAAATGTATATTTTTATTATTTCATTGTTTCCCTTCTACGTGACTTTACCGAAAGAACCAAGAATATGAATATAAATTCTAAGGCGTTTTAAGTTTCAATATGCATAAAAAATATGATTTCATACTTATTCTAAACACGCTTACACGATGATCAGCCCTTGCCACAAGCGGCCTCACTTGTAGTGCAGGCCCAGGTCTGAGTAGATCTCCTTCTGGATGGAGAGGAACTCATCGAGGAGATCATTGCTCTCGTTTCCACTTTCGGCAGCCGTCACCCCAAACATCTCCACCTGCAGACACGCGACCCGGGCAGATTGACAGGGAAGACAAACAAGCCACCAGCAGTTACATTTCGATTTAAAGCTTTCGTGACTGCAGGGATTCATCTTCTTGGTTCTTTCGGTAAAGTCACGTAGAAGGGAAATAATAAAATAATAAAAATACAACATAATAAAATAAAATTCTCACGAGGTTTTGGCCACAACACAAGTAGCCTTCTTCAGGTGAAGGAACAGAACTGTCGGGACGACAGCGCTTCAATGAACACTGCTAAGCTTGGCAGCGTATTTTAAGCTGGGTGGGAGGAGCAGAGCGCCTTGACAAAGGAGTTTACATATCAACAGAATAATTTAGCATTGAAGTAGCTGTGTTAATGTGAGAGATTACCAGGATGTTAAAGTCAGAAATTAGCATGTAACTGGGAGATTAGCATGATGTTAGTGTGATGAATTAGCATGTAACTGGTCACGGAAGTAGCTATGTTGAAGTCAGAGTTTACATATCAACAGAGGCATTTAGCATATTGACCCTAAATAACTGCAACTTCCCAACTATCATACAATAAAACGATGTGAAAGAACTAAATATAAACTACATCAATATAATCAATGTACTCAATATATTCTCCAAAAAGTTGAGCTATTAACATTAAGTAACTGGGTATACACTACACTATATAATGACTACCATATAGTGAACCGATACAAAATAAAAATATCAAATACATCAATATCATCAATATACTCAATATACTCTCCAATAAGCTGAGCAACGAACAATAAGTCATTATACATTACACTTCTATGTCGCAAAAATTATTATAATATGCCTCCAACTAATCTTTTTTCTTACATCTCACGATTATACCCCATATTATAAACTGCCATAGACAGACCCCAACATTGAATTATACACTGCAATACTATACACTACCCTATACTTTAGTGTAATGTTTAATATAATTTATTTGGTAATATATAGTATCGTAATTGTATAGTGAATATACAGCAGTGTGGTATACAGTAGGGTTGGAAAAATAATAAATAGTGTAATAAACCTACCATTAAAATTATAGACTGATCATTTCTTTGTAAGTGGGCAAACGTACAAAATCAGCAGGGCATCAAATACTTTTTTCCCTCACTGTATAATTGAATGTTGGGGTCTGTCTATGGCAGTTTATAATAAAAATATTAGTTGGAGGCATATTATCATAATTTTTGCGACATAGAAGTGTAATGTATGACTTATTGTTATTAGCTCAGCTTAGTGGAGAATATATTGAGTACATTGATTATATTGATGTGGTTTATTGTACAGCTTGGTGAGAAGGTGACAACAGTTGGTGCGATTATTCGCAAATGGAAGAACACAATCCCTCGGCCTGGGGCTCCATGCAAGATCTCACCTCGTGGAGTTGATATGATCATGAGAACGGTGAGGAATCAGCCCAGAACTACACGGGAGGATCTTGTCAATGATCTCAAGGCAGCTGGGACCATAGTCACCAAGAAAACAATTGGTAACACACTATGCCGTGAAGGACTGAAATCCTGCAGTGCCCGCAAGGTCCCCCTGCTCAAGAAAGCACATATACATGCCCGTATGAAGTTTGCCAATGAACATCTGAATGATTCAGAGGACAACTGGGTGAAAGTTTTGTGGTCAGATGAGACCAAAATGGAGCTCTTTGGCATCAACTCAACTCGCCGTGTTTGGAGGAGGAGGAATGCTGCCTATGACTCCAAGAACACCATCCCCACCGTCAAACATGGAGGTGGAAACATTATGCTTTGGGGGTGTTTTTCTGCTAAGGGGACAGGACAACTTCACCGCATCAAAGGGACGATGGACGGGGCCATGTACCGTCAAATCTTGGGTGAGAACCTCCTTCCCTCAGCCAGGGCATTGAAAATGGGTCGTGGATGGGTATTCCAGCATAATGACCCAAAACACACGGCCAAGGCAACAAGTGAGTGGCTCAAGAAGAAGCACGTTAAGGTCCTGGGGTGGCCTAGCCAGTCTCCAGACCTTAATCCCATAGAAAATCTGTGGAGGGAGCTGAAGGTTCGAATTGCCAAACGTCAGCCTCGAAACCTTAATGACTTGGAGAAGATCTACAAAAAGGAGTGGGACAAATCCCTCCTGAGATGTGTGCAAACCTGGTGGCCAACTACAAGAAACGTCTGACCTCCGTGATTGCCAACCAGGGTTTCGCCACCAAGTACTAAGTCATGTTTTGCAGAGGGGTCAAATACTTATTTCCCTCATTAAAATGCAAATCAATAACATTCATGACATGCATTTTTATGGATTGTTTTGTTGTTATTCTGTCTGTCACTGTTCAAATAAACCTAGCATTAAAATTATAGACTGATCATTTCTTTGTAAGTGGGCAAACGTACATAATCAGCAGGGGATCAAATACTTTTTTCCCTCACTGTACATGCTAATTCCTCACACTAACATCATGCTAATCTCCCAGTTACATATGCTAATTTCTGACTTTAACATCCTGCTAATCTCTCACATTAACACAGCTACTTCAATGCTAAATTCTTCTATGTAAACTCCTTTGTCAAGGCGCTCTGCTCATCCCACCCAGTTTAAAATATGCTGCCAAGCTTAGTAGTGTTCATTGGAGCGCTGTCTTTCCAACAGTTCTGTTTCTTCACCTGAGAACGGCTACTTGTGTTGTGGCCGAAACGTCGTGAAAATTTTATTATGTTTTATTTTTATTATTCCCCTTCCACGTGACTTTACCGAAAGAACCAAGAAGATGAAGCCACCAGCAGTTCGCAGCGCGGTGTGTTGCGTGATTAACACCGGGGGTCAGGGAGTTTATGTGCAACCCCTTTCTGTGAATCTGCTGCTCGATGAGGGCCTCCCAATGCTCTGTGGGGCTTGGGGGTTATTCCATCTTAATTTAGTACTCAACAAAGGTCTGAAGCGTCGATATGGAAGCACAGAATTATAGTAAACAATGGATTTCGCTGCATTGCCATCTGCTGCCCAACGCATATCCCATATCAACCAATAATAAAGAACCTGCTGTGCAGTGATCATGCATCCAAGCACTCTCCAGACTCCATCCGGCCTAGCTTCCGAAATCTGATGAGGTTGGGCGTACGTTTGGTGATTTGGTCATAGTCGTCACTAAAAAGATGACTGCAAAACAAAAATTAGTTTTTCCTAAGCTCGGCTTTCATAATTGAAAGCAGAATACTGAACTGTGCAGGCTAGGAGAGGGTTAGCATGTTAGTTTAACACATAGGCTTTCACGATCAATTAATAATAAAGATTTTGAGTTAGATCGCGTAAATATAAACGTGTTGTAACCCATAATCAATTCTGGCAAATCGCCTGATGAAGCTGGTTGTAAAAACCAGTGAAACGTCATACTCAAATTGTAAATGTTGTGCGTTTACTTCTCCAACACACCGGTGGGCTGAACTAGTAACTAAATGGCACGTTTTGTTTACGTGACAAACCTTACTAATTGGCTGTCTCCGGTGGTGGTGGTGGGTTAGCGAAACATGTATACGCGCTCTAACCCAAAAACCTTTATTATGAATTGTCAGTGGGCTGCACTGAAACTCAGGCACACCTTCATCAGGTGTGCAGGCGAGGAGAGGGTTCGTGTGTTAGTTGGTGGTTCGTTAGCGTTGTCAGTGGGCTGTAATGAAACTCAGCCACACCTTAGTAAAGTGATGCACGCGGTAGAGGCCCCACGTCTCCTTGCCAGTCTCTGTCTCGGCCCTGTAGCAAGTGCTGCAGCAAACTATCCTGCAGAAGGAGCAGCGTCCACACAACCACCACGTCATGAAATATAAAGCCTTCCAAAACCCATGCAGACAAAGGTGTTCCCGTAAAATACGTTGCCAAGGTGGAGCACTTAAAGCAGGAAGACTGTACAGCTATGTCACGGATAAACAGTAGAATGCTGTCTAAATGTATGTTTAACATGTCAAAGAAGGAATATCCACCTCAAGGGCAGGTCCTTCAATTCCACTGCATGATCCATGAAGTAACCTGCAAGAGGCAGAAAATGACACGGGAGAACCGAACTACACTTGCTTAACAAAACACACTCTCACGTGTTTACATCACCATTACACCACGTCTCTCAACGGATAACGGCCAGTGGTCAAAACTAGCGGTGGAGTGGCAGCCAAAGGAAGAAACACGCTCAAAGGAACGCTGAAATAAGTGTGTTTGCAGGTGCTCGATATAGTTAAATTGATGGGACTGTGATGAATGGTGATGGGTTGGAGAGGCCTAAATCTGCCAGTGGATTATGTCACAGCTGACGATGATGATAGGGACATGGGTTAAGATCTAAACTGATCCCACACTTGAAAGCCTCTGATTGTGAACCGTGTGCTTTAACCACAATGCCAACTGGAAAAAATCTATTTAGAATACGGCTTAGGGACAGTTCTGGAAGCCTCACCGGCGATGCCAACCTCGGAGGTACCGGCCAGGTTAAGGTCCTTGAATTTGGCAGGGTCCAGCGAGTAAAGCTGAGACGTCTTGGCACTGGGACACATTCCACAGCCTTCCTAGGGGTGAGAAGAGACCCATGCAATATGACAAGGCACACCAGTGCTATTGCAGCAAGCATCCATGGGATTTCAGCAAAACAGGGACATATGCATTTACGTTACGTGCGTACTTCTTAAATGTAGTACTAAAAGATAGGTAAAGCTGTAGCTCTGCAATGTCTTGCTCATGCCACTGCTGCTAGAAGGGCCTCCACTCGAGAACGCTCCAGACAGCCGCTCTGGAGGGTACTTTTGGCCTACTCTTTCATGGTGGCTAGACTTCTTGGAAGAGGGAGAAGTGCTCACGTGTTATTTCACCACACGCAATCTGACAATTGACTGTGGTGTTCCCATTTATACTGCTGGGTGGACAGAATCTTCAAGAAGATTGAAAAAACTTTCACCATTGGACATCATATGGGAGAGATCGAACCGGCGACTTGTGGATTTCAAATCCAGCTCGATGACCTCAATCAATTATTATTTTACGTGCCAATATCGCCCTCAATAAAGCAGGCATCAGTGCACATTATAGCGTAACGGGAAGGGTACAGAGGGCACGGAGCAGCAGGAATGAAGAAAGAAACTCGTCATGGCCTCAGCGGCTAACACCGACTGAGCAGGGTAAATTGCAACCGTGCGCAACGAATCACATAAGAAAGCTCAGTAGAAATACAATTAATGAACGTGAAAGAGGCAGTTTTTTAATTTTACATTTTGGATTTGATGGGAAGGCGTCTGAATAGGTGTGTATTGCACAAAATGGTTGTGTGACCTATATACACCACAACATCCCATATTTGTAATGGAATGTGAGATTTAATTCGAATACCTCTGTTAAATGGTTGTATGAACAGCACCTGGTTGTGTAAAATTCCTTAGAACAAACTAAACTTGCGAGAGCAGATACAAGCAAAAATATAACAAAGATTGCAAAATCATGAGATAGATTCAATTTGATTACAATTATTTGTTAAGCCCTATGTGGTTTCATTTCAATTTCATGGCAGCTTGGCAGTGATGTTTTTGAGGACTATTACACCAAGGAATTGCAGATAATAAAAAAGCACATTTGTTGCTCAGTATGATGTAACTAATTATTTTGTCCGTAACCACGTAAATGTTCTGACTTACAAAAACAACGCCTTTGAGCATGTCGGGCACAGACAGGGCTACGAAACCCTGAAATACAAACACACATTCGTACACAAGAGACATTAGTAAAACAACATGCTCATGATTTTGCCATTTATTGAAAACCTATAGTGTTCATACGTTCGTTATAAAATAAGGCATTACAAATAGAATTCAAGGCTTTATCAAGAGATAAAGTCAGGTGCAGGTTGCGGGCAGGTAGTAATATAGAACGTATACTAAAATTAATAATAGAATACTGTGTTTGATTCATTTGTACAGAGGCTTAAGATGCAGATGCATTTAGATTCCCTATGAATCTAGGCCAAACCCAGAAGAACTCTTACCCAACTTCCAATGGCACATCCAAGCCGAACCACCCGTACCCTCAAGGTACGGGTGGCTTTCCACTGGCTACTTCGTGAGCTGCGCCAGAACCAAACTGTGATACGTTGTCCTCACAAGACATTTGAATCTGACTCTGGTCCTAACAGAGCCAGGGGAAGGAATGATGACGCTTTTAGTGTGCGTCACATCAATCAGTACAATGTGAGGACACCGCGTCATCTACTTAAGTCTCGACATGTTCATTGCGTGGAGTGACTCAGGTTCAGTGGTAGAAAAATAAAGTGGCGCCTCAGCAGCTGCTGCATCGAGCTCGCTTGGCATTGCCGCGGGCACTGCTCAGTTGCACAGAGCAAAAGAAGCGTCTCTTTTTCTTCTGAGGTGTGCCTAAATTCCGTGTGAAAATCTAAACGTGGTACGATTTCGTTGTTACGCTCGAGATTTCCCGCTTCGGGGTTAAGAGTTGGAAGCTCCAAACAAGCTGAACGGGCAAGTGCAAGTGTTCCACGCGATGGGCATCCACAGCAAGTACCCTCGCAGCATCCTCACCCGTCGCTTGAGCTTCTTGAGGGCAAAGTGGGCGAGCGCGTGTTCCAGCTCGGCGCCCGCGCCTCGCAGATAATACGAGCGATGCCCAGACACGTGTGACAGGTGCCTGCGTCAGAGGCGGGAGGGGACACGCCGGGAGGGGGGACGTCAAGGCAGGGGGGGAAGTGGGGTGAGTGGAGGGTGGAGAATGACGATTTTGTTTCAACGTGAAGAGTGATCAGAGATGGCTGGCGTGTTTGCTGGATGTTGGGCACGTGACAATGCTACCCCCCCGAATCCCAGGGGTCAGCAACCTGCGGTTCCGGAGCCGCGTGCGGCTCTTCAAGGACTGCTTCGTGACATTATTTATTTAGGACCACCACCTCTCGTATTAGCATGCATTGCAGCTCTAGAAATATTTAGTTTATTTTTTTACCGAATTAAAAAAAAGTCTCTTCTTGTTATTTTGGGTGCCGATCCCTGCCCCGACCTCCTGTCTGTGGTGAATGAATCGATTCCCCACTGCATACCGAATGGACACATCAGCTGGTCAAGGAAAATGTGGTATAAGAAAAAAATGGGTAAAACATTTGCGTGGAGATTGATAACACAGCTCATGAATATGTATGGAAATGTGAGTATTTGCTTCAGATAAACACAAATACTAAACAATATCATGCCCTCCGAGCAACCCTTCCCAGTACTCACTTCTGTCGTATTATGTCCAACTTCTCCCCGATGTCTAAATGTACACGTGGTTTAAAATCAAATTCTGCAACAACAAAAATATTTCAATAGTCAGTCGTCTTAATATATTTAAAATACAAAATACTGAAATACATAATTTAGAAATATGCCCATTTTTACTTTATATACATAGATCGTTTAATCAGTCGCTGATCTTTTCATTACGAAATGCAGGGCCTAGCTTTGATGGGTAATGTGTTATTAGTTTACGAATGAAAGCTGTCTCGAAGGAATTCACTTTTAATAATTTTACCTGGCTTTTGACCTACAGTTTCCAGCACCCTGGCTTGGCTCTCATCACCAACGGGCTGTCATAGAAACAGAAAGAAATCAACAGTCCCAGTGCAACTGTCTCCAGCTCCAATGAAATAGACCAAATGCGTAATTTTAATTACAACTGTGGTTGCATGTTTTGCAGCCTTATCATTTTGTATACATCGGCAAAAATGTGTGTGTGTATATACATGGAGAGGAATAGCAAACACAGGCTTACTCAAAAGATACAATGTAAGGTGCAGCCCTGCAATGTCTTGCTCAGGCCACTGCTTGTGGAAGGGCCTTCACGAGAGTTCCACTAGAAGGCATTGTAGTCTATTCTTCCATAATGGCTAGTACTCTTGGAAGAGGTGAGAGTAACTGCACGTTATCACACAACACATGACCTATGCATTGGCTAACTGTATATATTAGCTAATTATAATTCACTTCCTCGACTAGTTAATGAAATATTATTTGGGTCTTTCAGTAACAAATACAAAAATAAAATAAACAAAAAGCTCTAATGAAATATCACAATGTCGGATGACGATCTGATCGACAAATTGATTACTTTTCTACCACTGTGAAGTATACACGAAATCTATAGAGGCTGCAAGGTTTGGCTGGTTATAGTTCAACTACTTAGAGCTGCAGTAGCTTCCACCTCCAGTTGCTGAGCACAGGCCCAAAGACCCAGAAAGCCGAGTGGCCAGCATAAAACAGTGAGATGTAAATTGTAATATATGAAAGTTAATACATTCCTTCAATTGAACAAGGCTTTAAGAAGTTGGGAAAACAGATTACGGGAGGGCATTCCAAAGCAGAGCAATGCGAGGAAAAAGGCAGAAAGAAAAGTGGTTTGACCAGCAATGATGTAACCCAGTTAGTGAGTGGGTGGGTGAATACGCTTGTGGGTGCGTGAGCGAGTAAATGAATGAGTGAATGTATTTGGTGTGATATGCGGTATGGTGGCTGAACAGTCTGAGATGAGACTAAAATGTCAGTCGGCAGCGAGGCAAATGGAGACATACCACGCTGGGGTGCGTGCGGTTGGGCAACTGCAGAGCTTTGAGATAGAATTTCTCATCCAGCTCAGTCATCCGGTCATAAAGGACGTTGAGTTTTACACGGATCTCCCGACCTTCTCTGCGTAGGCGCTGGTAGTCTGGGATCTGAAACAGGAGAACAAATCAATAACTTATGTTTATTTCCCGCCATTGCCAATGAGTATGGATGCAAAGCACAATGAATTCTGCATTGTTAGCTGTATTATGGTTAATTATTTTCGTGTTAAAATGACAGCTGAGATGTCTATGACAAAATCACCCAGACTACGTACTATATGGTCAAATCTCAGAAGCTAGGGGGAATTTTGAGCCTGTTAAGTATTTGGATGGGCGATTACCATGACCAACGGGTTGTCAAAGATGCCTATGAAACGATGCTAGGCTGCAAGAAACGAAGACATTGCAGAAAATTCCGCCGTTGTGCTGTGCTTCGATATTCTCACGTCTACGCACCCCAGCGCTCATCAACCCGCACCGGCGAGTGCGGTAAAGTTTGGCTACATAAAGCAAATAACTATCGTGGCGTGGAGAGGCCCTCATCCAGCAGTTGACTGGCAGAACTGGCATGCATGTACAACATGAAACGATAAAAACAATTTGGCAGATAAAAACTTAAAACACTTTTCTGTTTGACAACTTGAACAGGAAACTACCTGAAACTGACATCCATTTGCCTTCCGGGAACAATAACGAGCCCGACAGCCCTATCAAGCATGACATGAGCCTGAAAAGAAAAAAAGGTCTTTGGTTCCAAAAGTAAGAAGCCATAGCAGTGTTTTAATGAAGACGGTATTTTGATGCTGCAACTCTGTATACCAGACGTAGATGTTTTAGTATATGGCACAATGAGGTGCAACGCTAATAAACAAGTAGCAGTAAACCGTCTTTAAAAGCCTTCGACATTAATGCTCGGGGGTTAATGCCCTTGCGATTCAATTATATTCTTTGTGATTTAAGGGTCACGATTCAACTCAAGAGCCAATTCGTGTTTGTAATATTATGTATTTGAGTGGTTGGAGGGGTCATGTGAACACTACTAATGCTAAAATTACTAAACTACACCGTCTACAAGAATACACACACAATTAAACTCTGTTATACTCGTAATACCCGACATGTTAAGTGCGATGTACATGTTCATACGGTTAGGAAAATGTAGCACTGTATTGCACAATGGAAGAAATGTTTCAGTAACGTACACGAAATGTAATGACAATTTAGCCACTTTACTAAACACTTACCGAAGACACGGAAGATTTCTCATTGTTTTCCTGCAAAAACAATGAAACATTAACAAACGCTGAAAATTCTACTTTAAAACAGTATACAAAAGATTGTCAACGGAAACATGTATTTTTATATTCTTAGTTTTTTCGGTAAAGTCACGTTGAAGAGAAACAACAAAATAACAAAATATATATACTAAGAATATGAATTACTGCAGTCACGAAAGCTTTAAATCAAAATGTATTTTTATGTTCTACGTATCATTATGTCCACAACGCAATATAATCCTGAATGCCCTTCAAATATGGTACTCGAGTACATTCCAAAAACAAATTGTCACATACTGTGTCTAAACCTTGAACAGGTAGGTACAATATCACTGGAAGCAGTGAGCCCAAGTGTCATATTCGACTCACCACAATGTGTTTGATTTGCGAAGCGACCTGAGACTTTTCATCCTCCAACAATGCCACTTGGGCTTTCACGTCCTCCAATTGCTTCCATGTCGAAATCTGTAACGTCCCCGTATGAGAAAAACAACCGACGTTTCATTTCCAGAACTCCCACCAAACTGATCCCAGCACAGAAAACCATCAACGTTTAATGTGTCCAAATTTGTGGCGAAGTTACACTGATTAAGCTCCATGAGAATAAACATACAGCATTGGTTTTGAATTCTTTGGTTCTTTCGGTAAAGTCACGTAGATATAAAAATAAAGTAAATAAAATAATAAATAACAAAAAAACACGAATGTAGCCTGTTGCCTGGTTCTAAATCGGAGTGTACTGGCAGTCTATAATGTAGACTGTAGCCTGGTTATTAAGCTGAGTGTACTGGCAGTCTATAATGTAGACTGTAGCCTGGTTATTAAGCTGGGTGAGTGTACTGGCAGTCTATAATGTAGACCGTAGCCTGGTTATTAAGCTGGGTGAGTGTACTGGCAGTCTATAATGTAGACTGTAGCCTGGTTGTTAAGTTTGGTGAGTGTACTGACAGTCTATAATGTAGACTGTAGTAATGGTTAAGCTGGGTGAGTGTACTGACAGTCTATAATGTAGACTGTAGCCTAGTTCTAACCTGAATAAAATAAAAATAGCAGTCACGACAGTTTTAAGTCATTGGTTTTGTGTCAGGCAGAGCGGGTGGAAAAGTGGCAGTGGATGGGGAGGTGCTGCCCTCTGCTGTATGGAGCAGATGTCACGAAGAGTTGAACGGATCTCAAGAGGAAAACGAATGTGAAATATACTTTCGCAGCCGTTCCCTCATAGTAAATGTTACACTTGCCTCTCTACGAGATGTGGTTTCTTAATCTGAAGACACGACACCTACGGTAAAATTCGGTATAGTCACGCAGAAGGGAAACAACAAAATAACAAAAATATAAAACAATAAAATTATCACGACGTTTCGACTGCAACACAAGCAATCATCATCAGGTGTGAAAACCACAGCAAGAAATTTTGAAAAAAAAAGTGGTTTTCACACCTGATGATGATTGCTTGTGTTGCAGTCGAAACGTCGTGAGAATTGTATTGCTTTATATTTTTATTATTTTATTGTTTCCCTTCAACGTGGTGACTTTACCGAAAGAACCAAGAATATGAATCCCTGCTGTCACGAAAGCTTTAAATCAAAACCACTCATATTCTTTACATCCTGTCAGCAGCTCCTCCTTCACTCGCCCTATGCTTCGTGCTCCACGCCCGGCTGCTGTTCATGTTACATTATTGCCATTGTGATCGCATTCAATGCAATGTGATTAATCCCACGGCGTGTTCCCGTGGCTCGCCCTTGGGCTACCCGACTATAACTCACTCTTTCCTGTTTCCGTAGACTGTTTTGTATTGTAAGTCGTAGACGGATCGGTGTCAGTTATAATAGGGGTTTTTCCCCCTTTTTTCTCGCAACAAAACTGAAACTTTTTTTTTACAAGGATTCATGTCTGCATTAACCACAATACCTGCAGTCAAAATGCAAACAAAAAAACATACTATGATGATATATGATGCATTGTCCTTGAAACTGATTGGTGTGGACCAAACATTGTCCTTGAAACTGATTGGTGTTGACCAAACAGTTTCAAGGACAATGCATATATTATCATAGTATGTTTTTTGTTTGCATTTTGACTGCAGGTATTGTGGTTGATTTAAAGCCGCATTGTCCTTGAAACTGTTTGGTCAACACCAATCAGTTGTTATCATAGTATGTTTTTTGTTTGCATTTTGACTGCAGGTATTGTGGTTAATGCAGTAACATTAATCCTTGTAAAAAGGTTTCAGTTTTGTTGCCATAACAAAGGGGGGAAACCCTATTATTACATTTTGGTACTGGCAAAGGATGTCTAATGATGTGGATTGGTGTCAGCTCAAGAGTTTTCCTGTTCAAGTTGTTCAAACAGAAAAGTGTTACATGTTTAAATAAAAAAAGCAAAATGTTATTCACAAAGTCGTTTTTTTATGTTAAAGAATCTCGCGTGCGGGCCAGGCAACTCGTCATTACCTCTCTGCCCGCGTCTCCTCTCGTCTTTTAATGCATCATCATCATTATTATTGCGAGTCGTTTCATGGCAAAACTCTATACATTTTGTTAATTTACACCGCCTTGTGGTGAAGGCAATAAGCGACGCTTTGGGCAATGTGCTTTCTTCGTCCCACCAGATGCGGTGTTGAACTTATTTCGCACCGTACGTAGCCAAACGTGGTAATCGGTGCGGGGGAAAGGGCGACAAACTAAACACATCAGTTGGAAAGAAATTCGTTTTCTATTTAAAACTCGGGAGGTGTAGCTTATGATGTGACACGAAGAGCCATTGCTGAAACATCGTGTATTGTTTCCTCGTGTGTGTGTTTTAGCTCGTGCTATTAAGGGCCATTGACCGAAACGTCGCATACAGTATTATATACGTATCCTGTTAAGGTCACGGTGTGACTGACGAATCCTTTGAGTCTTGTTATATTTGTGCACCACTGACAACGAATCACCATCATCACCACCACCACCAAATCATCGGTTTCGCATGCCAATCTCCAGGTGTCTCTCACGATGTCGTGCACGTCTCGTCCCGCCAGCTCGCCCTTGCGCGCCTCCACGTTGCTCGTCCACGCCTCGCTGAGGCGGCACACGTGCGCCATGTCGAGCTCGGGCTTCTCCGAGTAGCCGTCTCGCACGTGGCTGTACAAGCTGCTCACAGTGCCGCCGCTACTGCCGCTACTACTGCTGCTGCTGTTGTCGCGGTAGCAGCCGCGCAGGCCGCTGGTGCAGCCGCGGCGGAACCTGCCCGTCGTCGTGGCCGGGAGACGCAGCGAGGAGGAGGAGGAAGAGAAGGAAGAGGAGGAGGAGAAGGCGGCGAGGCGGCCACAGAGCGAGGGCGAAAGTCGCAGCACGAAGGGCGCCGCCATTGTGGCGACTCTCACCCGGGGGTGGTGGGGGCGGGGACGCGCGGGCGCGGCACAAGGCGGACGATTCGGCAGCAGCCACATTCACTAACGCCGCTTGCAGATTCGCGTTGACGAAATCTTGACGACTTAAAGCGCGACTGCAGGAATTCATACTGTTTGGGTCTTTCGGTAAGGGGGCCGTCCATAAATGACGTCACGCACCTAGGTGGGGGTGGGGGGGTTCAGACATTTGTGACGACGGGGGGGGGGTGAGAAATGTGACGTCACATCAAAATGCGCAACTTTAAATAAATATAGACAACACGTTCTACTTAAATAGACTTTTTAATAAATGTTTTCTCCTACAACATCAGAGTGCAGCGCCACATTAAATACGCACTACAATTACAATAAAGCGATTTGAAGCATGTGTTTTTTTGGGGGGGGCAGAGCTTTGTGACGTCATATTTGAGGGGGGGTCTGACTTTTTGTGACGCCGTGTAACTAGTGGGGGGGGGGGGGTCAAAAATCGTGTGACGTCATTTATGGACGGCCCCTAAAGTCACGTAGATCGGTTCAAAGAAAAACGTCGTAGTTTTTAATTTTCTTTGAACCTATTTACCGAAAGACCCAAATAATATAAATTCCTTTTATACTTACGCGATCTAACACAAAACCTTTTATTATGAATAAGATTACTTATTACATGTATTAAAAACTTTTGCCTGCCGAAGACACGAAGACAGGCTTTATGAACAAATGATTAATACAAAATATGATTCTGACGGCTGAATATGACCCAGAAGGTCGAAACTTTCCCATGGTTGTCGTTCATTAAACAAACATCTGCTTAAATTTTGATTTAAAGCTTTCGTGACTGCAGTAATTCATATTCTTAGTTCTTTCGGTAAAGTCACGTTGAAGGGAAACAATAAAATAATAAAGTATATATAAAAAATAAAAAAATTATCACGACGTTTCGACCATAACACACCTGATGACGACCGTTTGTGTTATGGTCGAAACGTCGTGAGAATTTTGATTGTTTAATATATATTTTATTGTTTCCCTTCAACGTGACTTTACCGAAAGAACTAAGATTATAAACATCTGCTTGATTATATTTGTACAGAAGACCGATATGCTTATGGTATGTGTTGATTGTACGTGGAACTTAAGCGTGCACAATGACTGCCATGCCCATGGTGTTACTGGCCCTGCACGTGCACACAGCCTGGCACAGCGCCGTGGCGACGTCACCGCCACGGTTGTTGTCGCTGTTGCTCGCTCCCCTTGCTAACATGGGGCTCAAGTCAGCGCGATATGCTATGACGTCACAGCGCGGTGACCAGAAGGCGCAATGACGTCATGTCACTGCGCGCAGCGGCGACGTTTTACATGGGGGGGTGGGTGAAGGGAGGGTGGTGATGAACCGCGTGTTTTTCTTGTGTTATGAAACGTCCCAAACGTTCAATGTTTATTCTGTATACCTAACGTGCTGATGATGATCCACACAAAGGGTGAAATCTGTCATACCCTGCGCCTTTAATTAAAGGGACACCGACAGGACTTAGCAAACGCTTGCGGCTTCAATTAAAGGAGCACTGTCGATATCAATTTCCCGTGTGCATGCGTTACGCCTTTAATTAGAGGGACGCTGACAAGATCCCCCCCCCCCCATACCCTGCGCCTTTAATTAAATGGACACTGATAAACAACCCCTCCACCACCACCGTGTCCAGTACCCTGCGCCTTTAATTAAAGGGACACTTACGAACACCCCCAACCACCACCTTGTCCGGTACCCTGCGCCTTTAATTAAAGGGACAGCCCCAACCCCCCTCCGTGCCCCATACAAAGAGGGCGGCCGCTCTGCGCGACTCGGCCAGTCGCGTCACGGCTGAATCCGCGAGCAGGGAGGAAGGGGGGCGAGGGAGGCGCTCTCGCGAAGCCACCGAGAGAGAGAGAGAATCAAACAGCAGCCCCGTCGACTCAGCCGACGGGAGACACCGACACACGCACAGAGGAAAGACATCAACTAACGGGCCAAGATGGACAACAGCGGCAAGGAGAAGGAGGCCATGCAGCTGATGGCGGACGCGGAGAAGAAGCTGCGCTCTTCCCAGTCGTTCTTTGGGGGCCTCTTCGGGTAAAACTGCCTCCTCATCTTGGCGATCGCGGCACGGGCGGGAAGCCTCACCGTCGCGGGTTCAGCCCCGGCCCAGCGAGCCGGTTGGGGGTGCCCTCTCGCCGCTGGGCTCCTCCTGCCTCGGATGGCTTCGTCTCTCGGTGTTGTTCATTGTCCATCGAGGTGGAATCGATTAATCCATTTGGCAAAAAAACAAAAAAGGCTGTCACTGGGTTAATGTCGCAGTGGCGCACCGTGATAAACGAGCACGTACCGGACATGTAATTGTACAGAGATGATCGCTGTTAAATGTCAAGTGTTACACCGCCTCTTCCTGCCCCGTTTCGAGTAAATATGGAACTGTTGGAGCAGCGTTGGCCTAATGTTCCATGTTTTATTGGCTTGCAAAGGTCATGTGAGAATGGGCCGAGTTGGCCCAACAATGGCTCAGTTGAGGCCCAACATTGAGCTGCGTGATGGCCAAATATTTGTGGTGGCCCAAGATTGAGGTTGGCAGTGGGCCCATCATTGAGGTCGGTGATGGGTCAATCTTGGGGCCCCAATGTCGGTGATTCTGCGTGTCTGCACCAATGAAGCATTTCGTGTCAGAATCGTAATCTTCATTTTATACTGGAGGAATCCGACGAGCTATAAAGCTCTTTTTTTCCACAGATGTCCAGCGCCTATCGCGGTGGCATGACGATCGGGTGACGGTGTCATTGTGTGTTTGTGGAACTGTCGTTTAGATGGAAGCCAGCGGAAAGAGACGCTAAGTCCAGATGTCCGGATAAAATGCTGCATTGAGGGCGAGGGGCCTGTTTGTTGGTGGCAGTGGATTATAAAGCCTTTGGGTTAATGCGGTGAAGGCTTATAGATTTGAAGCTTTCGTTACTGCAAGGTTCCATACTCTTTGGTTCTATTCGGTAAAGTCACGTAGGTAAAGCATAAAACAAAAAGTCACGACGTTTCGGCCACAACACAAGTGGCGAAGGGACCTTCACCTGATGAAGGCCACTTGTGTTGTGGCCGAAACGTCGTGATTTTTTGTTTTATTTTTTTACCTACGTGACTTTACCGAATAGAACCAAAGAGTACGGTGAAGGCTTTTTCAGACATGCACTCCAAAGAGGCTTAAAACTGTTTATTTAACTGGAGGGTTTTGTATATGTTCACATGTTTTATACATTTGAGTATGTAATGACCCAATGGGGCTCTCTTGCCTTTACGTATATGGGCTATGATAAACACACAATCTCGAGTAAACATTTATATTTTCAAGTACAGCTAGTCACTCTTTTTGTTTGGGTCACTCCAGTTTGAATAAAGTACAGAGTGCCAACGTTTGTGCTTTATTCGTAAGATGATCGGTGGACAGGAAGTTCATTGACATCAGCTGACTTGTTGTTAGGCCTATAAATGCCTAGTGGCGTGCTAACATAGTCACACTTGCCTTGTCCTAACTCACGTGGGCTTCTCCTAGTCACATTGAAAATAGTGTTCAATCGGCGCACATTCTCATTCACTCTGGAGCCGTATAAATAATATATTCTTTCTGAATTGTTTGCACAAATTAGCAAGGTGTAATTCCTGTGTCAGAACAAAAACATGTATAGCCTCAAGTTTTCTTAACAAAAATCTTCCTATGTCGTACACTATTTGCCACAAAAAAACACTTAAAATTATCTACATTTTAACGATGTTTTAAGCATTTAAGGACATATTCTGCGAGAAAGTATTTTTTGTCGTTGGCCACATTGTTAACATTCGGTCAATCATTGTGCACGGTAGGGTCGTATTGGTGTGTGATGTTGCTTTCTCATTAACGTACTGTGTAGGGGCGGATCCTCAAAGCAGGAGGATGCTTGTGAAATGTATGCCCGCGCAGCCAACATGTTTAAAATGGCAAAGAACTGGAGCGGTGAGTGTGCATCGCGCATTTCCCAGAATAAGTCGCATGATGCATGTTTGAGCAGCTTACAGTCCTTGGTTTTAGTGTGGATGACACGAGTATCTTTGTATTAATACAAACCGCTGAAAGCAAAGGCATTTCCTCATTGAATCTTGGTGTGTTGCTTTTCTAATTTCCAGCTGCTGGAAATGCATTTTGTCAGGCAGCCAAGCTGCACCTACAGTTGCAGAGCAAACATGATGCAGCTACCAACTTTGTGGATGCGGGAAACGCTTTCAAGAAGGCTGATCCACAAGGTAAAAATGATTCTCCATTGAAATAGTATTCCTACTTTGTTGACCAGCCAATGACTCTATGGCAATGCATACAAATGAGTGGAGATAATTGCATGTCAAACTACTCCTGTATACGACTAAAAGTTAATCTTACCTTTTCAAATGTTGTTCTTCTAGAGGCCATCAACTGTATGAATCGGGCAATTGAGATCTACACCGACATGGTAAATGTATCCACTAGACAGTACTCTGCTAAACAAACCTTCGTTCACACATTCGCTTATAAGCACGTGCAACTTGAGCAATTCATTTGAGAAATCATCTCTTCCTTCAGGGACGTTTTACCATTGCGGCCAAACATCACATTACCATCGCTGAGATTTACGAGACCGAGCTGGTGGACATTGAAAAGGTGTGTCCCTTTAAAACATCTCTTACTTTCATATCGACAATTTCAGTTACACTGTAAAACATACAAACTGAGATCACTTTATACAATGCCATACTGCCAGCATATATAAAAGTGGAAAATAAAAATATGGTCCCTAAAAATGTTAGTTTGTGGAATATATTTCTTGGCCACAATTGTATCTGTCAATGCTATTTTTAAAGGTTATAATTATTTTTGTGACAGTAATGTATTGTCTTGCAGGCAATAGCACATTATGAACAGGCTGCAGATTATTACAAGGGGGAGGAATCCAACAGGTAACATTTGCAGTGCCAATCCATACACTTGCTGATTTGTTTTGTGAAACGTTTTCAATACTTGTGATCCACATCACCTGACAGCGATTACTTTGATCGTTTTGCAGCTCAGCCAACAAATGCTTACTAAAGGTGGCTGCATATGCAGCACAACTGGAACAGTACCAAAGAGCTATCGAGATATACGAGCAGGTAAGACATTTATATCACATTAGACCAGGGGTGGGAACAACCTTTTACTTACTGAGGGCTGAATGGAACTTTGAAAAACAAACGCACACCTTGGCATATTCCTATAATGCAACAAATAATTAGTACTCACCCTTTGCCGCAGTGGCAGAAGTGACTTGGAGTGCTAAAATTAGAAACGATGTTGTTTCCAAGTCGAATGTATTTCAGGTACTTAATTAATGCAGCTAAGGTGCTTGCAGTGACGGATACATATTGTTTGCAGGCAGTTTCCAAGTGGTCGGCCTGATGTGGCGATGGCCCATATAAAATGAAGTTACGAGCTGTATCTGGCCTGTGAGCAATAGGTTACTCATCCATATGTTACACGTACTATATATGGGTAGTGACTCAAGACACTATACTAACAACAGCTAGCTGTATGACTGGAATAGGGTTTTAAATAACAATGTCCACTCATGTGTCACATGAGTTAGTGTTGGGCTTTATCCGCTTGAATAAAGATCGGCAAACAGTGGGAGATTTTGTTAAATATCCCAGCATTCACAATTTTACTGTTAATCAATTGAATAGGCTAATCGTGCCAACCATAACATGGGGATGTATGTTGAACTTATTTCACACCATACGTAGCCAACTCGGAGGGGTGGGAGAAGGACAACTAAACACAAAACTCAGTTCTAAAGAGATGTCATCTTGTCAATGCTGATGAACTGACAGTCATGTCAGGTTGTCATGCATTTCTTTGCAAAAAAGCACACAAATCAATGGAAAGTCATTTATGTAATGAGATAATGAGAGCAAATGTACAGGCAGTCCCTGACTTTCGAACGGGTTCCATTCCTGAGACTCGTCCGTAAGTCAAACGGTTCGCAATTCAGGAAAAAATAATGTACTGTATTCAATTACACATACGGTCAGTGTTATAAAATGTGTTGCGGTTCAACAAAAAAAGGGAAGCATTGATAAACTCTTAAATATCTGTAATTGTCTCACAGACTGTTATGGTCTATTATTGTTGTCTTCACCAACCGTGCATTTGCTTTTGGTCTGACGTTGTTGACATGTAGGTCGCTACCAATGCTATGGACAGCACCCTGCTCAAATACAGCGCAAAAGAGTACTTCTTCAAAGCAGCGCTCTGCCATTTCTGCATCGACATGCTGAACACGAAGGTGGGACGCCACGAGTCACAAATCCTCACCCTCACCCAATGAGTTGCGAATTAAGTCTTGTACATTGCAGGGATGAATTGCCTACTCTTCAGCTAATGGGCTTTAAATGGTTGACTGAAAGATGTAACAAACTAAATTGTTGTCAGTTTGCCAGATAACTGAAATGTATAATTGTTCGTATGCCATTCAAGAAGCTTGTGCAATTTTTAATGAGTAAATGGTGGTGTGACTACAGAACAGGGTAAACACATAAATAACCTTACTTCTGCAATCATGCAATATTAGAGATGGAATAAACGTATTTTATTCTAAATGTTAAGAGTTTATTTTCAAAATAGAAATAACCAACACTAAAGAAGGCATGTTTAAACACTTTTGGGTACAATGCTTTAATAACCCACATGACCAACTACCGTCAGTCATTTTATGTTTTATTTACACTCAGAAAGCTGAATCGCATGCAGGTTATTTACCCGCTTGGTTTAAGCAACTCATTGGACAGAGTACCTGAAGGGGAACTCAAGCAAAGCCACACCACATCCGTGAGCAAATCCAGGCAGTGGCTAAATTTATTAAACTTGGGTCTCAGTGGGAGCTGCCCCCCCCCCCCCCCCCCCCCCCCCCCCGACGCAGGCTTTAGAAGATCTCTTAGTGGGGAGCGTCATGCTGCATCAATACAGGAATTTATGTCATGACCTGTTGCAGTGGGGCGCTAGCATCGTCGGTGGTCTACAGAAGGGTGCTGTGGCAGTGGGGCACAAAGCTTTCTGCGAACACCAAGTTACCTCTTTCTGGATACCCCATCAGAGATGGTCTCTTGGATCCTGAAAATGTGGCTTAATTGAAGGTCATTCACAACAAACTGTTCAAGGATCACAAAGTGAGCCAGACGGTATATTCAAAAGATATCAAAGGTCAGCATGTGAACGAACCAGTCCCTCCTTTAACGGAAGTGTTGAACGCTTCCCTTTTATACAGCAGAGGAAGAGGCAAGGCGGATATTGTACTTTGAAGCCAGTACTCGGTCAACAAAGGCTTTTGGGGTTCCCCCTCCAGCCACCCTCTGCTCCTAAGGAATTCCCAACCATCACCACCCCCAATGACAGAACAATTTATCTCCCACAGCATCGCCCCCCTCTTAATTCCAGTGGGAGAGTGATTGGGACACTTTAGGAGAGAATGGTCTTGAACAGTTTCACACAGATGGACTCTCTTAATTTACCCTCCTTTGACCATCTTGTGTTCTCCACCAGCCCCATGTAATTTGATTGTTGCAACAATTTGATTTAAGGAGTGGACAGGTTGTTGTTTAGTTCCCCCTGCTGAGTCCAAAGCCTGTATACGACACGATATGGTCCAAAATAATGCAGGGGTTTCTACCCCATTGTCGACCTTTGGCTAGTGAACAAGTTTGTCAAGCCCTGCTCCTTCAAAATGCAGACCAGTGCCTTCATCATTTGAGCTTTGCGCCCATGGGAATACTTGAATGGTAAAGGGGAAGAGATGGAGGCATCCGGATTTCATCAGTTCTATTATTAAGCAAAGGTGGATAATCTGACCATTTTGGTGCTTAATATCAAGAGTCAAGACAGCAGCTCCCAAGATGAGGATTGTTTTTTGTTTAAATAATCGATTTTGCTTATGCTGTGAGATCAATAAGTGCAGAATTTGACTTTCATTTGTGACCCAATCGACCAGAGCAGTGGCTGTCTTTGGGACCTCTTCGTTCACACCTGTAGGGCATGCACATTCCCAAACACCTTGATGACGTGTGTCAGGGTGGATTGAGTCGCATTAGCAGATGGCTTTTTGGTAAAGCTGTACTCACAGCTGGTCCCACCAGGCTTAGTGTTCCATATAGCATAGTTTGTTGTCCTTCGGCACCTTTGAAAAGCACGGTTAACTACATATGGTGTGAAAGAAATTCACCTTACATACTTATGGGTTCGTTTTTTTGGCCACGCTCAGTTTTTTTGGTAAGATTTTTTTATGGTCTCCCTCCAGTGTTTCAGCTTTGGAAGGGTAGTTTTGTATGGTGGCATGTGTGTTGCATAACGTTAAAGGGGCTCAATGCACATGCCACAATACATTTCTGTCATTCCCACGTGGACAACAATTTGTTTATAACTTTCCAATGTAGGAAAGTAAAGAAGTTATGTTTTGTGGATTTTCGCGAAACATTACTCAGTTTGTTCACATGATTCCATGTTGAGCCTCGATTTATTTTTTTACCGATGCTAAGCTGATGTATGTGCCCTCAGCAGTTGGTCAAGTGGGTTGGTCACATGGTGACTTCTGTATGCAAGGGTGATTAAACCATGCCTTCTTTAGTTGAGTGTTTTTTCTCTTGTAAATGAATTTAGCATTTATAATAAAAACCGATTCAATTTTGGCATCTGTTAACTCTTCTGTATTCACAATTTACTAATTAAAAAATATCAAATTATTCTGGGTCCCTTTAAAATCACAAAATGAAAGATATTTATCTATATATATGAAAGGGAAATTTGTGAATGTCTATTCGAAATGTTTAGCATATTTCCCAACATGCAACAAACTTGAAATTTGGCATGTGGGTAGCTACCTGACTCTACACAATGCAAAAAATAGACTTTTGTATATTTTTTTGGTGGGCGACGTCACATCTGTGACGTCACCCGCATGCGGCAGCTTGACGCAATGTGCCTGCTGACGTCACGCATCCCCCCCAACCCTCCGCCCAGGCCGTGTATTAATCCAAGACAAGAATCTAAGTCTCGGGCGAAGCCGGGTGGTAAAGCTAGTAATTTATATAGTACAGATGATTGCGGAGGTTAAGTTAGTTCTGTTTGGTAGCATGCGTTAATATAACTTCAGGGTATTTAGCCCAATTAATCATGTAATGGCTCGTTGCAATTGTTTTGTTTATTTTAGCTGATATCACCCATGTTTTCTAATGATTGCTTTCACAGTACCCCATATTGACTGGTCTAAAATGTCTGTTCCAGCTTGCCCTGGATAAGTATGAAGAAATGTTCCCAGTATTCTCGGATTCCCGAGAATGCAAGCTGCTTAAGGTAAGCTTTTCTTGCCCAAAGAGTTCCCGTCTACCTTTTTCATTAAACTTCAATTATTGTACATACATGCATTAACAAGGAAATGTTATGTGCTTCAATAGAAACTGCTTGACGCCCATGAAGAACAGAATTTGGAAAGCTATACGGACGCGGTAAGCGAAAAAAAACATTACTGGTTTGAGGTTGCTGCCGAAGCAGACTTACAATGCAAACTTAAGTTTTTCTTCTCATTTTCTGAAAAAAAACAGCATTTTGTGGTGTGCGAGATTGTAAACATGTTGGCAAAGCGTGGTCGGGGCATGTGTCCAATGACAGGTCAAAGAGTACGACTCCATCTCGCGCCTGGATCAGTGGCTCACGACGATGCTGCTGCGCATCAAGAAGACCATCCAAGGCGATGGCGATGGAGACCTACGATAGGTGGAATGGCAAGGAAACTCTGCTTCATTGACAGCACGCATGCAAACCTGCCACGTAGCTATGGCAAAACACACACGCCACGACCATTTACCACATGAGGTTCGGTTGGATTGACATACGATGAATTCGCCATTTGAAGAATGTTTTTACGTGTATATTTTCTTTTCCTAATAGGAATTTGGTCTGTGCCAATCCAGATAAAGTGATTGAAAAAAATATTATCTTGACCTTGGTGATAAAATTGAACACCTTTAGCAATGCTACAAACACATTCACAGCAAGGTAAAGTAATTGGTCACGTTTGTAGGAAGCGAAGTATGCTGCTTTAATCCAAACCAAATGTTAGCACTTGTGTTTATGAAAGTACATCCGTTTGTTGTGTTTGTATATAAGTGGGCTGTGGTAATGGTTTCACAACTTGCAATGATTTGGATCGTCATGTTTACCAATTTTTTGTTTGAAGTTGACGGCACGTGCAGTTATCACATCTGCGGTTCAGTATTTCTCTTCCCATTCATTTACAGTGTTCCACTTGTACCATTGCAATGCTTCCATATCAGAGAAGTAGGGGATGTACAAGAAATGCCATTTATTTTTGCATGTCTGAAGACGGCAGACATTTAAAAAAAAGATCTATGGCAGGTATGGACATTGGGGCTCGTGTTCACTGGGGGAAAAAAGCATGCAATTAAGTCTTTGACAGGGCCTTATGTCGTGAGCATAAACAATTGTGACCAATTAATATTTGCAGATCTTACCGAGTGTAAATGCTGTATAATTTGAGGTGGTAGAACCGATTTTTTTAAAAATCTTACATTTACATTTCTTTAAAATATAGCTTTTTTTTCCTGCCTGGCCTAGCACTGTTTAATTCAGATGTTGTGCTTGCTGTGTTGCCACGTTGTGTATGTACAGTGCTCGTTGTACTTGTAGTGCAGTCGTGTCTATTTGCTTGAATGTCACCGCTCCTTGCAAATTGTTCCGTAGCAACAGCAGTTTTACATTCTCACTATGCTAACTAGAGATGTCATACAATGAAACTGCTTACCGTTGAATCCGAATAAAAATTGTGAAAAGGAAAATTTGCGTTGTATATTTTTTTTCTGGATGCAGTCACGGTGTAATGGTTAGAATGCACTTATGCCAGGTCACTGGTTAAACCTCCCAGCGTGATAAAACAATGGGCACACTTCTTAAATCCCACAATGCCTCTATCCACCAAGCGATGTACGTGGTGCTGGGGTTGTGTGGATATTGCCACTTTTTCCAAGATGCCTGTCCAGCACAAAAAAAGGCCACAAATATTCAGCGGCACTAGAGCTCCCTCGAGTGGAGGCCCTTCGACCAGAAATGGTGCAAAGAAGCAGTTGCAAGGCTGCACTTTTACATTCATTTTAAGATCTGAAAAACAACGCGAATAAGTTTTATTTAACACGAGCCTGTTACATTTCAAAACGGCAAGTTTTTAAAATTACTTAATTCAAATAAACGTTATTTACGTGAATAATTTCGGAGTGCGCCATTTCAAGAATGTTTTTACGTGTACCCATAATTTACTGCAGGTTTGTTATAAGCAACATTAAGCATGACAAACTTTGGACCCTGTAATAATTATCGTCAGAATACTGTTACGAGACAAGTAGTCATAGCAAGTATGTGTGCACAAAGTCGTGTCACCATCGTTGAAGCTGAAAATTTGCAAACTGCCCAAGTGAGACTCATTGTAAACGGTGCTGCGCAAGGCTGCAAGACCACACACTGCTGAATAGATTCCAAAACAATTCCCTTACAGGGATTCATAGTGCAGTCAATTCACACAATATACCTTGGTAAATATGTTGCTTTCTTTCCTCCAAATGTGCTCGCAGTGTCCAATGTCAAATCAGAATATCCATTTGAAACTGCGGGCAGCGCTTGTAAGAAAACAGCCGAAGAAAATCACAGGGACTCCTCTACTTACGAACATTCAGACACGAACAAAGGCTATAAATGTCCAGTTGCCTAGACGGACCGAGTCATAAGTTCAACCGCAGCGCAATCGATAGTGGTGGTGGCATCTACATCTGCAGACATGAAGAACCAGTGGCATCTACATCTACAGGAGATTATACAACTTTTAAAGCCATTCACCATGTTTAGTGTACATGCCGTACAACACGTTTGGAATCGACAAAAGTAAAGTTGGTCTTAAGAACACACCTCTGGAAACTAACTCGTTTATAAGTAGAAGAGTCCCCTTTACATGAAACTACAAGGGTGGTTTATGTCAGTAAGATAATTCTGTAACCGTTGTGGATTCAATAAATGCATAGTGAATGAGGTATGATCCTGATACTCAATGCTGTTTGCAGGTATTACTACCAGACTGCAGCCATTTACTATGATCAAATATGATCATGCACAACTGCACATAAGAGCAATGAGCCAATATTAGTTTTTTGTTTCATGATAGTTTAAAGTGAAACTGAACCACCCTTGCACTTTTCAAGTTCTGTCCATAGGTTTTATCCACACTAGGGACAAACCTATTATAAATAGGGTTTATATATCAGGCACCTGATGTTTAATTCTCAACTGCAAACAACTAATTCAAGCAAAGTCCAACTCGTAGGTTTGTGTCATCATTCATGACCATAATTAGACCATTAAGTCACTACATCAATGGACCTGGTTTAAAAACAGACGGTTGGATTCAAACCCATGATCTCTGTTGTGAATGTTCATTCTTTTGATGTGTTATTTGGCTCAAACTACCCGGCCACCTCCAAAGTAGATGTTCTGAATGAATGATGCTCACATCGATACGTTTTCATTACTACCTTTCCTCCACAGATGGAACTGAATAAACAGTCACAAAACAGAATGCATAACACAAGATTCTCACATATGCCTACAATGATGACCTCATTAAAACTAATGTGTAAACATCGCGCACTTCAACGAAGCTTTTGTCCAAAGAAACACAATAGACATGTGCAGGTCAGTACATTGTTTCGTGTTTTCTTTAGCCAACATAACCTGCTATGAGTTTTACTTTAAGCATTCAACAGTGTACAGTTAATGTTATACATACTTTTACCACCATTGTTATTAATTTATTTTGGGTTCGATCGTGTAGGTATGATGCATTCTATATCTTCTTTATATAACCCACACGACCCGACAGAGCCAATAAATCAAGTTGTCACATGGACAAATACATCAATTGGTTTGGTATTTCAGCAAACTAGGATGTTGAAAAGCAAGCTCATTTTTTTAAATAATTGTATATGATGTGGAAGACAATTACACCCAGAATCATCAGGTATGAACAAAGGTGACTTTCTGCTTTTCAACATTCTGGTTTGCTGTGAACCAAAATCTATTGGCATATTTAACCACGTGACAACTTCATTTAATTGGCTCTGGGGGGCGGTGTCGGGTTGTTAAAATTATGTAACCCAAAATAAATGAAACATCGATGTACTGTACAGTTAACAAAGTGTCCAATAGCTTTTATGACGGTCTATTTATGAACTAGCTTGATACATAGCTGACAAAGTATATAAATTAATGGGTGCAATGAGTATGCTGTACACGGTCATATGTTAAGTAGTCATATTTACTCACAGCTACCATGTTTATACCTGGGTCAAGACAGTTGGGACCTGGAGACTTTATTCATCTAACATTGCCTGCATCAGCAGCAAAGCGGTGCAGTCATCTTGATTGCTCAAGGTGGGATAAAGTCTTGGGTACGGAAGTGGGCATGAGTTGTCGGGAAAACCTTTATATTTACTATATCCCTTTGAAATGTCAAAAATCATTGCATTTTTTACGGTGACAACTTCAGACGTGGTAGACCAAATGGATAAGGATCCCGTTCACAATAAGTAGTTGAATGGAATTCAAAACAATATGCGTACCTTCGCCACGTTATCTTGGTCACTATGACGAATATAGGTAACTACAGACGATACATAAACACATTTTTTTTCTTTTAAGACTTGATATTTTCAACAGGGCAGTTTTTTTTTACAAATTTCAAAATCTAAACAAGTACTATATTTTGATTTATAGCTTTCGTGTCTGCAGGAATTAATATTCTTGGTTCTTTCGGTAAAGTCACGTAGCAGGGAAACAATAAAATAATAAAAACATTTCGGGTCTTAATTGATTGTTCACGCTTACAGTGGCTTTCAGACCGCATCCATTATTTTCGTCTCCCCCCCTCCTCTTTTCCGAACATAGATGGACTCGTCCATCTGAATAACTGCCAAATCGCTCTCCGTGGTGCTAACGTTAAAAAAACGCCACTTTTTTCAAATTTTCTTGCTGTGGTTTTCACGCCTGATGATGATTGCTTGTGTTGCAGTCGAAACGTCGTGAGAATTTTATTGTTTTATATTTTATTATTGTATTGTTTCCCTTCTACGTGACTTTACCGAAAGAACCATGAATAAGTACTATATTTGTGTAGTGGAGTAGGAAGGTGTGCTGGGGAAACTGCGCGATTGTATTGAGAGAAAGGGAGATTGGAGTTGGGAGCTGTGCGGTGAAGACATGGAGTTCGAAAAACAGAGTTTAGAAGAGAGTTGGAGCATGGTGATAGCGAAGCCGAAGCAAGACGAAGCAGTTAGCAGTGGAGTGAGCATAGTGATAGCGAAGCTGAAGCAAGACGAAGCAGTTAGCAGTGGAGTGAGCATAGTGATAGCTAAGCTGAAGAAGACGGAGCAGTTGGCAGTGGAGAGAGCGTAGTAATAGAGGAGCTGGAGACGGGGTGTGCAGAGACAGAGAAGTGAGATTGGGTTTCGCTGTGTGTGACGACGCTGTATAGCGGAGGAGCTGAGGAGGATAGCCAGCAGTCGAGAGAGCGTAGGAATAGAGGAGTTGAAGACGTGTGTGCGGAGCAGAGCGACGTGATACTGGGAACCAAGGTGGTGAGCGAGACGGGCGAAGCACGGCGAGCGAGCCGCGGTGTTCAGGATACGGTGGCGTGTGCAGAACGTGTTAGACGATGAAAATAAAGAAATGGTTGAAGAAAGACAAAAGTTGTTCGTGTAAAGTTCAACCACTACATTTGTAATAGACAAATGATTCCACATACACAATGAGCCAGAACTGAAATGAAATCAGTTCTGAAAGTTTTTAGATTAATTTGGGTATGTAATCGATCACCTCCATCCTGGTATTAAAAAAAAATTCACAGAAACATGGTGGTGAGATTTAATGTTCTAATTTTTACCTAACACTTGGGTTTAAAATTTGCTTGTGAGAATTGATTTTCAACTTACTTGAGCCGAAAAAATAATACTAGGTGTTAAAAGTGTTTTACACTTAACTGTTTAATTTGTTTCACTGTGCGTGGTGGTGGAGGGCCTTAATGACATAAATTTGGTCAGACCATGAGAAGGCCTTCATCCAAATTCTATTGACTTATTTATTGTTACTGTACCACTTGTATTATCTTGTTTGGTCTGGTTTTCTCCATTCGCCCAAATATAACATTTGCTCAAATGTAAATACTTGATTTTTAAGTGCATGATCGCAAATGTAAATACTTGATTTTTCAGCGTATGATTCGGTGTGTGTCGGGAAAAGATTCAATCTTCTTTGGTTCTTTCGGTAAAGTCACGTAGGATGAGAATAAAATAATAAAATAAAATAAGACAATAAAATTCTCACGACGTTTCGGCCACAACACAAGTAGCCTTCTTCAGGTGAAGGAACAAAAAACTGTCGGGACGACAGAGCTTCAATGAACGCTGCTAAGATTCGTAGCATCTTTTAAGCTGGTTGAGAGAAGTGAGGCACCTTGACAAAGGGGTTTACATATCAAACAGGAGAATTTAGCATTAAAATAGCTGAGGGATTAGCTTGTGACTGGTCACAGAAATAGCTATGTTAAAGTCAAAGCCTACACATCCACAGAGGCACCTAGTGCATGGACGCCAAAGGGGGCTGTAACAACTCAACTATCATACAGTACAGCGTTCATGAGGCTATCCACATATACAAGCACAGAGACAATTTCAACCGAGAAGATGGATTCTGGCTTAGTAACCATTGGAAAGATGTTTTAAACCATTTCGGTTCTTAATTGTATTTTACGGTGACCTTCAGACCGCAGCTGTTTCGCTGGCATTGACTCTTAATACTTCTCACACCACGGTTAATGGTATGGCTTATAACATGGAGTATAACAGCGCCTCGTAGCTGTTTCTCTCCCCCTCGTCCGTTCCGACCATGGATAGACTCGTCCGTCTGAACGGGGCTCGTAGCTGTCCGTGGTGCTGACGCTGAGGGTAAGAATCCACCCATTTTTTCACCATATAGCATTGTGATATAACGACTTTTTTAGACTCAGGTTTTTTCACATCGGTTTACTGTATGATAGTTGAGTTGTTACAGTCCCCTTTGGCGTCCATGCACTAGGTGCCTCTGTGGATGTGTAGGCTTTGACTTTAACATAGCTATTTCTGTGACCAGTCACAAGCTAATCCCTCAGCTATTTCAATGCTAAATTCTCCTGTTTGATATGTAAACCCCTTTGTCAAGGTGCCTCACTTCTCTCAACCAGCTTAAAAGACGCTACGAATCTTAGCAGCGTTCATTGAAGCTCTGTCGTCCCGACAGTTTTTTGTTCCTTCACCTGAAGGCTACTTGTGTTGTGGCCGAAACGTCGTGAGAATTTTATTGTCTTATTTTATTTTATTATTTTATTCTCATCCTACATGACTTTACCGAAAGAACCAAAGAAGATGAATCCTTGCAGTCACGAAAGCTTTAAATCGAAAAAAATTCAATTTAAATCGATACATTGTTACATACCTCGTTAATAAAGCCATGTTCCTTGAACGTATACACGTGCACCGTTATATGAACGCCCAAATGATTTCTTTAGCTGCAGAGTGATGTTTAAAAGGCAGCCATGTGAGAATGAATGCGAGACATGGAAGGCCAAATCTGGGTCGGCTCACATTTCTTGAAGTCACATCCCGTTTGCAAACAAGTGCAACGGAATGAACAAATTAATGGCTACAAGTGTCGAGTTTTTGTTCAACAGCACGAGGTATATGGTTGGTATTTGTTGTTTGACATCAGGAGTAGTTACGCTAATTATTTCCTATCTGTTCTGAGTCATCAGCAGTGAGGGAACAGCATAAGATGTTTTTGAAATAAGAATAGTTTCCTGTGGTTATTGCAATACACACCATGTTTCTTATTTTACATAACCATGATCTTCCTACTTATATTTGTAAATTTGCCTTAAAGGCACTCTAAGAACATGGTTTTTAACCTCTCCCGAAAGGTTTGATATCTTTATTCTGGAATGTGTATTACACGTGTATATATTATTGCCAGATATATTAAATCTGCACATACTTATCTTATGCGCACACCTGTGTCATGCCTTGTTAGTTTGTAAAGAATCATGGAGAGGTGCATGCTTGGAATACACCAAGAGATAGTAAGAAAACACGTGGATCAGAAAGATAACAAATTAGACACTTGGTATTGAATGTTATAAAAGTGGGATTTGCAAGACGTTACTATAAGGGGATGATGGCTGATAGTCGAGACTGAGAACAAAGTGGCAGCTGGAAGAACACACCCAAAAGTATGTTCAACGCGGAGATGGAGATAGGAACAGCTCATGCGCGGGAGCTAAATATATTGTTGCACCGCCTAAACACAGGTATGATGACTTGGGGTGGTCTTCATCCAGCAGTGGATAGACAATCGGTTATTTTAATTAATTTTGTTGCTTCAATCCTGCTACGTATGTATTCTCAAATATCATTCCAATACAGCATATATGAGGTTCACGAGAAATTAGACATTAAAATACCTTAAGTGATAAAGTTTGTTGAGTGCACCCACTGACTGCTGTACATTGTGTAAAATGTTAAATGCATACCAACTTAAATTGCATAAATATTCCGAATAATGAACTGCACTACAGTATATGTCCAGAATAGCTGTTCTATCTTGAGCAACATTATTGTACTTCTCAGCTAACACTGTCCACTGCAGCCATCACTTTCAACCTCAACAAGATTGCTGCTTTACATCGGCAGAGACTGGTTTGTTTAACACGTAGGCTTTCGTGACCAATATTATTCATAATAAAGGTTTTTGGGTTAGATCGCGTTATTTATAAATGTGTCGTAACCCTCCACCACCCGACACGGTCAATTATGAAGAGACTGGTTTATCACCTCGGTGCCACTGCCCTGCAGCACCGCCATGTCCATCACTTGGATGATGGGAATGGCAGCCGAGCCTGCATCCGGAACGGCCGTCACCTGTCCGGTCGCTGTAACTTCCAGAATTCTGGCCTCTGTGGGCGGCTCCGTTTCAGTCACGACGTTTGTTTGCATCGGCTCGATCGGCAGGCTCTCCCCGTCGGTGCCCACCACTGTCACAATCTGCCATGTGCTGCAGTCATCGCGTTGGCCATCGTCACCGGACATCGCGGTCGCAATAGTCTCGATGTAGACCGACTCTTCGGACTTGGGGACGCCCAGCTGTGCTGGCGAAGTGTGCTCGCTGCACTGCGTGCCCGCGTCCTCGCCTGCGAGTGGTGTAAGGATTTCCAAGCCGCCGTCTGTGCTGTTGCTACGCAGCACACGGCCCGATATTTTGTCCTTGCTGTCCACCACCATCAGGAAGGTCTGCCAAGGGGCATTCTTGTCGTGTACCTGTGAGGTTTGGATGTCAAAATATATACGTCATCCACTGGGCGAAGATGATGTTGTGGTGCAATGGTTAGGACACAACAGTATAAATTGGTATATCGCAATTTTTTCCATCGGTAGGTCGCGAGCGGTGGGGTAAAATGTGTGTACCCCCACATATTTTAAGATGTCTGGCCAACGTGGAAGAGTGGGCCAAAATAACTACTAAAAGTGGATCTCTAGAGCTCGGTCAAATGGAGGCCCTTTGGTCAGCAATGTCGTGAGCAAGCAATCTCAGGGCTGCACCATCACCGTGACAACTGGGCAAATTCTAGATTTAAAGATTTCGTGACTGCAAGGATCCATACTCTTTGGTTCAAATATTGTCATGTGCCCATTTTGGCACAAGGGAATCCCCACGAGATTTAGTCCTAACATGTGAATAATACAGTTCGGATTACCACAATTGCGAATTTTATAAAAAAAATCCATGGGATATATCTTGATTTGAAGCTTTCGTGACTGCAGAAATCCATACTCTTTGGGCCTTTTGGTAAAGTCACGTAGGTAGGGATATATCTCCTAACACTAAATGGTAGAGCCCAATATGATGACGAGGCAGATAGCTATATTCATACATTTACGACGTCATGAAAGAATTGGTATTAATATTTTCGAACACTTTACACAAATAAAACGCCGAAACCTCAGCTACATAACATTTACTAACTCATCTAAAATGCACGACCATTCCAAATGGAAATAAAATCAAGCATCAATTGTAAATGCAAAACGTATCCACATGCATTTATTTTACACGCTTGCTGTGCGAAGTGTGATCGAGTCGGTCCCCCCATCTGCTGACCAGAGTGTGGCGCCGCAGCGTCGACTTGTCTGTAAACGTGCGTCCGCAGAAGTTGCACATGTAGGGCTTCTCGCCCGTGTGAATGCGGTGGTGGCGGTTCAGCGCATTGAGCTGTGTGAATTGCTTCCCGCACATGTCGCAGCAGTACGGCCGCTCTCCTGTTTGCACACAACACAGCATCCAAGTTACAACATTACGTTAACGTGTGTACACGTGTAGCCTTCTTTGTCAATACGATGCCAGGTGAAGGCCTTCCCTCTACATTGTGTGGGTCATAAGGATTATTTTACTGCTGTATATTTCTCTATGCTGACAAGTGCTAGCTGGTGAAGGTGGGGAGGATAGATGGAGCATGGCACAGTGCAGTGGATGTTTGTGCAATGTCCTTTTCTGACAATATTGCGTCTCAGTAGCCTACACCTGATGTATGCATGGCGGTCGCTCATCCAAGCACTGTACAAGCTCATCTCTACTTCGCTCCTGAGATCTGATGAGAGCAGGTGCATTCCGTGCAATTTGATCATCAGATAAATATTGATTAGGGCACGGTCCGTTTTAACATTTGTTTTAGAGCACTGGCTATCAGTGAAGAATGAAACTTGCATTAGATAAGGGCCCTAACTCTCAAGAAGAAAAGATATGGAAAACAAAACGACTCGTACTTATTGTCTTTACAGCCATTCAGTCACCACAATAAAATTTGTGGTGCAGATATAAAGATATGTTGCTTAAACAGACCTATATGAATAAATGCAACCAACTCCCAAAAGGAGCCAGTAAGAGGCCACGCTAACATGGGCAACCAGGATGCAATGTGTCAGTAACTTTAGGCAATTTTACTTTAATATGAATGAGCTTATGCTGACATATGCTGACATTTTAAAAGTGTCTATTACTAAATATCTACTCACGGTTAACTGTTCTTACGTATTTTTCTGACTGCTCAAGTGACATTTTCAAGTGTCATTTTTTTAACCAGGTGCGAACTTAAAGAGACCAATATCATCTCATTTGCAATAATGAGCTGGGGTATTAGTCTGCCAGTAAGGGGTGATAATTGCTATGTATAGTTCCAATTGAGACATTTTGCAGGTAACTTTAAAATTTGGGAAATCTCGACTCCGATTCGCGGGAGTGTCTGCTCTCGCGAACGACATTAGAGGATCTTAAAATGTCCACCGTGAAGCAGACAGATGTTATTATGGTTGTTACACCCACAGTAATAATAAGAGTGGCCGCTGGATTTGAACAGTCAATGTTGAGGAAAACGCGCTGCTGCTAGGCCATGTCACGGGTCATCAAGAAACTCTTACATTTCTATTAGGGCCCCATGTTGGATAGTGCAGCCCCCAAATATTCACGCCGTGTCTATGGCCTCTCCATCTGTCTGCTATGAAGAATGGCCAACGCCTAAAATGTTGCCTACTGTAATTTTGGTTCCTGTTTCAGGGCAGCGTTGCTGACAAATGTGTTGAGTTTCAGCGAGTGAGTTTCTGATGTAGATGTGTTCGTACCCGTGTGGATCTTGGCATGCTGGTACAGAGAATTTCGCTGCGCAAAGGCGCGGCCACACACGTTGCACAGGAAGGGCTTGGAGCCCGAGTGGATGCGGTTGTGGTGCTTCAGGTACTCCTTGGAGGCGAAGCTCTTGCCGCAAGTCTCGCACATAAATGGGCGCTCGCCTGCAACATTGAGAAGCAGTGTCTGGCAGTGCGGCTTCAAGCAACAGAAAACCTAGCTTTTTCAATGTGTGCATCCCTGTGATTGATCTTACAGACAAGTGAACATTGTATGAAATATATATTTAAATATGCATGCAAATGAACATTCATGGTAATGGTTGTGTATTTCAACTCTAACGACTACTTATAAATGGTGTAAATGATACATCTTAAAAATATATTTTTTAAACTGTATTATATTGTGAAAAATATATATTTCAATGAGAATCTATGGATGCATACATACTGTAAGTGGTAAAAAATGTATACGTTTGAAAAATCTCAAGATTCTATTGGTTGATATTACTAAAATCAATAAAATGTAATGCCATTTAATTACACAACGCATAACAAAGCCAAATTCCTGCGGTGGGGCAGCTAACTTAATATGGGCACTTTACCAAATATACATTCAAATAAATGTATTCCTTGTGCAGTGACGTGTAACTGTGACTGCCTACCCGTATGAATGCGCTTGTGGTAAATCAGCATATGATTCTGAGTAAAGCGTGCACCACAATCCTCACACACAAACGGCTTCTCCCCTGTGTGTGTCCTGTTGGGGAAAAAAGTGACACAAAAGAAACAGCATGACGTCACGCTAAAAACACAAGAGCCATGAAGATCATTCCCATGTTACTCGTACAGAAACCGTATGAAACCAAAAATGTTACACACTACGATAAAATGCGCATTTAAAACCCCACACTGAAATATGGTATGGGCTCAAGAGGTTTAACCGAAGTGGGAGGTGTAAGAAATAAATGTAACGTTTATGGAATATGCTAGATAACAATTACATGGATGTGCTAATAAATCAATCTCCCGTGTTGATGAGACAGCACAATAAGAATGTGTTGAAATGAAACATTTAATAATGTGTCCAGGGCAATGAGATAAATGCAACTGCAGTTTTGCGCCCAGTCAACAGCTGTTCTCCAAATGCAGCAACCCAATCCAGGATACATTGCGCAAGGCTACGGTTTAGCAATGCCGATGAACATCGCCAAACAGACATGAAAGCAACTACATTAATGGTGTCAACAGACGACATAATAGCAATCTATAATTCACAAAGAACATCCATGGTACCATACAAAGCAAATCATTTACTATAAAAAGATAAGCTTGTAAGCGGTTTTCAACTGTAGTATCCGTCTACTACCAGTTCTGTTATCACTCTCCACTGATATTCGTGGCTAGCAATCCAACTCGGTTCACGAGATTCATAGCGTGGTGCAAAAACTAAGGCACCACGACTCCTCCCAGGCCAGCATCGTTACATTGAATCGTCAGTGATATTCAGAATCCATTGAGGGAGAAATAGAAACACACGGATCAGACAGCGTACGCAGATTAAAGACATCATTGTAACTTCTTAATCTTCTTGGTTCTTTCAGTAAAGTCACGTAGAATGGAAATAAAATAATAAAAATAAAACATAATAAAATAAAATTCTCACGACGTTTCGGCCACAACACAAGTAGCCTTTCTCAGGTGAAGGAACAGAACTGTCGGGACGACAGCGCTTCAATGAACACTGCTAAGATTCGCAGCGTCGTTTAAGCTAGGTGGGAGAAGTAAAGCGCCTTGGCAAATGAGTTTACATATCAAACAGGAGAATTTAGCATTGAAATAGCTGTGTTAAAGTGTTGGATCTGCAGGGTGTTAAAGTTAGAAATTAGCATGTAACTGGGAGATTAGCATGTAACTGGTCACGGAAGTAGCTATGTTAAAGTCAAAGTTTACATATCAACAGAGGCATTTAGTATATAGACGCTAAAGGATTGCAACTACCCAACTATTATACAATAAATCGATGTGAAAAAACTAAGTATAAATGACATCAATATAATAAATGTACTCAATATATTCTTCAATAAGTTGAGCTATTAACATAAAGTAACTGGGTATACACTACACTATATAATGAATACCATATAGTAAACTAATAAAAACTAAAATATAAACTACATCAATGTTATCAATAAACTCTATATGCTCTCCAAACAGCTGAGCTACTAACAAATAAGTCGTTATACATTACAATGCCATATGGCGAAAAAATGGGTGGCGTTTTTTTCTTTTCAACGTTAGCACCACGGACAGCGACGAGCTTTGTTCAGACGGACGAGTCCATCTATGCTCGGAACGGAGGAGGGGGAAGAAACAGCCACGATGCGCTGCTCTGTCCTGTGTTGCGTTACAACTATGCTATAAACTAGACTACTATACATTGCAATGTTATACCTTCCAATCTAAACTACATTGTATAATGTCGTATACACAGCCCAATGTAAGCTCTAACATTATGCATTATATTGATATGTCTCCAACTAAACTTTTTTCTACATTACACGACTATACACCGTAATATACACTGCCATAGACAAACCCACCCTTGAATTATACAATGCGTTACTATACACTACCCTATACTTTAGACTGTAAAATATTAGACATGTAATATTACACTATGTATTATTCTACCAACCCTACTGTATACCACACTGCTGTATATTCACTACACAATTACGATACTATATATTGCCTTATGAATTATGTTAAACATTACAATGTTATACTATTTATTATACAACATGCTATAAGCCATACCATTGACCGTCGTGTGAAAGGTATTAAGAGGCAGTGCCAGCGAATGGACTGCAGTCTGAAAGTCGCCGTAAAACACAATCAATTAAGAACCGAAATGGTTTATAACGTCTTTCAATGGTTACTAAGCCAGAATCCATCTTCTCGGTTGAAATTGTCTCTGTGTTTGTATATGTGGATGGCCTCATGAACGAATCTCTCATGGTAGCCGGATGGCTTGCAGAGAACCTCCGTCTTGGAGAAGTCAATGTCATGTGAGCCCACTGAATTATAAGAGTTATCTGCCACGGCTGAGGTGTTCGTCCTACCGTGTTTCAAGTCTGCTTCATGTTCACGGATGCGGTCCGAGATATGTCGTTTGGTTTTTCCAATGTAGCTGCTACCACAGAGGCAGTTTAGTTTGTAAACGCCTGGGTACTGTATGTCTGGAACAGCATCTTTTACAGATGGAACCAGATCACGGATTTTATGTACTGTGTTGAATCGGACCTGGATCTTGTGTTTATTCAGGATTTTGGAGATCTTTTTTGTGACCCCCGCAATGTAGGGTAAGGTGATGGTTTTGAATGGCTCCTCAAGAGGATCCTTCTTCATGGCTGGAGTGATGGCTTTGCGGATTGTGTAGTCAGAGTGACCATTAGCCTTGAGAGCTTGGTGTACGTGCTTGAGTTCACTGGCAATGTGCTCCTGGTCGGAAATGCATTAGGCTCTATGGTATAGAGTCTTGATGAGGGAGTTCTTCTGGGACGGATGGTGGAGGGAATCCGGTTTTAAGTAAGCATCCGTATGGGTAGCTTTCCTGTAGACAGAGTGGCTCATTGAACCATCAGGTCTTCTTTTAATTAGGACATCCAAAAAGGGTAGCTTGCCATCTTTTTCGATGTCTATGGTAAATCTGATGGCTGGGTGTATGGAATTGATGTGGTCGAGGAATTGGTCTAGAGCAGGCCGGCCATGTGGCCAGATGACAAAAGTGTCATCCATGTACCTCTTCCATAAGGTCGGGCGTAGAGTGGCAGTCTGGATGGTGTCAGTTTCAAATTTCTCCATGAAAACGTTGGCTACAACAGGAGATGGGGGGAGCCCATTGGGGTGCCCTCAGTTTGTTTGTAGAAAGTTCCATTCCAGGTGAAGTTATGTATTGGTTAAGCAGTGTCTCACCAGGGAGGGTACATCAGTATGCAGTCCTTGATGAACCAAGTCTTCAATGATTGCGATGGTGTCAGGTACAGGAACTTTGGTGAATAAGGAAACCACATCAAAACTGACAAGCAGGTCGTCTGGGGACAGGGAAATACCTTGATTGTCGATACCAGATGAGTAGAGTTTAATACCGCAGAGGTGGTTTTTCCAGTAAAAAGTCGCAGGATTTCAGACAGAAAACGAGCCAGTTTGTAGGTGGGGGAGTTGATAGTGGAGACGGTGGGACGAAGGGCTGTATCTTCTTTATGTATCTTTGGAAGGCCATATAATCTTGGTGGCCTGGCCGCAGAGGGTTTCAACGAGAACTGTTTGGTTTGATCAATTAATGCTGTTGAATCAGAAATGATTTTGTTGGTTTTAGTAATGAGGCTGTTGGTGGGGTCTCTTCTTATTTTTGTATAGCTGCCATCGTTGAGTAGTTCCTGAATTTTGTTGTTATATTATATTTTGTCCATGATGACAGTGGCATTGCCCTTGTCGGCTGAGAGGATGACAATGTCATCTCTCTTTTTTAATTGAGATAATTAAAAGCGCTCATCTTTGCTGATGTTGCTAGGTGGCATCTTAGCGTTTTTGAGGCTTGCAACGATTTGAGATCTTGCTACGTCTGCAGCGATGTGACCCAGGCCCTTGAGTGCCACGTCGACATGGTCAATGATATCATTAACTGGTATGTGTCTAGGTGTGACTGCAAAGTGTAGCCTTTTAGCTAAAATGGCTTTCAGACCATCAGAAATAGAACTGTTACTGCGATTAATTGTAACTGTTAATAAAAGTGGGCTTGGGCAAGTTGTCGCTACAAGGGATCATGCTCGATGGTCAAGAATAATAATGAAGTGGTAGTCAAGGGAATAAATGCTTCGAAGAGGACATCCAAACAAGAAAATGAAGCTTTGAAGTAAGCGGCCGCTAGGTGGCCAGTTGTATCACAGGATTGTGAGAGGGGACAACTTGTGGAGGCCTTCGACCACCAATGGATCGACCATGACCCCTGCTGATAAATGATGAGGAATAAGAACCCACCTCTGGTGAACCTTGAGGGAGGAGACCTGCGAGAAGCGAGCAGCGCACTCGGTGCAGTGGTAGGGCCTGTCTCCCGTGTGCGTGCGCTCGTGCAAGCGCAGGGCGGTGCGGGAGCTCAGGCCCTTGCCACACTCCGGACAGGTGTGACGTTCAGCACCACCCTCGTGCACCTGAATCGTGTGTCTGCGCACGTCCTTTTTACGCTGTGGAATATAAATAGACAGGTATCATTATCAGAGTTGTCTCTTTTTGTTTGCATTTTGACTGCTTGTGTTGTGGTTATTGCAAACATGATCCCTTGTATAAAGGTGTCAGTTTTGGTGCCAGATAAAAGGGTAAAAACCTATTACTAGGTACGAGCATGTTCAAGGCATTAGTCTCAGACCAGCAGGCAAGGGCTATTTCAGCAACTCAATGGTAATTGTACTAGTCTAAAAATAATCAGCCCGAGACGATTACATGGTATAAGAAATTTCTTATTTAACATACATTTATGTTCGTGCAATTTTTTTTATTTCTCTTGTGACTGTTGTATTTTATCTCATTTCTATATGCCTCATTGCAGAACTTTCTTGTATGTTTTGTTTTGCCATCTTGGTTAGCCCGGTCAATCTTGCAAATGAGACTATCCTGAGTTCTCAACTGGTTAAAACATCAACTTGACTTGATGTTTGGTATTGTTAAGTCCCAGAAGAAGGAATTGTACTCATTTTAGCCAAAAGGGTTGTGACATTTGCATTGATTAGATCATACAATTGAGAGACAATACTGCTCCTAGTCTGCCTATGCAAATCCAAATTAACCACACATTAGGAACATAAGTGCAATACAATTTACCTGGGCCTTCTTTTGTTTCCAGAATTGACCAATATTAAATACTGCAAAAATGTACCTCAGAAGTCAAAAAGGAAAATTATTTCTCGTACGTCCGATAAACCTGTTTTAGTCCATTCCACCATATTCGGACTTAATAATATTAAACATACAACTGTCAGACTTCTCAGCCATATTTGTATATGCCAAAAAAATTTCATAATAATTTCACAGATAAACTAGATCACTCTGAAGATTTGCAAGATTGTAACAATAAAAGCCTGAAACATTAAGAGCACTACTTAAAGGGCATTTAAAATATCTGTATTAAAAGAAAGTCAAAAGTTCTGCCAAATGCCACATTTATGAGCGTAAGACTGATGAGTAAACAAAAGCATGTACACAATCACAACACACAGGCCACACCTTAAAGCGCTTCCCACAGATGCCGCACACAAACTGACGGTCCTCGTTGTGCACATGCCGGAGGTGTGCGCGCAGGTTGCAGCGGTTAGTAAACGTCTGCCCGCACTCCCTGCAGCAGTACACAATGTCTGGCTCCATGCCATGGGCCTGCAAGGCATGCTTCATGTAACTCTTCTCGTACTGAAACTCTTTGTCACAGTTGGTGCACTCGATCACCTTGCCTGCGCACTGGCCTGCGTCGCTACCTTCCTGTTCTGTTTTCTTCCCCCGTTTGATTTTCTTTCCGTCAATTGAGATTTCAAAATCGCTGGCATCCTCCTCTGCCTCACAAGGTTCTTCTCCAGTGCTAGTACAGTCTTCTTCTGTTCCGGCGTCAGTCGTAGACTCGTGCTTAGTGACACACTTCATTGCTCCTTTTAACTCGACTGCGACTGCGGGAGCCGCTTCCTGCTGCTTGAGTGCTCCCTGAGGGAGATGGACTGGAAGTTCTGTGGCCATCTTGCTGCCACCCTGCTTGACCCGAGTTTTCTTTGCCAGTGCTGCTTCAGCTGCCTTCATGGCCCTGGCCATCAGTCGATTGCTGCGGACATTCGGCTCTGTCAGAGCTTTCCCAGTGTCCTTTTTCAGGCGCAAACCAATTTGGTCGCTGGAGTTTCCTTCCATCACCGATGACCCAACCTGGAATGACAGGATTTCCAGCGATGATGCACCGGCCTCTGCCAATTCGAGTTGTCTGTTGCCGCTGTCCTCCGGGGAATGATGTTGCGCATTGCCGAGTGGTCCGACACCGGCTCGCAGGCATGCTTCTGCTAGCTCTGCGCACTGCATCAGCCCCGACAGGCTCAGCAGCCTGCCGACTTGCTCAAAGCACACTTCGACACGACCCGTGTATACAAACTCAAGGAAGGCGGCCAAGTCAGCCGCGGCAGCATCGTGCAACTTCACGTTGCACGTGGGCGACACGCCTTTGCTTTCCACTTCTTCGTCAGCCACCCCACCAGCTTCTGTGGTTGTCAGCACATTGACTGGAAGCAGAATGCTGTAGAAGTACGTGCTGGCAGATGCCAGAACAGCTCTGTGAGCGGGAAAGCAAGTTTCCTCGGCTTGAACGGTCAGGTCGCACAGATGGCTGTGAATCCGCAGCTCATTGAGACCTCGGAGCACAGTGCTGGCCATGGCGGGTCCTTCCAAAACCGCGGTAGCAGCGCCACTCGCCATGCCTGGCGACCAACTGCTGTACACGAATAATCCACAGAGTGCACAAAAAGTAGTTTAGTAAAAAAAAATTAACATTATAAGACATTTTCTTTGTCGCACTACATGTCAATATATATTGATAATGAACCGTCAGGAGCACTAGTCACAAACACCGATTAACTGAAGTGGATGAGTGATTCACGATGCTAAGACCATGTCACAGTATTAAATCGGTACGACCAAGATCCTGTATTAGAACACACAGCCACCCATGATTAAATATGGTTCTCAAGTCTAATAAGGTGATGGTCTCAACTGTGTTACCAAATGAGAATAAATAGAATAGTTTGACTTATTTTTGCATTTGCCAGCTCTAAAATGTTAGATTTGACTGCCACATAATAATGAATGCCCTATGCAAGGCATGATGGAAGTTGCACCACGTACAGTGAAGAAAGGGAAACTTAAGTAATCTCATAATTAGTTACGTGAATATCTTCCAGGGGACCTTTTTCTGTCATAGTTCTGAATGGAATTTTTATCATCATCATCATAGTATGGGAGAAAAACAAACACCAAACATTTTGATCCGCCACAGAGGCTGATTATGCCCGTTTGGTGTTTGTAATGAGCCAATATTTTAAACCAAACGGTTGCACATTGAATACTGCATGCATGGTAAAGCCACTACATTCGTTTGTATGTGATGATGTCATGATGAAGGATTACCTCGGAATGTCTCTTCAGTCCCTAATAACTGAAAGATGATGATGGATTACAATGTTTTTTTTATTCTGGATAACCTTTTCTTCATTTTACACATTCCACACTCATTTTGCATTTACTTTCGTAGTACCTGTACTATATTTTACTGTACACATTCAGATGTACACATTTTATGCCATGCCCTCTGCACGTACACTGCATTTCTCGTATTATCCATGACACCATTGAAAAAAAAGATTGTAACAATGTGCTTTCAACTGTATCAATACCTTTTAATACCTACCATAGGTATATTATGCTTAATCTACCAACATGCCTACGACGAATAACGTATTGCAGCATACCAAATGATAGTACATTGAACACTGCACGCATGAATAAAACATCACAAAAAACTACAATCACTTGACAATGCTGTTTTACCACCCATGACGGTCGCAATTATGCTCTACTATAATGGACACCCAATCGTTCCCAACAAACTTTAGATTCGGGACAGTTAAATGAGCTTTGAATTTGAGGACTCGCAAAGCATCACACAATTAACGTCAACTTTTTATGCCAATAACGAAACGTCTGCTCAGGCCGAGACGGCAACATCGAACATTTTGCTCCTGGTTCTTCCATTCATTTGCAACGCATTAAACCGCTCTTGTCGAGTAACTCCTACACCCAGGTAATCATGTCCAATCGGAATGTCAAGCATCGTTAATGAGATCTCCCAAATATGACGTCATGTCGCTTTAATGCAACTGCGTCATGACGTCACCCCGGCGCTATGGCGGCACGCCTGAGCGTAACTTTAAAGTCACATTTTTTTGTTACCCTCAGTAAAAAAAAAATATGTATTCTCAATGTCTTTGTGCGGTGGTCTCTTTAGTGTCTATTTGCCAGGATTTTTTTTTTTTAAAAAATATTCTTCAATGGCCACATCTTCCTTGGGGCGCGCAACAAAAGCCAGCAACAGCCAGAATTCGTGATTCGTGCGATTCGTTTGTACGGTCTTGCGTCCACCACCGCCGTGAACGCGACTCGTCTTTACCAACACCTGCAACGCAATTACAATGGTTACCAAATAAAATACGGGGCGAGCATTCGTTAATGAACTCGTACGAAGACGACCGACGAGTCGCCGCCTTACCGTGCGCCTGGGAGTAAATGGCGACCCTCGGAAATGCGTCGCTCAAATTCCTACAGCGCATAGGCGACGCCCCGCCCGCCGCGCGCGCCCATTGGTCAAAATCCTGAGCGCCGGCCAATCGGAGCTCGAGGCGGGCGGCGCGAGGAGGCCGCGCGGCGACCCGCCGGCCAATGGGCGCGCGCGGAAGCGTCTCGGCGGTGCTTGTGCGCGCTGGGGAATGCAAGCGGGGCGGCTGCGCGTCTGCTCGTAGGTTTACAGTAAAGAGAGGCGAGGAGCCCCCCCCACCCCTCCCCCCACCCCAACCCCTCCCCCCAACCCCTCCCCCCACCACCCCCGGTCACCTCCATCCCATTCGTTCGCTCAACACTGAAACAAAAAAACGCAGCGAGCGAGATTCCTCCTCCATCACGAGATGTATTTATCCGAGAGAAATCCCACGAGCTAATGAAGATCTTTCCCCCCCCCTCCCCACCGCCTCACAGACGTTCCAGCAGGGGCGGATCATAAAGTTTCTGAATCAGAAATCTGTATTTAGACTGCAGAAGGAATCCGATGAGCTATATACAGTTAATTTCCCACAGATGTCCAGTAGGGACAGGTCATAATGTTACAATAACAACCATACGAAAACACTACAGGAGTGTAAAGTATAGGAAAGATTAAACAAAATCACTTTAAAACGGTATGCAAATAAAACTCAACATATTTTTGTTTTATCTTACCAGGTAAAGCCCACTGAAGCGATTCGGCCATAAATGGCATCTCAACGAAGTGGCTTGTCAGTGTTGAAATTAAAAGCGGCAAAAATATTTCTAAATAATCTACTATTGTCCATCAAGTCTGAAAAGCAAGCCTCCGACTATGTTTCAATTTTCCCGGGTCTCATCAAGCAAAAGCCAGGCGTGTTTTACAAATGCTGCTGGGTTTTTTAGATGTTCAGATGTTATTGGCAAGCACACTCCAAATACATTATTGGGATCCAGTTCAACATGAAATGAGGGGTCATGTATTTCCACGTACAAATAAAATGCAAACTAGTCTGTTGAACTTTTAATATTGTCCGGCAGGATTTTTTTCAGAAAGAAAAACTATACTGGGCATATATACTCGTTGGTTCTTTCGGTAAAGTCACGTAGGTAGAAGAAAAAATATATATATCCATACACCCATCCATCAAATTCACCATGGAAGTGGAAAATGATGGCAAGCTACCATTACTGGATGTTTTGATCGAGAAGAGGCCTGATGGCTCGTTGGGACATTCCATCTACAGGAAAGCCACCCACACGGATGCCTATCTAAAGCCTGACTCCCACCACCATCCAGCCCAGACGAACTCCCTCATCAAAACACTACACCATAGGGCCCGCTGCATCTCCGACCAGCGCCACCGAGCCAGTGAACTGGAGCACGTACACCAAGCCCTCAAGATGAATGGATACTCAGACCACACAATCCGCAAAGCTGTATCCCCAACCATGGGGAGACAACCATCTGAGGACACAATCAAAACCATCACCTTGCCATACATAGCAGGTGTTACTAAAAATATTTCCAAAATCTTAAACAAACACAAGATCCAGGTCCGATTCAATACAGTACACAAAATTCGTGATTTGATCCCATCTGCGAAGGATGTCATTCCTGACATGCAAAACCCTGGTGTCTACAAACTAAGTTGTGTCTGCGGCAGCAGTTACATTGGGGAAACGAAACGACATGTCTCGGACTGTGTTTGCGAACACAAGGCAGATTTGAAGCAGAACCAATACCTCTGCCGTGGCTGATCATTGTTATAACGCAGTGGGCTCGCACAATATTGTTTTTTTTCCGAGACCAAGGTACTCTGCAAACCTTCGGGCTACCATCAAAGATTTGTCCATGAAGCCATCCAGATATATAACACGGAGACAATTTCAACCGAGAAGATGGGTATAAGCTGAGCAGTCATTGGAAGGACGTTATTAACCAAGCAAAGTCATAACTTGTTGTGGTGCTTCCATTCTTCCCTGCCGTTTGGCTGCTATCTCCGACTCTCTGAGTTGCATTGCCCTGTTGGGTGCCTCTGCATTAACGGGCTGGGGTCTCACTAACATGGCCACCTCTGCTCCCTTAGCCTCGATGTATCGATGGTTCTGGCTGTGTGATGGACTTTGTGTCTCACTGGCATGATCACCGTTGCGGTGGTTCTCTTGCGTTGACGTGCTTACCTCTCACAGCGCAGTTGGCAGCGCCGCAGCTTGTGTTACACATAGACATAACATTACCTGCTAATCTCCCTAAACTCCCTGCCTAATCTCTCCCATCAACATAGTGCTAATATTCCATTAACACTGCTGTTGTGCGCATATGCGGGGACGATATTCTTATGCGGCGACGGAAGCTCATTTCATGCTAATCTCTCTCCTTAATCTCTCTCCTTAATCTGCCCCATTAACACAACTGACGTGCTTGCGTGCGGGGATGGAATTCCTTTCCAGCTTGGACCCCGCCTGCTTGTGCTTGGCCAACATCTATAACTTCTTGTTGTAACAGCTCTCTCGCTGTGTTCTTCCTGGTTCAGCAGTTCCACAGCTGGATTATTTTTTCCGCCTGAGGACGACCGCTTGTGTTGCGATCGAAACGTCGTGATATATAATGTTTTATTTAATGTTATTTTTCTACCTACGTGACTTTATTGAAAGAACCAAAGAGTATGGATTCCTGCTGTCCCGAATGCATCAAATGAAGATTATACTGGGTTTTAACATTTCTGGGCTCATCAAGCTTGTTAAACAAATATTGCTGGATTTTCAGATGTTTTTAAGTAACTTTGGGGGCCCATTCGAAGCAAGGCAAGAGTGATACTTACTCTTTGGTTCTATTCGGTAAAGTCACGTAAAAAACAACAAAAAATAAATAAATTCACGACGTTTCGGCCACAACACAAGTGGTCTAGAGGACAGTCTGGTCCCTTCACCTGATGAAGGCCACTTGTGTTGTGGCCGAAACGTCGTGAATTTTTTTGTTGTTTTTTTACGTGACTTTACCGAATAGAACCAAAGAGTATGGATCCTTGCAGTCACGAAAGCTTCAAATCTAGAAAAGAGTGATACTTATTTTACCAAACTTCAGTGAAGGCAGGAAGCATATACACGGGGAATACAGAAATAATACTTGACTCAAAGCTTTCGTGACTGCAGGAATTCATATTCTTTGGGTCTTTCGGTAAAGCCACGTAGATAGAACAAATAATTAAAATTATAACATCACGACGTTTCGATCACAACACAATATTCTCAGCAGCTATCCCGCTATATTTTTTACCTGATGACGATTGCTTGTGTTGCGATCGAAAAGTCGTGATATATGTTTTTATTATTTGTTCTATCTACGTGGCTTTACTGAAAGAATAGAAATACTGTAATATTGTTAAAGTGTTTGTTTGGACCACTGCCCTCTGCTGCCCACAACCTAGACTCACACGTAGTAGTCTTTTTTGGGTTGGATTGCGCAAATGTGTCGTTAAACCCACCACCAGCAGACACAGCCAATTCATTAATAGTATAGCACACCGGTGTGTTGGAGAGTAAACCCAAAACATTTACCACTCGAGTACGACGTTTCGCCAGAAATTACAACTAACATCATCAAGCGACAGCCAGACTTGGGGAGAAATCCTCCTGTTTCGGTCTTAGAGCAATAAATGTTACATTCTAAACTCACAGCTTCTTACAATATGCTGTGTGTGGTTGTCGCTTATCGCACCACAATCCAAGCTAATCCGGCTGAGCTTCCGAGATCTGACGAGATATGGAATAATCCAGCCAAGTTGTCATCATCAGTCAATATATCTCTACTGCTGGATGAAAGCCTCCCCACGCTGTTGCGATCCCTTATTGTCCAATGCTGCGAGTAACCGTCTGACTCCTGCATGTGGACGGATCTCATCATACTTTTCCAAAATCACCCCAAGCCACTCTCATTTACTTCTGTAATTCATAATTTAGATATTCATGTAATGTGCGGTAATGTGTTTATTGCAAGTGTGCATGACAGATGTACTCTTTACCAGCTTGCATGAAAGTATTTGTTTCATTTCACCATTTCCAGATTACAACATTAAACACATTCATTTCAGATACAGCTCTAATTTGTTCCTGTGGTCGAGTTTGGAAGAGCCACTAAATGATGAATGTAAATGTATTATGTAAGATTAGTTTTTAATTATTATCCTTTCATATCATAAGCTGTTATATGTCCTATTATAAATAAGGTCATACAAAAGTCTGTAACTAAATATTATGCTGGCTCTCTTTATCCCAGGGCTGCATTATATGGTTATTAAAGATGTCACTTTTTGGGGGGAAAATTTCCTGCAAATTTATCACCATCCTGTTATCGATGTCATGCCACCTCTGACCTTTAGACCACACCGTATATGGAAGCACCTTCCTACCCTCTGTGCAAATGAGAATAATGTTCGTCTCAGTCAAGCCATGATAGCTTCGACCACTGGCCATCATCGATAATATGGAAATACAGTATGGGATATCGTTGGGTATACCTTTTGATTTTGAAAGGTAGCCAAACGTCTGGAGGTTCCAAGAGACAGCAACCTATCTCTTTAAACTCAAATAAGTGAGATAATTAAGGATTGTTACTTTTACCTTTTGAGAATAGCCAGGGTGTCGTGCTTCCGACCTCAATTATTTGTAAAGAATGTTAATTAGTGTACGGTCTTATCTCAAATTGTTTTACGTTAACACACTCTATGCTGGGTTTCCTGCATCCCAATTGAAGCAAATGGTGCAAAGCTCAGCAGTCCAAATTATATTTATTTAAGTGTGCAAGGCAGCATCATGTCAGTGCCACTTTTTAATGATTTGCATTCACTTCCCATCTCTATGAGATGTGAATTGCAGGTTCTCTTGTGAACCAATAAAGCTCTCAAACAATATGGTACCTGATTAGATAACTGATTTATTTCACATTTACATTCTGGTAAGGGCTCTTAGATGAGCAAATAGAAAGCATACACCTTGCAGCTTCAACATAGGCGTTTCAGAATCACTGACGGAGCTCTAGAAGTCCATAATAGAGTAGCTTTGTTTTGTTTAATGCAACCCTATGATGCAGCCCTGGGATAAAGAGAGCCAGCATAATCTTTAGTTACAGACTAGTAACGAATGGGCATCCGTTGTTTATGTGACACGTTAATAATTTTCGATTTAAAGCTTTCGTGACTGCAATGATTCGTCTTCTTTGGTTCTTTCGGTAAAGTCACGTAATTGGCTATGCCAGGTAGTGGCGGGTTTAACGACACGTTTATATTCACGCGATCTCAACAAAATCCCCTCTATTCTGGATAATATTGGTTGCGAAAGCCTGCTGCGTGTTAAGCTGCGGAAGTGTTTTGTTCCCGATGGAACACATTTGCCAGAATATGTGGTTTCTGGCTTAAGAATGTCAAATGATCATTTGAAATTATATTACAATCGTGTTTACTTCTTCTTCTACTCAGAATTGGAAACCCAGCGGGCGATAGGTAGTGACGCTTTCAATTGGCAAGTCCGGATCTCTATTTGGGATCAAACCACCAGATGGGGCACGCGAGAAGCCATGCGGCTTGGTGATTGAGTTACTGCACGGCCCTTATCGTGTAATAGAGGAAACAATGAATACAAAGATATGACGACATAAATGTTTCTTTATAAACCACATTTCACATAAAGGCCAATCGAGAACAACTTACATAAAATAAAATTATGCAATGCAAATATGCAATGCCCAATACGATCGTTATTACACACCCTAAACATTCAAACGGATTGCGTAAGGTAGGGGTGGGGAACCTTTCTTCTGCCAAGGGCCATTTGGATATTTATAACATCATTCGCGGGGCCATACAAAATGATCAACTTAAAAATTAGCCTGTTATATTTGGTCAAAAATTTCATTAACTCACCCCTAAAGTGATGGCTGGAACTGCTTCTCTTTGGTGAGGCGTGTGATGATGTTAGCTGGTATTGATGATGTTGCTACTCGCAACTGCTTTTCCAGGTTTGCTCCTAGATTTATTGAATTTCGAGTCCCGCCTGCGGTTGCCTTGGCAGGGCCAGAGATCAAATGATATCGCGGGCCTTGTACGGCCCGCGGGCCGGACGTTCCCCACCCCTGGTGTAAGGGGTAAGCAAAAAGCAGCGTGTGGTTTACCGTCTGCGGCAAGTGTGACCCGGGCAGAGCATGGCGGGAACCGGGTTGAATCCGAGATCTGATACCGCCACCGTATTGTGTTGAACTTTCTTACAGTACACTGCGCAGGGTTGATAAACTTAAGCTGACCCATAACTACATCCGGAATTGGTATGTAATATTTTTTCATGGCAGAGTAATACAGCATGTTGACTTGACATCATCTAAAGTCTAAACATATACCGGAATGGGTTTTTTATTGTTGCACTGGGCGGGAAGTCATGTGCTATGAGCAACACTGGCTAGCCAATTGTTGTGTCTTGCCCTTCCCCGACGCATTCTGTTCACACAGGAAGCCACTCCAGCCTTAAGTGAATGTACATGCTCCGGCAAAAAAACTCACCCTGATTGTCTCGCCCAGAAATCTATCGGTCATCATGAGTCATTGCAATTGTTTAGCAAGATAATTAACCACGTTTAGTCCCACGTGCGGAAAATGTAGCTGTCTTTTATTGGAACCGGACTGACCGTTGCTTTGCAAAGCAATCGACACCGCCGATTAGCAAGGTTGGCTACGTGCGAAAGAAGTTCAACATACATACAGTGGTTTAAAACCTACACAAATACAGTCTTTGCATTATTGCTTAATGTTAACATAAGATCGTCAGGGCGCAAACATATTCCTTATACTGTCTAATAGCATATCTTATCTGGATACTGGAGATAATTAATAACGGACATTTGTGCACAAGCTATATAGGGTGATGGATTTCTAGATATTTTACTGATTTATAGAGTTACTCTTATTCTTAACTCTTTCGGTAAAGTGACGTTGAAGGGAAACAATAAAATAATAAAATATATATAAAATATATATAAAACAACATTTGACTGATTATTGTGAAAGCGATGGCTTCCTCTCTTATCTCGGATAGTGTTTGAGTATTGAATGAGTGTACACGCATATTGAGATTGGTGGGAGACTTGTAGAGGCTTTGAAATAAAGGTTTCTCTAATTTCTCACTATTTTTGTGGGTCCTCTATTAATGTTTCACCCTGTTAACCCCTTTACACGCTGGGGGAAACGGAAACAGGCTTACGTAGTCATGTAAACAACGCAAAACAGGCAACAGTAATGTTATCAAAAGCTTTCACTTTGTGTTACATACACATCACTAACATATAACAATGTTTACTTCAACAGCATGCATGTCTATGATACATTTACGTTTTGCACACGTGGTTATGAAGGCGCGCCTCGTTCAGATTTGTCATCATCTCACAGGGGCAATGACACCGACTATTTGACTTGCGCGGTCACGCAGCAGCACAAGAGGCTTCGAATCTTCAGACGGAAGGGCTTGGAGATGGTGTAATAGACGAAAGAGTCCAGGCAGGTGTTAAGGCTCGCCAGAGCCAAGCAGATCTTGTAGACCTTGTAGAGGGATGTGTTGCCTTTCAGCAATATGCGCAGGACGTGCGTGAACAAAGTGGCGTTGGCGGGCACGAAGCACAAGCAGAAGGCCGTGAGAACCGTGGCACAGAGAAAGATGGACTTCCTCTTCTCCACCCTGAGATGGGCACCTTCGCGCGTGCGCCGTCTCAAGGAGAGCACGATGGCCACGTAGCAAAACGCCGTGACAGCAAAGGGCACGAGGAAGGCCAAGAAGAAGAACCCCAGCGAATACTTGGCCAGAAATCGTCCGTCCTCCTTTGTGAAAACATCCAAGCAGGTGGTGACCGGTCCGAAGTTCGGACCCTTCACGCACGTCACCAGCTGCACGCTGACGGCCGGCACGATGGAGAGGATCATCAGGATCCACATGACGGCGCTCAGCACGGCCGCGTACCTCGGGGTCCTCCACGTGAGCGACTTGACCGGATGCACCAGGGCGAGGTAGCGGTCCACGCTGATGCAGGTGAGCAGGAAGATGGAGCAGTGCGCATTGAGGTAGGTGAGCGACACCACCACGTGGCACAGGATGGTGCCGAAGCGCCAGTCGTTGCCGTTGAAGTTGTAGGCGATGGCCAGCGGGAGGAAGAGCAGGTAGAGGAGGTCAGCGGCGGCCAGGTTCTTGGTGAACACGGTGGAGGGCGTGCGCTTCACGTTCACCGTGGGGTTCACGAGGAACCACAGGGCAGCGGCGTTGACCGGCAGGCTGACGATGATGACGATGATGTAGATTATCGGCTGCCAAATTTGAGAGCTGTCTCCCTGAAGCCACTGCAGCGTGCTGTTGTCTGTCAAAGTAATACATTCATGGTCGTTGCTCGCGTTAGTGCTGGCGTTGTTGTACTTCAGAACTGCCTCGCTTGCCATGGTGGTGTCAAGTGGCACTCCTAACTTCCACTTCTTACACAGGATCACTTATCTTGGCTACAATGCTTGCTCTTCCACCCACTCGATTTGGCAGTGCGAGTTTCGTGGAATGTTCCTTCCTAAAAATTCTATTGGTCTCCTACCGCCCATAAAGTCTCAATTATCGGGGGTATCTTGACTCAAATATGGTACGCCCGTGTGTGAGGCAAAACTCAATCGAACTTCATGCCCGCGGCGATGGTGCGATGTTCAGAGACGCTTCTCAGAATTGGTTCCAATCTTCTAATAAGGAGGGAACGGGGCGTTGTGCTCTCACGTAGGCAACTGGTGGGGCTGACGAGCAGTGACGCTTCGGTGGCTGCGCTTGTCTCAACCTGACTCATAACGCTAATACAAATTGTTACCAGTAGAGTGGGAGGAGACTGGGAGGTGCGGTCTTTCGCTATGTAAGGAAGATCATGTTTCAACGGAATGTTGAACGGTAAAAAAGCTGTCGTGGCTAAAGGCATGAGAAAACCAAGTCAAAGCTTAGACGCCTAAGTGCATCAAGGGGCCTCAGATTCATGACATTAATTGGAATTCATAAAAAAATCTGACAAAATTCAAATGCGAATAATCATAGCAAGCTAACACTAAGCTCCATATTTGTTTTTTGGTTAGTCCATGAAGTAGTTTTATACCAACATTATTCTTCTAAATTCACGTAGAAGGGAAACAATACAAATATAAAACAATAAAAGTCTCACGACGTTTCGACTGCAACACAAGCAGTCGAAACGCCGTGAGAATGTTGTGTTGCAGTCGAAACGTCGTGAGAATTTTATTGTTTTATATTTTTATCATTTTATTGTTTCCCTTCTACGTTACTTTACCGAAAAAAAACAAGAATATGAATCCCTGCAGTCACGAAAGCTTTAAATAAAAAAATATTCTTCTAACTCTCCACCACCTGACAAGATTTTCACTTTTACAATAATATTATTTATTTTTGCCAATGTAATGATCTGATTCTCACCAATAACGCTCACCTTAAGAATTTTCATGACTGAGTTTAACACCAAATTATAATATTTTGCTCAAGCTGCTTTGAGTGTGCTGCATCAGCTGACTATTTTATATTCCCGCCATGATGTCACCAACTGCCAATGAGTACTTAGTCTAAATGGGTTATAATTCATTACCCACCTGATCTAAATGGGTCATTCGTAATGGGTCGTTAGTAATTACCCGTTAAGACCCATTTAGACATGTTTAGACCAAGGTGTCCATTATTTGGCAGTTGGTGACATCATGACGGGTATTTGAAGTGCAGATTCAGCTGATGCAGCGCACTGAATTTCCAGGTGCACAAAGATGGTTAAAACAAATATGGTTAATAACAAGCTAATTACATAAAACGTCAATTAATCTCTATCTTTAATAAAATTATTATCTCATCTCACTACCTCTCTACAATGTGTCTACATTTCTCTTATCTCCCTCCATATTCTAATCGTGTCCCCATCTGCTCTGTGAACTCACTCGGAATGTATGCAAATTAAAGGGAGTCTTAGAAGCAGAGTGGGTCACAATCCAAAAGTTGCGTGTTTAAATCCAGTTTGGAGATTAACTCAGCCCATCAACCCTCTGGGGTCGATAAAATATATACCGCATAATGAGAAAGTCAACAGTTGGTTGTCCGATGGAGAGACATGCGTCCTTGCCAGAGGACCATGTGACCCCCATTTCTACCACTGGCTCAGAGCTGTCAACGAGAGACAAACAATACAAGCTTCCGTCTTCAGGTGGAACCGTCACAGCAAAATTACTGTATCAGTAAGCAAAATTACTGTATCAGTAAGCAAAATTACTGTATCGGTAAGCAAAATTACTGTATCGGTAAGCAGAATTACTGTATCGGTAAGCAAAATTACTGTATCAGTAAGCAAAATTACTGTATCAGTAAGCAAAATTACTGTATCAGTAAGCGGTTCCACCTGAAGACGGAAGCTTGTGTTGCCTCCGAAACGTCGTGATTTAATTTAGTTGTTTTTTCATGACTTTTTTTACCTACGTAACTTTACCGAAAAAAAACAAAGAGTATGAATCATTGCAGTCACGAAAGCTTCAAATCTATAATTAAGGACAAGCATTGCCTCAATGCTCATTTGTCAGGAAATTACTTTGACAGTTTTTTCACTCAGGGTATGAAGCAATAATATGCGTGATGACAAGCACACGTTGGAATGAATGCGGTTTCCTGTTCAATTGCATCCGGTAAAAGTTTGTTCACATAAATTCTACTGAATGTACATTAACTCCTGGAGGCAAGTGTTAATATATAAAATATAGAAACCATAAACCATATGTAAGAGTAAAATAACATTAAAATATTTTCTGATTAATATTGACTGATGTAAATCCTAAATATGTTCTAGACGGTAAAGTAAGGGAGGTTTAATGTCGTAAATTGAAGGTGCAGACTTGCAATTTATAGTAGAGTCCATGCTTATAATAATAAAGAAAAACTGAAATCCAAAATGTTGATGTCGCAAAGTTAACAACAATTTACAGTCATTCGATTGTCAGTTATGGGTGTAGCTTGACCATACTTCACTATGTGTGTGAGTGCAAATTGGTGAAGGGGGAACCTTGGCCTGGTTCCGATTTCACTTTGTTGATTATGTCAGCCGGTGGTCGGAAATTGACCTCAGGTCGCTACCACTTCCTCAAACAGCGCCATCAGTTACCCCCCCCCCCCCTCCCAGTGTACAGGGTGGTCCGGTTGTCTTGTGACCCCCATCTTATTCTCTATAATGTAATACAAACGTTAAATTACGGTTTATTTATGACAGAAATAAATATGCAAAGGATGTATTTTTTTTAAAGAATTAATGGATTGGCAGGTCACAAGACATTTGGAGCACCCTGTAGTGAAAGGTATTCAATTGGATGGTGTGAATGCGTCGTCAGCCATGTTCTGTTCACTGCCGAATGAAGGCCTCCCCAAGTGATGTATCGCATTACTCGGTCTGCCTCTGAATATAATTCCAAGTCTATTACACCACTATATGCTTCTTTTTGCCCCTTGATACATTTTTGTTCTGTTATTTTTTTTTCACGAGCCTCCATGTCTCTGATCCATATGAAACATATATTGATATCACAAAGGAATATTAAAAGAGGAGTCGGACAAGAATGGATCGAAAGTATATATTCACGCTTATATAAAAAATAACACTTGTTGTGTTTTTATTTGGGACCCAATGTTTTTTTTGGATTTTAACTTAGGCTTGTGAAAGTTAGCACAGTGGTTTTGCTGCTGTAAATTGACACGCGATAAGCCACTTCGCTGAGCTGTCATTTGTGGCCAGGTCGCTTCTGAAAAATAAGCAAATATCTGCTTTGGTTCTTTCGGTAAAGTCACGTAGAATGAGAATGAAATAATACATTAATAAAATAACACAATAAAATTCTCACGTTTCTTTATTGTGTTATTTTATTTTATTAATTTATTATTTTATCTCATTCTACGTGACTTTACCGAAATAACCAAAGAAGAATCCTTGCAGTCACGAAAGCTTTAAATCGAAAAAGAAGCTAATAGCTCAGTGTGCTTTACCTGCTAAGATAAAAAAAAACACGTTTAGTTTTATTTGTATATTTTAAAGTGATTTGTTTACTTTTCCTATACTTTGCACTCTTAATCGTGTTGTTGTATTGTGGTTGTTGTAACGCCCTGACCTGCCCCAACTGGACACCTGTGAAAAATAAATGTATAGCTCATCGGATTGCTCCAGTATAAATATTCTGATTCTGGGTCATAAGAAGCTCTGGAAAGTGAGACGGACCCCAATCTTGTGTCTGGTCTCAAGAAAGGTCACAAAGACAAAGATCCCCCGTATAGTCTTGAGAGACTGTATAGTGCTGTTAGCGAGCTGTTAACGAGCACCTATGAAGGCCGACGCGGCACACGAGGGGGTGGGTGGCCAACACCACGCCCGGCCGCCTTTGTCTCCCTAGTGGCGATGCTTACACACCGCACCAGGTGCTCATTTGAAGGCTGTCGACCTAGGAGAGGCCCGGGACCGGTTCAAATAATCGTCACTGGTGTTGGCCGTGAGCTGGAATCGAACATGGGTCGCCAGGTTCGTTGTTGGGATGCTTTAATACAATGACATCGAGACGGGGCAGACGGCACCTGTACCACCGCATCGTCTTGACGGCACACATCGGCATTAGAAACGACGCACAAATGTCATGAAAAGAGTATCCGTGGGGCCGAGATGTCCATCTTCAACATCGTTACGCGAGGTGGTTAAGAGACTGAAGGAGCGCCCTTCTGTGAGTGGGGCTCCTTCCCCCCACCGCCCCTGCCCCTCGTGGGCTGGCACAGCAACGTGCAGCAGCGCACGCACAGCGCCACAGTCTGGGCAAGGCTGGACACGGTGATGACCGTGGTAGCAGCCCCGGGCATTTCACATCCGTGAATGAGGAGTTGGGGCTCTGCACGAGACGCTTCTTCCTTGCGTGTCCCCCCTTCTCGTCGACGAGGGACGGCTGCAGCAAGCGAGAGGCAGAGCGGCGGCGGCGGTGTCGTCACGCGGTCCACGAGAGAGGAATGGAATATGCTATCGTAGTCAAGGAATGCCGTCGTGCGTGTTTCTGTTTTGTTCACGGCCATGCATTTGCAGTGTGAGTGGGAAGCATCACGTAAATCCTCACGCGTTTCCGACAAATACGCATTGAGCATACGTGGCGATATTTACGTGACCAAAAAATAATTCCCACGCGGTTTCCATCAACAGCCTCAGCGCGCCACTTTTGTCGACGAGCCACAGTCTACAGACGTGTTCACAATGCAAACTGCAGAATATGCCTTGTTACATAGAATTAGATCAGTGTATTTGCAATAACCCGTCTTGGTCGTCGGGAATATCACGCGAACATTAATTCTGATCACAGACGGTCGTCCAACTTCTCACTCAATTCCAAAACTCAATTACAGCCACGGCCGCCTGTATCGACACCAACCAACTTCATCAATAACATCACGCAAATACCGCCATCTCACATTCAGCCACGGCTGTCTGTGTCAACAACAACCAACTTCATCAATAACATCACGCAAATACAGCCATCTCACATTCAGCCACGGCTGTCTGTGTCAACAACAACCAACTTCAGCAATAACATCACGCAAATACAGCCATCTCACATTCAGCCACGGCTGTCTGTGTCAACAACAACAACCAACTTCATCAATAACATCACGCAAATACAGCCACCTCACATTCAGCCATGGCTGTCTGTGTCAACAACAAGTCACTTTCATCAACAACGGAAATGCAGCCTCTTCTCTCTCGCTGTCACTCCTCCGTCCCCAGCCTTGGCACCGCCCTGGCCCTCCTCACT